TCAGACGCTTCTTGGGTTGACGACCAGGCTACTCAGCGGTCGTCACAGGGTTACACCTTCAGCCTTGGCTCTGGTTCAGTTTCGTGGCGTTCTACACGTTCGTCTTCAGTTCTCAGCTCCAGTTGTGAGGCTGGGATCTACGCCACAGCCATGGCTGCACAGAAGTTACGCTGGCTCACCTACCTGCTGACTGACTTGGGAGAGCAGCCTCGTTCTCCTCCAGTGCTGTACGTCGACAACAAGGCCGCCATTGCCTTGTGTGAGGAGCACAGACTGGAGCACAGAACGAAGCACATTGCTCTGCGTTACTTCCTGGCTCGAGAGTTGCAGCAGCGAGGCCAGCTTCGTCTTCGCCACGTGGCCACTCGGGCCAACACTGCTGATATATTCACCAAGGCACTTCCGTCTGGTGATCATCAGCGCTTTTGTACTCTGTTGGGCCTTGTGCCTACGTTTCCACACTTGCTGTAGTCTCTGCTTGTACTGTGATCTATATATATACCTGCATGCTGGCTCTTGCTAGGTAGCCATCACTGTACTGTTATTGCTGCATATATATCTCTGCATGTGAACTGGCCCTGTGGCCTTTTGCTTGTGCTCGGAATGCGTGGTGACGTTGTGATCCACCCTGAGCTTGTTTTGCTTCTCTTGACTGGTCGTGTGACCCCTTGTTCTCCCCCACTTTGCCTATGGGGGTGTGTCAAACTATATGTGCTGCATATTGTTTAGGCTGTAGTGGGGTAGCCCATATGGGGTACAACCCAATTAGGGTTTACTACTTGTACTCCTGCATCCTGTTAGTTCATTCATTCCTGCTGCTAGATTCTGACACATTGCCGCTAAACACATTTCCCCCTGATTTGCGACGGCGGGGTGAGTTCGCCCAATGGAAATGCGGCGGATCAGGAACCCTTCGCTTCCTGTTCTATCCCTTTCAGGAAGTTGAAAGCTGTATCCTCGCTGTCTGTTCTTTCCCAATTACTACCCCTTTGCGAAGCCTCCCCTGCCCCCCCCACGCCCACCCCTGTGCAGGCAGGCGGAGCTTCAAGAGAGAGGCCGGAGGGGGCAGAGGGGATAGGGTACCCCGATGAGCACAATTTAAACCAATCCCCGCCAAGAGCACCCACCCTCTGCCCCCAGCCCCACAGGCATCATAGTGCTTTGAGTGGGGCAGCCAAGGCCCGGGTCTTTCTAGAGGAGCCTTGCTCCTTGACAACCAACTCTCAGCCACCACTACCCCTTCTCCCGACAGGCCCTCTCATTCCTACAGACGTGCACATGTCGGAGGCACTTGACCTAGTTGCATCTCCCCCCGCACCGACTCCCCCCCGTCCCGCGCGCTATACAATTCCACAGCGACGGGTACCGGCACCTCCGTCCACTGCCGAGGACCCCCCCTCCCACAACCAGCAATACCTGACGATCACTCCGCGACGGGCCCCCGCCACCCCGGGGGGTCCCACGGACGAAGGGAGGCCTCAAGTCGCGTCGGCGCGCTGCGGCAACATGCCCCAACTTCCATGCCCTCCGCCGGCCCCCCTCCCACAGCAACCAGCCACAACCCCCATTGTCTCAGCATGTCGACGACGCAAGGGTAGAGCCAATGGCGGGGGACGCTTAAATTACACACTCCCAGCTTCGCCTTCTGCCCACCTGCAGCTATCCTCTCCACCCCCTCCGCCCAACCTGCTTCAGGCCACCCACACATCGGTCCATCACCTATACTTCCCCTCCCTCATGTACCCTCCACTTTGCAGGCATGTGAGGGAGGTCATACCGGAACGACTGTTCCACACCAACATCCGGTGGCCCCCCAGGATGATGCCCTCCCCGCCAGGATGGAGGTCCCTAGAGCTGGGGAGGATACTTTGTCGGAGGCGGATGAGGCAGCACTCATCTCCCATACACCCACCCCTACCATTGCGGGCAGCTCCACCCAGCCTCCGGTAGCTCGGCCACATGGGCTGGCGGTGCATTCTTCATCAGTCGCTGGTCTAGACCACCCTCCCTCCCTTACAGACATGGAGGCGTTGGAGCCCACATCGGCTCTAGGGTTGGCCGTATCGGACTTACTGGCAATACAAAACACTGGCATGCCTCTCTCTTCTCCCACCTCTCCAGTCCCCATGGTACACGGCCCCGCAGCCCCCCTCATGGACCTCCCTATTGTTGCCCACACTCAGCACGATCCTCTTCATCCATCTCCGATGGAGACTGATCTGATTCTCAGGCCGGTTGACCCACACGCAGATGCAAGTGCACCACTCCAACCTGCCTCACACCTCCCAGGCCCATCATTAGCCCCACCTATCCCTACGGCAGATAGTTCTGAGGGCACAGCTACGGCCGACCCCACCGACACAGCGGCATCGTCCGACGAGGTCGTGAGGTGCCCCATATGCCTGAGTTCCCTCGCGAACCGTCGAGCACTCCGACACCACATGCCATTCTGTCACCCGGCCGACGCTGCTCGCAGGGCACAGGCTCTCCGCGACAGGGCCTCAGCTCTACCTTCCCTTGCAGAGCCTCGAGCCACGGGGATGCAGTTCACAGATGCACTGTGGCATAAGCTTGACTCCATGCGGTGGTCGGAGTACTTTGCCCGGAGCGCATTCACGCCCGTCCCCTTCGGCGTATCCCCCCGAGAGTCCGTGGTGGATATCTGGACATCCTTTGTGCCATCTTAGCACGGGTCTCCCAGGACCCAGAGGCACCAGGCCCTACTCTCCTCTTGGCGGCAGCACCGACGCTCCTACTGGCTCCAGCGACACCGCCGGAGCGTTCAAACACGGCCGCCATCGCATCCCGCATCATCCGTTTTGGACGAGGTGAGTGGGATGAGCTGTTTTCTGAGGCCCTACATCGACGTACTCCCCTTCCTCTACGAGCAGCACGACACGCACGCGCCACTACTTTCTCCCCCACACCGGATGACCGTCGCATTGCCCGCTGCCTGTGTCTGGCGGCTTGCAATGAGACCTCGCGGGCCTGCGCGGCGCTGGAGTCGGCAGAGGCGGCGCCTGACACAGAGAGTACGTTGCAACGTCTTTGGAGCAAGCATCCTGTCGCGGAGCGACCGACCCCAGATTGGCTAGCGACTTTCCAGGATACTGCCCTTGTGCTCTCCATAGATCACCTCCGCCGCGCCATCTTCACAGCCCCGCGCGGGTCGTCCGGAGGACCGACGGGCTGGGTTGCCGAGCATCTTCGGGATACCTTCCTTGCCTTTCCCGACAGCCTCCCTAGCTTGCTCGCCGTGTACCAGCTTTGGCTGCGAGGCTACTGCGCCTCGGCAGCTCGATCGCTCTTGGCATCATCCACCCTCGTCGCCCTCGCGAAGCCAAACCTAGATGTGCGTCCTATCGCGATAGGTGAGGTTTTGATTCGCATCCTCTCCCGCGCAGTTTGCTTGCAGCTGCGGGACCAGATGGCTAGGGTTTTCCTCGCGTCACAGCAGTTTGGAGTGGGCGTTACCTGCGGGACAAAGGTTGTGGTTAGAGGTGTTCGTCGCGCCCTGGATGACCACCGTGACTGGGTGGTCCTCCAGCTGGACGTGGCAAACGCCTTTAACTCATTTCATCGAGAGGCCATGTTCCAGGCCCTCTACTCTTGTGTTGAGTTTCGCTGTCTTATTCCTTTCATTCGCCTTTTCTACGGTACACCCTCCGATCTCCTTTACCGGGCGAACGGAGGGGTGACCACCATACACTCGGAGCGCGGGACCCGCCAGGGAGACCCGCTCAGCCCTTTCCTGTATGCACTCACGCAGCGCATGGCTTTGCAGCCAGTTCTAGCTGAGGGCGATGTCCAGCTATGGTCATACGCAGATGACACTTACGTGCTGGGCCCTCCTTCCAGGGTGCTACACCACTTCTCAGAGATTGTGAGGCACTTGCGCGAGCTGGGCCTTGCGGTCCAGCCACACAAGTGCCTAGTCTATGGCAGGGATTTGGCAGCTTCCAGGGAGGCGGAGGCCTTCACGAGTCTAGGGATTGAGGTCGCTCGCAGAGGACTCTCCGTCACGGGAGTGCCGGTGGGCTCGGACGCTTTCGTGGAGAGGAGCCTACCTGAGCGTCTGGAGAGGATGGGGCGCGTGTTACCATGGCTGCCGAGACTGCGCCAGCCCCAGACAGCGGCTCGGCTACTTGCGGCATGCGTCAGCACACGACCGCAGTATTTGGCGAGGACGGTCCCTCCGACCTCGGCTGTACGTGCCAGTTTTGCACGGTGGGATGAGCGGTTGGGAGAGACCTTTCAGCAGCTTTTGGTGCCTGGGACTTGGACTTGCAGAGAGGACGTCCGTCTAGCTGCCTTAGACCAGATCTACCTCCCTATACGCCTAGGGGGATTTGGTATCCGTCGCATGGAGCGTATTTCCCCGGTGAGTTACGTATGCTCCTGGGTACAGTGCGCGCCGATCCTTTGCTCCCTCCCTGTGTGCGGCGCAGGCTTCCGACAGAGCTTCGCATCGGACGATGTCGACCAGATCGATCGATCACTGCGGATGGCGCTGGAAGGCCTCCCACGTGACATCCTTTCTCTCCTCCCCCCCTGGCACTCCTGTGTCTCTGCTGCCCCTGATTCTCTCTTCACAGGAGTGAGCCGTGCCTTGGAGGCGCGAGCCTTGGAGTCAGTCCGGGCCCGTCACACTAACCCCTTGCACCTTGCCCGTTTGACATCCCTTCAGGGCGCAGGTGCAGGCGCTTGGCTGACGGCGGTGCCGTACGCAGACTCGCTACGCATCCCAGAGGCGCAGTGGCAGGTGGCCTCAGCTTTTCGTCTCGGTCTGCCTATTCCCCAGCTAGCCCTCGCAGGTCGGTGTTCTTGTGGGCAGGTGATAGATGACATGACGACACCTCACCACGTTGTGCGGTGCTCCCGCTTCGGCGTCGCTACGGTCATCCACGACACCGTGAATTACATGCTTCGGGACTTTGCTGCCGAGGCGGGCTTCGCGGTGAAGGTGGAGGACACCACTTTGATCCTGCACCTGGAGGCAGCTAGAGCGCGACTGCTTGGACTCTCGGAGACGGGGGATGGGGCACCGGGACATTCAGGTGCACGGCGGGGACAGCAGCAGCAGCAGGGTGGGCTCGGTCGAGAGGCTGGTGGGCAGGAGCAGCAGCTCCAGCACCAGCACCAGCAAGGGCAAGAGGTGCAGGCGCAGCAGCAGCAGCAGCAGCAGCAGCAGCAGGTGCAGGTGCAGCAGCAGCGGCAGCAGCAGCAGCAGCAGCAGGTGCAGCAGGTGCAGCAGCAGCAGCAGCAGCAGCAGCAGCAGCAGCAGCAGCAGCAGCAGCAGCAGCAGCCGCAGCAGCAGCAGCAGCGGCAGCAGCGGCAGCAGCAGCAGCAACAGCAGCAGCGGCAGCAGCGGCAGCAGCAGCAGCAGCTGCAACAGCAGCGGCAGCGGCAGCGGCAGCAGCAGCGGCAGCAGCAGCGGCAGCGGCAGCAGCAGCAGGAGCAGCAGCAGCAGCAGCAGCAGCAGCAGCAGCAGCAGCAGCAGCAGCAGCAGCAGCAGCAGCAGCAGCAGCAGCAGCAGCAGCAGCAGCAGCAGCAGCAGGAGCAGCAGGAGCATGGCCATCAGGGGCTACAGCACCAGGAGTGTAGGGGGGAGGGGAGAGGTCAGCATCGGCAACACCAGGAGGGTCAGCCAGGCCAGCAGGGGCGACAGCAGGATGAACAGCATGGGCAGCAACAGGAGAATCAGCTAGGGCAGCGGCATGAGGATCACCAGGGGCAGGCTGGCAGGGAGGAAGAGAGGAGACAGCAACAGCAGCAGCAGCGACAGCAGCAGGAGGGCCACCAGGGGCAGGAGGGGTCCTCAAGCAGGGGTGAGGAGGGAGGCCAGCAAGGGCAGCAGCAGGAGGGTGGACGGGTACAGCAGCAGGAGGGTCAACAGGAGCGGCAGCAGGAGGGTTCGTGGGGGCAGGATAGTGGGGGTGAGGAGTGGGGACCGCAGCGGCAGCAGCAGCAACATCGACAGCAGGGCCAGCAGGGGCAGGAGGGGCAGGCTGGTGGGGGAGAGGAGAGAGGACAGCACAGCCACCAACAGGAGGTTCAGCAGGGGCTGGAGAGGCCGGCGAGTACGAGAGAGGAGAGGGGACAGCTGGGGCAGCAACGAGATGGCCGGCAAGGGCGGGCGGGGCTAACACTTCAGGGGGCGAGAGAGGAGGTGGCAGGGGACACGATGGCGGGAGTGCGGGGGTTAGGAGTGGAGGGTATGGAGGGGGGGGACGGGGCAAGGGTGCTGGGGGGTTTGGGGTTGGGGAGAGGGGATGGGAGGAGGCAGGTGGTTGGGGGAGAGGATAGAGGGGCAGAGGCGACAGGGGAGGAGGCACAGAGGGACCAGGCACAGCATCAACCAGTACAGCAGCAAAGGCAGGCCGGACGCACAGGCCGCATAGGGACACCAGCCCGCATTCCAGACCTGACTTGCCGCGACATAGAAAAAACTTTGATGGTGTTGGTAGACGTCTCTATTGCAGATCCACAGCAACAGGGGAATGCTGGGCTTAGACGAGTAGCCCCAGTGCAGATAGGGGTTGCAGCAGCTAGGCGAGTACAGGACAAGTTGCGGGACTGGGAACCGCACCTGGAGGGATTACAACCGCCGCCTCATTTTTATGCATGTGTAGTGGAGACATTTGGGTTGCTAAGTGAGCCAATGAGGCAGTTTCTAGGGCTTTGCGCGCGTCGGATTGCACAGCGGCGAAAAGACTTGGGGGGGGGGATGACGGGTCAGCTCGGATTTTTGAGACTGGACTCACCACACGACTTTCCGTGGCACTGCAGCGGGCACAGGCTCAGAGTATTATACAACATGCGGTACGGCAGTTGGGAGGGTCTGACGATGGGTGGATGCCTGCACCAGTCCCTTTGGGTGCAGGGCAGGGCAGTTGGCATCACATTACCGGCTGCTTTGAGAGCGTGGCAGACATGCAGTATATGTACGACGCATACGTGTAGGTGGTCAGCGACTGTGCTTGAGAGGCTGTGTCCCGCGCTGTGGTGCTGGTTCCTGTAGTGTTTTGGTCCCTAGGTGCTTCCTTCCTTTCGTGTCTCCCTTTCCTTCTTTTCCTCTTTCCACCTTTCCTTCGGCCTTTCTCTTCTCCTCCAGCCCTTACCTTTTATCACCTTTTCCTTGTTCCACCATTTCTACCTTCCCTTAATATCCCTTATCTTTATTATCACGACTTTGTATCAAACTTAATCCATAATAAAACTGCTGTCTGTTGAGTACGTATCCCAAGTTGAGCAGCGCGTCAGTATCTTTTGTACAGCCTGGCGCCGTGTCCAGACGAAAGGGTTGGCGAGTGACGAAACTCTAAATTGTAGTTACTTTTCACCGAATGAAACGTAATTGAACTTTCGGGACCCGCCCTTAGATGTCGATATACTCCGATAATAGATAGCGAGCTTCATACTGCGGCAGGTTTGGGTTTGGTCGGTTTGTCGTTTCCCCAAACCCGCACCAGCAGCTTTCTTCTTGTGTGGGTGAATTTGTGTCAGCGACTTGAGTGCTCCCTCGGGTTTTCTCTCCGTACTCGAGATCACTTCATTAGTTTTGTAGCTGGGGTTTGGGCTATCCACGCGTCGCATACGTCGTATTCGTCGCACGGCGTCGCGAGGCGTCGCACATCGTCGCGATGAGGGAGGTATGCGACGGTGTGTTCATCGGCAACCTGGCCGATGCCACGTCGGTACGAATGCTGGAACGAGCGCATATCATGCGCCTTGTCTCTCTCTGCCCAATGGCTCGCTCTTCTTTCGTTACTGTCACGCCTCCTCCTTCCGATCCGGAATCTACCCCGAATCCCGCTGAGACTCCCGCCGATACAAGCGCAAAAGCTGGCGGGGTAGAATGTGACAGTGTGACGCGTGGCTGTGACGGGCGCGGACGGCAACGGCTGACCGTAGATCTTCTAGACATGGACGACGCAGATCTGCTGGCGGTGCTGCCGAGCTGCCTGGCGTTCGTAGAGGAGAGCGTGAGTTGCGGGGAGAAGGTGCTCGTGCACTGCCACGCTGGCGTGTCGCGAAGGTACGTGGCGCACGTGCCACGTGGCGCTTCGCCATTAATGGCAAACTATGCTCAGTCTCTGCCCCGCCCTGACAGTCCCGCGCCTACCTTCCCGTCCTCCCCATTCTTTCCGCACTCCGCACCCTTCCGCCAATGTCCCCGTTTCCTTCCCCATTCCCGCCAGCATCCTTCCCGCATTCCCTTCATAGCCTTTTCCCATTTCCCCCGCTTTCCCCTCCCCGTCCTTCCCCGTTCCCTCTCCCCCAACCCCCCTCGTTCAGCGCAGCAGTGGTTACCGCATATCTCATGAAGCTTCACAAATCGACGGCTGAGGGTAAGCATAAACTCACACCGTAGATTCATGTGTACGCGCCTCGATAAGGCATGGTTGATAGACGAGAGGTACCGTTTTTCAAGTAAGATCTCACCCATTACTGGTGCCACCCACCTATCCATCTCACCCATCCCATCACACCCATCCCATCACACCCATCTCAACCACTCATCCATCTCATCACACCCCTCTCAGATGCGCTCCGTCTGCTGCAGTCCAAGCATCCCCTTGCATACCTCAACAACGGTTTTCCCTCCACCCTCTCCTTCCACCCCCCTCCTGTCCCTCTCCTGCTGTTCATTCCATCCCACCCATCCCATCGCACCCCTTTTCAGATGCTCTCCGCCTGTTACAGTCCAAGCACCCCCTCGCATGCCCCAACAACGGCTTTCTACGTCAGGTAACAACATGATGCCATCACACTTCCACTACTCCCAATGTTGGGTAAAACAATCGTTTCCCAACAATGGCGATGCGACTCTAGCACGTGATAAGTGGCAGCTGATGAGTAGCAGGGAATGAGCGGCAGGTACTGACTGCCAGAAAATGAGTGGCTGGTGATTAAAGGCAGGGAATGGCAGCACATGATGAGCGAGACATTAACGCCATGATGGTGGCAGGTCATTGCCTGCGCCGTAGCTTCGTCATGTTCGTTCAACACCCCTTTCCCTTGCTTTTTTCCCTCATTTTTCCACCTTTTCACCTCAGCTGCGTATCTACCACAGCATGGGGTGGGCAGTCAACCCTCACCACTCCGACTACTCCCTCATGTTGAGTGTACCCCTTTCCTCACTCTCTTTCATGCATTCCCTTCCTCACCCTACCCCCACCTTCTTGCCTCAGCTGCGAATCTTCCACCGCATGGGGTGGGAAGTCAACCCCTACCACTCCAACTACTCCCTCTTGTTGAGTGTATCCCTTTCCCTTCCTCTCCCCACCCCCACCTTCTTGCCTCAGCTGCGCATATTCCACAGCATGGGGTGGGAAGTCAACCCCCACCACTCCGACTACTCGCGCTTCAAGCTGCAGCTCATGGCTCGCCGAATCACCAGCACACTGCACCAGGGCGTGCCCATTGGGGCCAGTAACGGAGCTGCTAGTAATGGGGATGCTAGTAACGGGGATGCTCAGTTGCGGGGCGGAGTGGAGGGTTCAGGAGCAGCGGAAGGATCGGCAGCAGTGACAGGAGAAGGAACAGCAGGAGCAGGAGCAGAGGCAGGAGCAGGGGCAAGGGCAGCAGCAGAGGCAGCAGCAGCAGGAGCAGCAGCAGGAGCAGCATCTACGGAAGCAGCAACGGCTCCAGAGGTGTATCGCTGCCGAAAGTGCCGACAGATAGTAGCAGTTGCAGCTAATGTGCTCCCTCATGCCCCTGCTGTTGCTGCTGATGGTGGTGCTGCTGCTGGGACTGGTGGGGGAGGAGGGGGGAGGTTTCGTGGGAAGGGCAAGGATTGGGGGGATGGAGCGGAGCGGGGATGCACGTCTGTGTTTGTGGAGCCACTTAAATGGATGGGCGACGGTGAGCATGGGTGGGCAGCGGTGAAGTGGGTTGAGTACCTGTAGCTAGAGGTGAACGAGATTGATGCATCGATTTGAGCTCTTCTCCCTTCCTTTCACCCTTTTCAAACTTTGTTTTTCCTCTCGGGCTTGGCTGCTTTAAGTGGTCGGGAATTGAGCTCAGCGCAACTGGGGGGAGCCGGTTTTCCCGGGAGATAAATACACTGTCAAACCATCCTTCCCTTCTTTCCATGCAGTGCAAAGCGGGCAGGTCGAGGGGAAGCTGTCATGCGTAGAGTGCTCCACCCGTCTCGGCTATTTCAACTGGTCAGGAGCCCAGTGCAGCTGCGGCGAGTGGTTCACACCATCTTACCATCGATTTCCATCCACTCCCATCCCTACATGCCCCCCTCTCCTCATGCAGTGCAAAGCGGGCAGGTAGAGGGAAAGCTGTCATGTGCACAGTGCTCCACACGCCTCGGCTACTTCAACTGGTCAGGAGCACAATGCAGCTGTGGGGAGTGGGGAGTGGGTCCCGTCCCACCACCACACAACAACTAATACCCCACTCCCTTCCTCTATGTCCTTCTCACCCCACGCAGTGCAAAGCGGGCAGGTAGAGGGCAAGCTGTCATGCGCGCAGTGCTCTACTCGCCTGGGCTACTTCAACTGGTCGGGAGCGCAGTGCAGCTGTGGCGAGTGGGTCACTCCATGTCACTCCATCTTCGGTACCATCCAAGTCCATCCACTCCCATCCCTTCATGTCCCTCTCTCCCCATGCAGTGCAAAGCGGGCAGGTAGAGGGCAAGCTGTCATGTGCGCAGTGCTCTACCCGCCTTGGCTACTTCAACTGGTCGGGAGCGCAGTGCAGCTGTGGCGAGTGGGTCACTCCAGCCTTCCAGCTGCACAAGAAGTGTGTGGATGAATCGTGGCAGTGACGATAATGAACAGGGAACATTCTGAAGGGAGTCCTCTCGCCAAAGCGTGTTCGTGAAAAGCAGTGCAGTGCAGCTTGGCGAGCGGGTCACTCCGGCCTTCTAGCTGGATAAGAAGTGTGTGGATAAATTGTGGCAGTGGGGTAAACAGCAAGTTTACTTATCAGCTTGCAACACGTGCTTCAGTTGGAGAAGATTTTACAATACATTTTTCCTGATAATGTACTGTAGCTCTGCAAGAATGCAGCGCACAACCGCTAATGGCCTTCATCTGGCATACCGCACTACCGTGAGTGAAGAATCACAAGCAACACTTCACAACATCAAGCCATAACCAGTATTGTAGCCACCGATACAGTACCCCTCCTCGCACTTCATTCGTCCTTCCACCCTTGCGCATCCCATCCTGTACCTGCAGTGGCAGTTGTTTAAACAAAGCAGGATTCAACCCATACTTCCCACCAGCACCGCACTCAACCCATCTGCGCCTGCAGTTGTTTGGCCACCTTCAGAGCAGCCAAGGCCGCCGCCGTGTCGCCAACCCTCTTCAACTCACCACCCTCCTCCTCTGCTCCATCACCTGCTGCTGCACCAGCTGCAACTCCCTGAAACCCAACAGCACCGCACTCAACCCATCTGTGCTTGCAGCTGTTTGGCCAGCTTGAGAGCAGCCAAGGCCCCTGCCGTGTCTCCAGCCCTCTTCAGCTCAACCGCCCTCCTCTTCTGCTCCATCACTTGCTGCTGCAGCGACTGTGATTCTCCCGCACTTCCACCCCCACCCCCACTCCCAATCCCACTCACACTGACACCACCGGCACTTGAACCACCACCTGAACCAGAAGCCACAACTGGTTTGGCTGGAGCGGGTTTGACTGGCGCAGGTCTGGCCGAAGCAGGCTGGTTGGTCTGGCGGCCGCCCGGAGCAGGTCCGGCGAGTCCGAGGCTACGGAGGTTCGCCATGAGTGCATCGTCAAATATACCCAAATCATCATCATCATCATCATCTTCCTCTAGACCGAACGACATGAAGGAAGGCGGTGGGGGAGGCACTGGTCGTCTCTGGGGCACTGCAGGATTTGAAGGTTTGGCAGCAGCAGCAGCAGCAGAAGCAGGAGGAGGAGCAGCAGGAGCACCGGCAGCAGTGCTACGGCCAGTGTTACAGCTGAAACCACTGTTACTGCTGATGTTACCACTGTTACCACCGCTGCCAGCACCTGTCTCTGCCAGCTGTTTCTCTAGCGCTTTGGCCTTCTTGAGCTCAGATAACGCCTCCCCCAGCTTGCCCTCCCTCTTGAAAGCCACTGCCCTTCTCCTGCACGCCTGTAGTTCTGCCTCCATTTCTTCCCTGCTGCTCTCCCCTCCCTCCTTGCTCCCCTCTCCTTCTTCTCGTGCGATTCCAGTTGCTGCTGCCCCTGCTGTCTCTGCTGTTCCTCCTGCTGCTCCTGCTGGTGCTGGTGCTGTGAGAACTGCTCCTGCTGTTGCGGAGACAGGGAATGCATCAACTGCACCCACATCGACTGCATGAACTGGACCCTGATTTACTTTGCGGCTTTGCAATGTTTCTATCAGCATCTCTTGTTCTTTCTGCTGCAGTTCCTGCTGTTCCTGATACTGCTGCTGCTGCTGCTGCTGCTGCTGCTGCTGCTGCTGCTGCTGCTGCTGCTGCTGCTGCTGCTGCTGCTGCTGCTGCTGCTGCTGCTGCTGTTGCTGCTGCTGTTGCTGCTGCTGCTGCAGCTTTTGTTGCTGCTGCATGGCAGCGATTAAAGCAGCAACAGCAGGCGCCATGCTAGTCGCAACCACTGCCGCACCCAGCTGACTTGCGTCAGTAGCAGAAGCAGAAGCAGCAGCACCACCACCACCACCATCAGCAGCAGCAGCAGCAGCAGCAGCAGCAGCAACAGAAGCAGCATTACCACCACCGCTGTCATCACCACTACTTCTGAAGTCACCACCAACGACCTCCCTCCTCTCCTCAAAGTTCCCAGCCTTCCCTTCCTCCGTCTTCTGTTCCTGAAGCTCTTCATCCCGAGCCTGTTCCACCCGAGCCTGTTCCCCCCGAGCCTGTTCCGCCCGAGCCTGGTCTGCCCGAGCCTGCAGCTCTTTGGCTCGTTTCAGCTGATCCAAGGCTTCTCCGAGCCTCCCTTCCCGCTTCAGCCCCACAGCAGCCAGCTTACACTCCCGCGCCGCCGCCTCGAGTTCCTCGGCAGTTTCTGGCTCCTGGCCGGCAGGCCTTGTTTCAACGTTCTCTTCCCTCTGTTCACCTTCCAAACCTTCTCCTCTCCCATCTGTCCTGTCTCCTCCTCTTCTTCCATCCCCCCTGCCTCCTGCCGCCTCCTCCTCCTTTTCGTGTAATGCCTGTGCCGCCTCCTCCTCCTTTTCGTGTAATGCCTGTGCCGCCTCCTCCTCCTTTTCGTGTAATGCCTGTGCCGCCTCCTCCTCCTTTTCGTGTAATGCCTGTGCTGCTTCCTCCTCTCCCGCCTCCCCATCTTCCTCTGCTGCTTGGGCTTGGCTCGCTTCTTCTCCCACCCACCCAGCAGCAGCAAGAGCAGCAAGCATATCAGGATCATCAACATCCTCCTCCTCATCCTCATCATCACCACCATCAAAATCATCATCATCATCATCACCGCTCATAAGGATTGCTCGGATCCGCTCATCCATATCTGCCAATGCTGCTGGCACTGCTGCTGCTGCTGCTGCTGCTGCTGCCGGTGCTGCTGCTGCTGCTGCTGCTGCCGGTGCTCCCGCCGCTGCCGGTGCTCCTGCTACTGCCGCCTTTGCTTCCTCAGACTTTCCATTCCGAGCCTGATCCACCCGAGCCTGTTCTGCTCCAGCCTGTCCCGCCCGAGCCAGATCAGCCCGAGCCTGCAGCTCTTTGGCTCGTTTCAGCTGATCCAAGGCTTCACCGAGCCTGCCTTCCCGCTTCAGCCCCACAGCAGCCAGCTTACACTCCCGCGCCGCCGCCTCGAGTTCCTCGGCAGTTTCTGGCTCCTGAGCGGCAGGGCTTGTCTTGACATTCTCTTCCTCCTTCTCCCTTTCCAAATCTTTCCCTTTTCCATCCGTCCTCTCTCCTTCTCCACGTAATGCCTCAGCTGCTTCCTCCTTTGCCGCTTCTTTCCTTGCTTCCTCCTTTGCCGCCTCTTTCCCTTCTTTCTCCTCTGCTTTGCTCGACTCTTCTCTCACCCACCCAGCAGCAGCGAGAGCAGCAAGCATGTCAGGATCATCCTCCTCCTCATCCTCATTTCCATCACCACCACCATCACCATCTGCATCCCCATCATCATCATCATCACCACTCATAAGGATTGCTCGAATCCGCTCATCCATATCTGCCAATGCTGCTGGTGCTGCTGCTGCTGCTGCTGCTGGTGGTGGTGGTGGTGCTGCTGCTGCTGTTGGCGTTGCTGCTGGTGCCTTTGATGCTACTGGCAATGCCACTGGTGCTGGTTGCACTGCTGCCACTGAAGTCACAGCACCTGCTACCCCTGCCACTTCTGTTGTTCTTATCGTTACTGCAGCAGCAGCAGCAGCAGCAGCCGCAGCAACCCCATGCCCCATGGAAGAATCACGTCCCATGGAATCCCCGCCTGCACCCAGCATAATAGCCGCCTCTATCTTAGCTTCGAGCGCCTTGGCGCGTCTTAAAGCCTCCATCGCCTCTCCCATCCGCCCCTCTCTCTTAAAGCCCACCGCTTTCCTCTTCCAATCCAACGCCTCTGCTTGCATCGCGGCTATATCCACCGCCTCAACTTCCTCCTCCTCTTCCCCTCCCTTCTCTCCTTCTCCTCCTCCCTCTCCCTCCTCCCCTTCCTCATCTGACTCCCATCCGAGAGCCTTCAATTCATCCATACAATCTCCATCGTCATAAGCACCTCCCATATAATCACCCCCTCCCCGCCCTCCCCTCCTCCCCCCCCCTCCCCCACCATCTATCCCCGTTCCCTCCCCGTCCTCTTCCTCCTCGTCTCCTATATTAGCGATTAAAGACATAATTTGCGCCAGGTCTAGATCCGCTCCTCCGCCTCTTCCGCCCATACCTCCCCCACCTCTCCCCATCCCCCCCATTCTTAACTCCGTCTCCTCCACTAATGCCACGTCATCGACACTTGACAGCCCGAGACTGGCTAGAAGCCGCTTCTCCTCATCCTCATGCCCTCCCTCCGCACCGTCCGCTAAATTTAATAAGAACGACCCGTCTTCTATTTCTTTCTCAAGCTTCTTAGCTTTTCTTAACTCCGCCAGAGCCTCTTGAACCTGCCCCTGCCCCTTAAGTTGCCGCGCCTTGCGCTTTAAGTCCAGCACCTGCGCTTCAGCTGCTTCGCGCGCCGCGCTCACCTCGTCCTGCTCCGCCGCCGCGTCCACGTCATCAAGTCCGGCCAAAAGCCCCCCGCCGCCAGCTCCCCCCGCCGGTTCCGCCCATCCCAGCTCGCGGAGTTGCGCCATCATCTCCCCATCGTCGTCCGCCCCCGCGTTCAGCCGCGCTAACCCCTTCCGCTCCACCTTCACGCCCTCCGCCGCAGCGCCCTTCCGCTCCGCCCCTGCTCTTGCGCCAGCCGCTCCAGATCTACCCGCCCCGCCAGCTTTCCCCGTATCCGCGGATCGGACCTCCGGCGCCGCTTCACGAGATCTCGCTGCCGCTACGCGTTTCCCTCCCGTCCCGCGCGCGCCACCGGCTCCGCCAAGCGCGTTTCCGCGCGCCATGGCTTCCCGCGCTATCTCTTCCGCCTCCCTGGACGCGCCCGCAAGCGCGGCGGCTGTTGCGGCGGCGGTGGCGGCGGAGTCATCCTTGTCCTTGGCGCGTTTCTCCAGCTCGCGCGCCGCTTTCAGCGCCTTCTGCGCGCCCGCGTAAAGCCCCGCCTCGCGCATGGCGGAAGCTTTGGCGCGCTGCTCCTTGGCCTGCGCGCGCATAGTCTCCGCGGTGACCCCATCATCGACCGCAATACCTAATTCGCCTAAGACGCTACCGACATCGGTTCCATCCGAAGCGCCTTCTGCCCCCGGCGCCACGTCAGCACCCGCGGTTCGCGGTTTCTTGGTAGCAGCTGCAGGTCGATTGTTCGCGTTCTTTTTGGGCGGTGTCTTGTCCTCATTCCGCGGCCGCCCGAAGAAACCGAACATGGCTGTTCTTGAAATCCGAGACTTCCTAAAGGAGCTGGCGACGAGCACGGAGGCGAGACGACTTGGATCGATCAATGGAACGAATACACGCGCTTCTAGGAGGCTCTTCGGAGGGTCTTGGAATGGTGGACCTGGAATGCTGCAGTAGCTCTCTGGCAGTTAGTGAATCTCGTACCACCATCGAACTCTTTTCTGTTCTGGATTCCAAGGTCTCTAGGTCCTTCACCTAGAATCTAGATTCTAGGTGCGGTTGGAAAAAGGTGCGGCTTTCTATAGCGAGGCTTTCGATAAATGCTTCTTTGGGACCTGATCAAATTGAAATTCTAGCCCGCAAAACTTCCATCAATTGGACGGGCTGTAAGCAATATCGAGTCATCGTTTCTAGGGTTATGAAGGCTCTGGGTGCGTGGCATTGAAGAAATCGGAGCAGGGTTCTAGACGGGCTTTTGCCTGGCTTTGCTTTGGGAGACGGTTTACGATGGAATCTAGGTTGCAGAAATTTCAAGGGAAGCCATTACTCGTTTTTCCAACTTTGGCCTAGTGTCGTTGCCGTAAACAGGTTTACGCTTCAAGTTGAACATATGCGGCCCTTCGTATCGAGACCATACACGCCAATATGTGCGCTTCAATAGCGCATTAGCGTTGTCGCGGCTCGTGGGTCATTCATATCCCGGCCATAGGTCACGAATCTTGGTTGAAATTTCGACTTTCTGCTACTATTTTCGGGTATCGTTGCACGCCATTCTACAGATATCCTCCAAGCTCTTCCATTGCACAGAGAAATTCGTCGTTCAGCGAACCTAGCGGGCATTTTCTTCGACGCGTACCATCAGGGCCATCAATCTGAAACAAGTTTTAGGTCAGCCGTTTCTCGAGCCTATTTACCCAGCCGTAATTCTGCAGCGCCGACTCAGCCATGTCGCAGCTGTATCCGCGGCTCCAGGTCTCGCCGGAGGAGCTCGCAGCGCTCCAGTACCATCCGAAGCGCATCCGAAATATCTGCGTCCTTGCGCACGTGGATCACGGAAAGACCACGCTGTCAGACCACTTAATCGCCAGCAACGGTCTAATCCACCCGCGGCTCGTCGGAAAGCTTAGGTTCTTAGACTGGCGGGAAGATGAGCAGCGGCGCGGGGTTACCATGAAAAGCTCGTCGATCGCACTGCTGTTTAAGCGGCACGCTGCGTCGCCCGGTGGAACGGCGGGGGGAAAGGCGCAGCAAGCGGAGGGCGGAGGGGAAGGGGGAAAAGGGGGAGGCGTGGAGGGCGGAAAGACAGGGGTGCAGGATGGTTTGGAGGATAAATATCTGGTCAACCTCATTGACTCCCCTGGACACATTGACTTCTGCAGGTAACGATCTTGCTTCCCACTTTTGAGACGTCTCAAGAGAGGATAAATATCTGATCAACCTCATTGACTCCCCTGGACACATTGACTTTTGCAGGTAACGATCTTGCTTGTAAGGAATCGTTTGAGGCGTGGGAGAGGGCAAGACAGGAGTGCAGGATGGTCTAGATGATAAATATCTGATCAACCTCATTGACTCCCCTGGACACATTGACTTCTGCAGGTAACGATCTTGCTTATAAAGGAAAAAGGAACGATTACAGCACATAGACGCACGCAGTGAGACTCTTTGAGTCAGCGCTTAACGACACAAACTGTGCTCTCCTGAGGTTTCAGCCCCCATCTCCCATGCACTTCCCACGTTTTTGTGCACTCATTGTGGCCGTTGTTGCAGCGAGGTGTCAACAGCAGCACGCGTGTCGGATGGGGCAGTGGTGCTGTTGGATGCAGTGGAAGGGGTTAGAGACCTTGCACGGACAGACGCACGCCGTGAAACACACTCACTGGTCTCACTCTCTCCCTCCCATCTCCCACCCTCCCCCCCTCCCCCCCCCCCCCCCGGACATTGTGACCGCTGTACCAGTGAGGTGTCAACAGCAGCGCGTGTGTCGGATGGGGCAGTGGTGCTGGTGGATGCGGTCGAAGGGGTGCACATACAGACGCACGCCGTGCTCAGACAGGCCTGCCTAGAGCGCCTGCAGCCTGTGCTCGTTATAAACAAGATGGACAGGCTTATAACGGAGCTTATGCTCACTCCTGCGGAGGCCTACGAACGACTCAAGGTGGGTTGGATGCACAGGTGTAGTTTCTGTTTCCAAGCCAAGGTGGTAGTTTTTGTTTCTGTTTACTTGACTTTACAATATCTTTTTGAACGCTCGAGTTGACGAGTGTTCAAAGACGCGTATGTCTCTGTTCTCCTTCATCTGCCGACCCCCGGCCAGCAATTCGTGTTTTCTAGACCTTGAACCTTAAACCTCTTCACTCCCTTACCATAACTCCTATCCCCCACCTTAAACCCTGTCCTGAAACCCCTTATCCCCTTGACAGGGCGTAATTACGGAGGTCAACAACATCATCCACACCTATGACTCTCTTCCCCCTTTTTTCTCTCTCCCATACACGTAACACACCACCCTCCCCCCATCACCTTCTCCCCAAACCTCCTCTCTACCCCCCTCCCTCCCCCCCCCCCCTCCTTTCAGGGCATAATCACGGAGGTCAACAACATCATCCACGCATTCCGCTCTGAGAAATACATGTCCCACGTGGACTCCCTCTCCCTGCCAGCTGGCGCCACGTCAGCAGGCCATTTGGCTGGTGCTGACGGGGAAGCAAGTGGGGGTGGAGCAGGAGAGGGGGAAGGGAGGGGCGTGGGGGTGAGGGTGGCGGGGGAGGGGGAAGAGGAGGAGGATGAGGAGGATGTGTTTTCCCCGGATAAAGGGAATGTGGCGCTGGCAAGTGCGGTGGATGGTTGGGCTTTAAGGGTGAATGACTTTGCAGCCATGTATGCGAGAAAGCTGGGCGCGTCTGAAAATGCCCTCATGAAGGCCCTTTGGGGTGACTGGTGAGTCATTTGTGCTGTTACATGCTATCACGTACGCATACATTCATTGCTATAAGGTTGAATGCTCGCTTCGGGAAGCACGGGGTGAACTTATAAGGCGTTCAAGGGGAGTTGATTTGATACTACGCATGTTTTTACCCTTCGCCTGCCCCTCCTCCCCAGGTACTACATCCCCAAAACCAAGAAGATCCTGAAGAAGAAGGCCGCACAGGCAGCAGTGGCCGGCGCATCTTCATCTGCTGCCGCGCGGCTGCGGCCGATGTTTGTCCAGTTTGTGCTGGAGCCCGTGTGGCAGATCTATGAGGCTGCCTCCCAGGGAAGCAACAGTGGTAACAGTGGTGACAGTGGTAACAGTGGTAACAGCAGCTACAGTGGCAGTGGCTGTAGTGGTAATGCAGAGGACGGCAGCAAATCCAATCCGATTCTCGAGAAGATCATATCTTCGCTGGGTCTGTCTGTGCCGCCCAAGGATCTCCAGCACAAGGACCCCCGCACCGTCGCCCAATCAGTGATTGCCAGGTGGCTGCCTCTCGCGCCGTGCATTCTCTCCATGGTGGTGGATTGCCTTCCCGACCCTGTCGCCGCCCAGAAAGACAGGCTCGGGTGCTACCTGCCGAACCGGCCCACCGTACCGAGTGGTTCGGTAGACAGGTCTGGGAAAGAGGGGGAAGGGGAGGAGGAGGGAGGGGAGGAGAGGGTGTTGCGACAGGTGGCGGCGGTTGATAGGGCGGTGGAGATGTGTGATTCGAGTGAAGAGGCCCCGTGTGTGGTCTTTGTTTCTAAGATGTTTGCCGTGCCTTTTGAAATGCTTCCTAGGGAGGAGCAGCGGGCAGAAGAGGATGCAGCAGCAGCAGCAGCAGCAGCAGGAGGAGGAGCAGGGGCGGGAGGAGATTTAACCACAGTGGACGATTTAGCAGGCTCAGTGCGCGATCGAGACTTCTTCTTTGCGTTTGCCCGCGTTTTCTGCGGACGGCTGCGGGCGGGGCAGCGCGTGTTTGTCCTTTCCCCTCTGTACGACCCGTGCCGCGCGGCGACGTGGGCGCGGCACAGACAAGAGGCGCAAGTGGGCGCACTGTTCATGATGATGGGGCAGGGGCTGCAGCCAATCAGCAGCGTGCCAGCTGGCAACTGCGTGGCGATCAAGGGATTGGAGGCGTGCATTCTGAAAAGTGCGACTGTGGCTTCCACTCCCTACTGCCAGCCGTTTTCTTCCATGGTGTTCCAGGTAAGAGAGCATATGGGGCAAAAGCAGTTGCCGTGGCGATCAAGGGATTAGAGGCGTTCATGTTGAAGGGTGCCATTGTGGTGTGGCTTCCACTCCCTACTGCCAGCCATTCTCGTCCATGGTCTTCCAGCTGAGGCATTGTGAAGGGCAAAGGGCGGGCGATGATGCGAAGGGCGTGCTTTTTCGAGAGTGCCATAGAGTGTGCAGTGCAGCAGGGGGCAGGGGAGCAGAAGGGGAGGTGCATCTGGAGCGCTGCGCTGCATCAAGGTGGTGTCCTTGATGCGCTGCACTCCTGCGCTGAGTGCAATCACACTCCAACAATCACACTCCACCCTGTCCTCCCTCCCTCTCCCACCCGTACCACAGGCTGCTCCTATTGTCCGAGTGGCAATCGAGCCAGAGGATCCCCACCACCTGCCCCTCCTAGCTCGGGGTGTCCGCCTGCTCAACCGCGCGGACCCGTTCATTGAAGTGGTATCGGCTCGCTCGCGCGAGCACGTGGTGGGGGCAGCAGGGGAGGTGAGCGATGCATCAAGGACCTGCAGGAGCGAGATTCATTAATCCCTCCCTCATTCCCTCCCTTCCCTCCTGCCCTCTCCCCCAGGCTGCTCCTATTGTACGAGTGGCAATCGGGCCAGAGGACCCCCGCCACCTGCCCCTGCTTGCTCGAGGTCTCCTCCTGCTTAACCGCGCCGACCCCTTTGTGGAAGTCGTATTAGCGCGCTCAGGAGAGCACGTGGTGGGGGCGGCGGGCGAGGTGCACCTGGAGCGATGCATCAAGGACCTGCAGGAGCGCACTTCACTCATCTCATCTCAGCAATCACACTCCACTCTTCCCTCTTACCCCTTCCACAGGCCGCCCCCATAGTCCGAGTGGCGATTGAGCCTGAGGACCCCCGGCACCTCCCTCTGCTAGCCAGGGGTCTTCGTCTCCTTAACCGCGCAGACCCCTTTGTAGAAGTGGTGTTGGCTCGCTCAGGGGAGCATGTGGTGGGGGCGGCGGGCGAGGTGCATCTGGAGCGATGCATCAAGGACCTGCAGGAGCGAGATTCATTTGTCCTTCCCTCATTCCCTCCCTCCCCACTCTCCTCTCTCCCAGGCTGCTCCTATTGTACGGGTAGCAATCGAGCCAGAGGACCCTCGCCACCTGCCCCTCCTCGCCCGGGGCCTGCGTCTCCTAAACCGTGCAGACCCGTTTGTAGAGGTCGTATTAGCGCGCTCCGGAGAGCATGTGGTGGGGGCAGCAGGCGAGGTGCATCTGGAGCGATGCATCAAGGACCTGCAGGAGCGCTTCGCACGCATCAAGCTGGTTGTCTCCAAGCCCATCGTGTCCTTCCGAGAAACTATTGCCCCCACGGGGTATGCAACGGGGCATGCGACTGGATCAGTGACTGGATCTACAAGTGCATCTGGGTCTGAAAATGCGTCGGTTTTTCCTACCACGGTGCTTACGGTTACCACCACCCCGGGTCCCCCTCCTAGTCTCACATCAGTGCTAGGTGCTGGGGTTGATGGGACGAGCAGCAGTGGGAACTCAGCATCCTCGTTAGCAGCAGCTTCGTTATCACCGCTAGCAGCGCTGGCAGCGAATTCAGCGTCTTCGAGTGCGTCTGTTGCTTCTGGAGCAGCCATACCGTTGGGCTTCGGCCTTGGTTACGCGCTTGCGGTTACCACAACCGGCACAGGTACCAGCAGTGGTGGTGCTGCTGCTGCTGCTGCTGCTGCGGGTAGTGGTGGTAACCCTGCAAATAGTACCTTTGGTTCCTCAGCAGCAGGAGCAGGAGCAGGGGCAGGGGCAGGTTTACCTGGGGGAGGTGCTTTCTGGACGGAGCTCTGGGCGGCAAATGGGCGGTGCCGGGTGCGCGTGCTCGTTGAGAAGTTTCCAGGAAAGCTGGCAGCTTTGTTAGAGAGGGAAGGGGAGATTCTAAGGGATGTGCTTGTAGAGGAAGGAGGAGGGGTGGGGGGCGGAGGGAGGGGAGGAGGAGGAGTAGGAGCAGGAGGAGGGGAAGGGGGAGGAGAAGGAGAAGGAGACACGTCAGCACCATCAGAAAATTCAACCCAGTCAATTCAGTCAATGCAGTCAAGACAGTCAGCCACTCTCTCATCGCTAAGGCAGCGCCTTCTAGAAGCTATAGATGAAGCAGATCCAGACGAGGGCTTGGACGCATCTGGGGGAGGCTCATCTGCTTCTGCCGCCTCTGCTTCCGCCGCCGCTTCGTCTTCTTCTGCGGCGAACCAGCCAATGGGAGCGGAGGCGAGGCGGACGGCAGTGGCGGATTTCCGGGGGGCATGGAGGAGCAAGCTGGAGAGAATCTGGTCGCTAGGGCCGAGACACGTCGGCCCAAACCTGCTGCTGGCTCCTATTCCTGTGACTTCAGGTGGGAGCAGTACTGTGGCTCCTAATCCCGGTAGTAGGAGTAGTACTGTTCCCTCAACGTCAGGCGTTTCTGGGAGCTTGCCACCTGGCGGTGTGGTCGTTCCCGGGCTGCCGGAAGCTTCCTGGAAGCTGGGGCTGGCGAGCACGGGTGCAGCGCAGGGCGGTGCGGAAGAGACGGGGAAAGAGGTGGGAGGGTCGAATGGTGCGGTTAGTGGAGCAGATGGGGAGGAGCGGGAGGAGAGGGAGGGTGGTGCTGTTGTTGGTGATGCTTCTGTTAGTCCCTCTAGTGCGCCAGACCATGAAGCGGCGCTGCGGAACGAAGCGGCCGGTGAGACTTCTCAAGACCATGATGACGTGGCACTGCAGCACGAAGCGGAGGGATTGGCCGGGTCGGTGGTGAGTGGCTTCCAGCTCGCCACGTCAGCAGGGCCTCTGTGCGAGGAGCCCCTGTGGGGGCTGGCGTTCACTGTAGAGGTCGTGATTGTAAAGGGGGCTGGCCGCCCAGGAGGAACCTTCAGTAGTATCACTACCACCAGCAGTGGCACCAGCAGCAGCGAGCAGCCGGCCAGTGACGACGCAGCACCACAGCTTTCAGTAGCACAGAACGTGCCTACATCTAGTGTGCCTATATCAGGGCAGGTGATGAGTGCAGTGAAAGACGCGTGCAGAGCAGCAGTAGCAGCCAACTCGCCTCGGCTGGTGGAAGCCATGTTTCTGTGCGAGGTCACCACCACCACTGAGGCTCTAGGCGCCGTGTATGCCGTGCTGGGGAGGAGGCGAGCAGCCGTGGTGCGGGAGGAGATGAATGAGGGATCAGGGATGTTCACTGTGCACGCGCACCTGCCCATGGCCGAGTCGTTTGGGTTTGCGGAGGAGCTCAGAGGAAGGACGTCCGGTGCTGCCAGTCCCCAGGTAAGCCGCTTCCTCCTTCCCGCGCTTCTCCCTTCCCCTGCCCTTTTTCCTCCCTCTGAGGGCTGTGTGTGCGGTGCTGGGGAGGAGGAGAGCAGGAGTGGTGAGGGAGGAGATGAACGAGGGATCGGGGATGTTTGCGGTGCATGCGCATCTGCCCATGGCGGAGTCGTTTGGGTTTGCGGAGGAGTTGAGAGGCAGGACATCTGGTGCAGCCAGTCCCCAGGTAAGCCGCTTCCCCCTTCCCACGCTTCCCCCTTCCCCTGCCCCATTTCTGGGGGGCGTGTATGCGGTGCTGGGGAGGAGGAGAGCAGCGGTGGTGCCGGAGGAGATGAACGAGGGGTCGGGGATGTTCGCTGTACATATTTATGGATGGCTGAGTTGTTTGGATTTGCAGAGGAGTGGCAGGACGTCCGGTGCTGCCAGCCCCCAGGTAAGCCCTTTTATTGGTTCCCACATCCCTCCTTATCCTTCCCTTATACGATCTGTTCTTTGTGCCACGGACAGAGGAGGAGCGGGAGGAGTTAGGCGACTCGGGTTTGGGGTTTTGCTCCTCATCCTGCTTACTATCTTCTCATGTCCAACCTTGCCTTACACAGCTCCCATCTTCCTTCCACCCCCCCCCCCCCCCTTTTGTCTCCTCCCCCTCCGCCTTTCTCTCCTCCCCCTCTCCTCTCCCAATCTTCCCTTTCCACGGACAGCTGGCGATGAGCCATTGGTCGATGGTCCCGGACGATCCGTTCTTTGTGCCGCGGACCGAGGAGGAGAGGGAGGAGTATGGCGACTCAGGGGTGGGGCTAGGTGTGAATGTGGCGCGGAGGCTGGTGGATGGGGTGAGGAGGAGGAAAGGGTTACCCGTGGAAGAGAAGGTGGTTGAGAAGGCCACAAAGCAACGCACCCTTGCTCGCAAGGTGTGATAGGTCTTTCACTGTGGTGCAGGGAGGAGAGGGAGGGGTATGGCGACTCGGGGGCTTGGGTGTGAACGTGGCTCGCAGGCTGGTGGATGGGGTGAGGAGGAGGAAAGGGCTCGGCTCGGCCTGTGGAGGGAAAGGCGCTAGGGAAGGCAAGGCTACGAAACAGCAGACTTATTGAATGCTTTCGACCGCTGATAGTGTTATGTGAGCAAGCGACAATTGAATTGAAGTTGTTGCAAAACATGATCCTAGCGATGATCACAAGGTTCAGCATTGTGTTGCATTGCATGCCTTCCGCTTGGTACAATGTATCAGACCAGGGCTACACTCTAGTAACGTGGCATCATACAAACACATGTCTCTTCTCAAGATATTGTCCTGTTGTGGCATTGGCTTGGCTTGCGTCGGCAAACCAAATTTGGGCTTTAACTTTTTCTATAAGATGCGAAATCATTTGAACTTTCTTTCAAAACTTGAATTTGAGTCGGGTCGGGTTGTGCCACATCTGGAGGGGTTGCTAGCCCACCGCAGTTCGGGCCTTCTTGTCCTCAGCGGGCGCCGAAGGTTGGTTCAGCTCGGCTCGGCTCGGCTCGGCTCGGTTCGGCTCGGCCTGTCGGTTTTTTCGCTGGGGTGGTCCGCAAGGGGGCATGGCACCCCCTGTGCCTCACATCTCCCTCGGTCGTGTCTCGACAAACGACAACATCGAACCGTACGATAGCAGCCCTAGTGTAACAGTGCAGCAGCCGAATGCTGCCAACTGCAATGCAGGTGGGCGGAAGTCACTCGTAACAGTGCAGCAACACACTTCCAAGAACAGTGCAGGTGGGCGGAAGTCAAGCGCCACCTCACCTACAGTTCGGATTGGTCAAACGCCTCAACCTGCAGCTGGGCGACCAGATTCCGACACGCAGCCCAAGTCAATCCCACGCACGAAAATTACGAAACGCAGGACACCAAAGTTCCGACCGCTCGCCGACTTCGCCAACAACACCGACGAAATTACAGCCCCGTAACCAAGCTCGCCGGCCAATCCCGTACCGCAATAATTCTCTGAATTTCACGGCAGGTTCATTTCAAAGGGTTGGGTTACCATTGAGAAATTCAGAGAAAGTCGCGACTTGGGAGTGCGACTCGATGTTTGAATGTGCTCTATAAAATTGTACTAAGAAATTTGTGAAGTCATAATGCAATTTCCAGAAAATTCCAGAGAGCACTCTATACTCATTCTCCAAGCCTACTAAGGGTACATTCCGCTGTGGACACATGTCCCAATCGATGTGTCCCAATCGGGTGTACCGCACTGCATCTTATTACACCGAATTACACCCTAGTTTCAAAATTTTCGCTTCTCTGGTTTAGTGCGGTTCGGAGCGGTACACCCGATTGGGACACATCGATTGGGACGCATGTCCACAGCGGAATGCGCCCTAAGGCTACTATCTCCCTGCCAGCAACGTTTCACCTAGCGAGGGAACTGAAGGGAAATGCTCGGCCCTATTACTAGCTCGCTCGGCCCCCTTACTAGACTGACAAGTACGGCCGCCATAACGGCGCCCCTTCCACGTCAGCTCTCTCGTCGCGTAGCGCCGCCCACGGCGGAGGGGTCGCCAACGCTATGTACAACTCGGCAGGATTTTTTAGGCTTGAGGCACCTCAAAGATCGCTACTTCCCAAGCCTAAAAAAATCCTATCCACACATGAGGTCTGCCTCCGGAGCGCGCCTCCCTCCGTCCCCGTCGTGTCGCGCTCCTCTTCGTCCACATGTTCGCGACGAGTCGCCTCGGCTCGCTGATCAAGTATCATGCCATCCGGAAACGTACGGGGCCCACTTGACCTTCCGAAGTCAACTCTCTTATAAGAACGTTTAACTCCCCTATAAGAGCGTTCAAAACTGCGGTGTTTTCACTATCGTAGGGGTGACCCCTCAGGCGTCCCAGCCCATCCCACCTCATCTGCCGTGTTTTCACTACCCCTCACGCGTCCCCAACCCATCCCATCCCATCCCACGCGCTCAGCGGCTGAAGGGACGGAGGCAGTAAAACTTCTTCTGACAGTAAACCACCTGCATCACGACGACCACCAGATTCTTCATTTCAGATCGCCGCGTTCTCCCTTCCTCTGGTACTATTATCACTACTACGGTGATCATGGCGCGCTCGACACCTCTCGTCTTCGTCCTGCTCTGTAAGCTTTATTGTTGCTACTGAGAAGTCTCAAAACTAAGCACTCTCACAGACGCGGTTTTCAGAATCTGCTCTTACTTTTGCTCCTTCCCGTGGTGCCTCAAAAACAGTCCCGGCGCCTCTCATCGTCTTCGTCCTTCTCTATAAAGCACACTCTCGCATGCTGTTTTCTAGAATTCTAAAGAAAGTGTCTGCTCTTACTTTTGCTCTTAGTACCCCTAGTGACGACTCATCGATCGGCGATCGATGCCACTCCGTTTGTTAGGCGCCCAAAAAACAAACCCTGCACCTCTCGTCTTCGCGCAACCTTCTGTAGCACTATCACCTCTATCCCCTGCTCTCTTGGTACCTTGACCTCCTAGTAGTACCGCGGTGATGACTCATCGATCTCTCTGCCACTCCGCGTTGCTCTGATTGCCGCTTCCACTTCCACATCAAAAGACAGACGTATTTTGTGTCGACTCAATACAGCGGCACTGGCTTTGCCTGTGGCAGGTATTGAGGCGCCTCAAAGGTCTTTCGAGGCGCCTCAATAGTTGTCTGGCAGGTTTTCGTGTGAATCGTCTTTCCTCCTCATGATGCTCTCGCGTGCGTGCGTGCGTGCGTGCGTGCGTGCGTGCGTGCGCTGCCTACCCCCCCCGCCCCTGCCAGGTGCAGCGTTCTTCACTGCCGCCGCGCCTGCCTCAATCTTCCCGCCGTTCCTCCTACCCAAACGACAGTCGACTCAAAAGTCATCCTGTTTTGAGTCGACTCAAAGGTCGCGTGTGCGTCCCCCCCCCCCCCCCCCCCCCCCCCCCCCCCCCCTTCCCCCCCGCCAGGTGCAGCGTTCTTCACTGCCGCCGCGCCTGCCTCTCAGTCTTCCCGCCGTTCCTCCTACCCAAATGACTTTTCAGCCGACACAAAAGTCACCTCGTTTTGAGTCGACTCAAAAGTCGCGTGCGCTGCCTCCCCCCCCACCCCTCTCCCCACCAGGTGCAGCGCTCTTCACTGTCGCCACGTCTGCAGGCATAATTCATCCCTTCTATAGTAGCATGACAGTCGCCCCCCCTCATCATGATGCTCCCGCGTGCGTGCGCTGCCTTCCCCCCGCCAGGTGCAGCGCTCTTCACTGGCGCCGCGTCTGCCCCAATCTTCTCGCCATTCCTCCTACCCAAACGACAGTCGACTCAAAAGTCACGTGCGCTGCCTCCCCCCCTCCCCTCTCCCCGCCAGGTGCAGCGTTCTTCACTGTCGCCGCGTCTGCATCGATCTTCCCGCTCTTCCTACCCAAAGCCGGCGTTTCAGCCGGCACGGCTGCTGCTGCTCAGGCGAAGCCCTTGGTGTGGAAAGGGAAAACTGTCAGTAGGTGTGTTGATTCAGATTTCTCAAAACGTGACTCAGCCCTTACGTGCCTGATCCGCAGCACTCTTTCTTCCTTGGCAGCCGCAGCACCAGCGGTGCAAACCGACTGCATACCTCCTCCATAGTTCAGCAGATATTTTAATTCCTTCTGATAAATCATGTGCTCTACCACTTTATGTGTTGCTTAGAAAAGACTTTTGAGAGCTCTAAAAAAAGTGTGTGTGTGTGTGTGTGTGTGTGTGTGTGTGTGTGTGTGTGTGTGTGTGTGCGTGTGCGTGTGCGTGTGCGTGTGCGTGTGCGTGTGCGTGTGCGTGTGCGTGTGCGTGTGTGTGTGTGTGGTGTGTGTGTGTGTGTGTTTTTTTTTTATTAATTAATTTATTTATGGATATTGGCATCCCATCCGAGAGTCATGTGGTAGTACTAGCTCCAGGGATTCGTGCAGCTCTGTTTTTTTCTGCTGTTGCAGGGTGCTTCGAGGAAAAAAAAAAATTGCTGCAGGGCGTCTCATGCTAGTATTTTCTCTGAAATCTTCTGCTTCCACGTCCTTCCCCATGCACCGCTATCCCTGCCAACCCCACTACCACCAGTGAAGTACGTGGCAATACTGCGCCCTACTAAGGTCAATGGGAAGGTGGTTGGCGACAAAGGCGCGTCGGGGAAACATGTCGCCAAGGTGGTGAGGTGCGTGCGGCTCCCTGTGACTACTATCTTTGAGTCCACTCAAAACACGGCAAATTGCGTCCCACTAAGGTCAATGGGAAGGTGGTTGGCAACAAAGGCGCATCGGGGAAACATGTCGCCAAGGTGGTGAGGTGCGTGCGGCTCCCTGTGACTACTATCTTTGAGTCCACTCAAAACACGGCAAATTGCGTCCCACTAAGGTCAATGGGAAGGTGGTTGGCAACAAAGGCGCATGGGGGAAACATGTCGCCAAGGTGGTGAGGTGCGTGCGGCTCCCTGTGATTTCTATCTGCTAGTGCGATTGTTCCATGTAATCATTCACGACTAATTTTAAGCCCCACGCTGCGCCCAATAGTTCCCATCCCCACTCACATTCCCCCCTTTCCCCCTCCCCAACCCCACCTCCCCCCCCCCCCCCTCCCCCTCCCTCCCTCCCCATCTCCACCCCCTTCGTTCCCCCGCGCGGCCCTCCCCCTCCTTCCATACCCTCACTGCAGGTACTCTGCAACTACATACTATGCCACGTATCATTTCGCTGCTCTGAACATAAAATCGGGAGGGAAGGCACCTCTCTTTACCCACGGGTTTTCCTGCACCGAACCCTCCTCCGGACCGGATATACAGTGGGTTAACATCACCAGTGACAGAACCGGCCGGCGTAAGCGCTACAGCTTCACTTTCACGGTTAACCAGGGGCCGCATTCGCTGGCTGACTCGCGTGAAGAGGTTGCAGGTTACTATAAGGTGTTCGGCCCTTATATGAGGATTGGGCTTGAGAACAGCAAGTATCCGTCACTCTGCGGGAAGGTTAAGAAAGTGAAGGGTTAGCGGGTGGGTGGTTGGTTCGCTTCGGCTTCCGCTCCGTACTTTAATCTCTGGGCTGGTTCGCTCCGAGACTCCTGTCGGAAATGTTTGACACTTGTCAGATAGTGCTCTGGTTGACTCAACATTTGACAACTCTATCTGCGCAAGCAAATGCTCTTGTCGGATAGTATAGCCTATGGAGGGAACGAATTTGCTCTGCGCGGTAGAGTGTTTTTGAGAATCTCATAACACTTTACATCGCTCTGAGACTATGTCTGCGCAATCAAGTGCTCTTGTTGGATAGTACTTTACATATGGAGGGAATGGATTTGCTCTGCCTGCGTGGTGGTCAGACTGCTGACAAGGCATTACCCTTTAAAAGGTGCATTTGGAAAGTTGCTACTTGACTCTTGCTCCTCTTGTGTGCATCGCATAGCAACCTGAGCAAGGTTGCATGCGTGGAAGCAGCACATGAGATTGCAAACCTTGGCGAGATATTGCATTTCAGATTTATTAAAGGTCGTATACCGTAGCACTGAACTGGCAAGAGGCGACAGGGGGACTGGCAAAGAAACAGAAATTTCTTCTTATGCAACAGGGATTTCTTTCCGACAAGTGTATTGCATATTGGGGGTGTCAGCTAGGTTCTTGTCACACTAACGAGTTCTTAAGACACCCTTCGTCTCATCGGGCGCGCGTGAGTTGAACGCGCGCCTTCAGGATTCCCAATGTCCTCGGTGTCGTCTCGCCAGGGCCCGGCACTTTCCGGAACTGAGTTGACCAGGGACTCAAAACACCCTTGGTCTCGGCCGGGTTGAGTGAAACTGGGTTGAACGCGCGGCTTCAGGATTCTCAATGCCCTCGGAGTCGTCTCGCCAGGGGCCCGGCACTTTCTGGAACTGAGTTGACCAGGGACTCAAAACACCCTTGGTCTCGGCCGGGTTGAGTGAAACTGGGTTGAACGCGCGGCTTCAGGATTTTCAATGTCCTCCGGGTCGTCTCGCCAGGGGCCCGGCACTTTCCGGAACTGACAGGCAGACACAGGGGGAGAGAGGGGAGAAACCGGAAGGGAGTGTTGCTGAGGGAGTGTTGCTGAGGGAGTGTTGCTGAGGGGGTGTTGCTGAGGGAGCATGCGAGGTGAAGGCATGATGTCAGGATTCTCAATCTCCTCCGGGTCATCTCGCCAGGGTCCTCACATTTTCCGGAACTGACGGGCGGACAGGGGAGAGGGGCGAGAATGAAAGGGGGTGCTGCTGAGGGAGGGAGCGAGATAGGGTAGGACAGATAGTCAAACAGATTGTGACGAAACTGTCAAATAGAGGGAGCTGCTTACCAGGACCCGAAAGGAGGAGCACGGAAGAACGAGAGAAAAACCAGGCACGCTCTCTCTTACCACGATTGTTTGAGCCGACTCAAAACACGCTCTTTCTCCCTTACCTCGATTCGCTGACCGAGAAGCTCTTGCGCTGCAGCCATCCAGGAAGGAAGAACAAGAGAAGAGCCAGGCCTGCTGTTCGCAGGAAGAAGAGAAGAGCCAGGAAGAACAAGGCCTCAATCCACTCTCTCTCTCTCTCTCTCTCTCTCTCTCTCTCTCTCTCTCTCTCTCTCTCTCTCTCTCTCTCTCTCTCTCTCTCTCTCTCTCTCTCTCTCTCTCTCTCTCGAACGGCCCTTCGTATTAATATCATCAAGGTACAGACAAGGTAAGTCAGCAAACACATGCAGCAAAGCTACTATATCACGCCCCTATCCCGCCACCTCTACTGCCGCTCCCCCTCCCCTTCCGGCCCTAGTGGCCGGAGGGGTCTTCTACCAACTGGTATAGCTGGTCCTCGCTCAGTGGAGTGAACGGGCCCTGTATGCCAAGCACATCCGCGGTAAGTGCCTCATGAATCTTGTCCCTGAGGGCGTTGGCTTGGGCTCTCTGCAGGGTCACGCTCCAGCGCTGGCGGTACTCGGTGAGTAGTTTCGCCGTCTCCCTCGACTTCGGTGGGGCGTTGAACCGCCGCTTCGCCGCCAGTTCCGCGCAGCTGCGGAGGAAGTCGAGGACCCCAGCTGAAGGGTACCCGTAGGTCTCCACGGCCATGGCGTAGAAGCCCACCCACGGGCTCCGCCCGGCGTACTTGGTCTCCTTCTTGTCCGCTTGCATCCTGGCCACCCACCCGGGTGCCTTGCGAGCGTACTCATCCTGGTGGGAGACGGGGTCCGTGACTGTGATGTCACATATCCACACTGCGCCGGTGTCGGGATGGCGGATAGAGATATCCGCTTTGAGGTTTTCGACCGGTGAGTATGCCGTTGTCTCCTTGTGCACCGTGAATCCCGCTTCAGCTGCTATCTTCGCGCACTCATCCCTCAAAGCATTGTGAGTGCTGATTCTCCCCCCCCCTTTTTCACACCGCATCAAGTGGTTCGGCAGGCGATGGTCCGGGAAGGTGGTGCGGTACCTGCAGTTGCAGCGTCTCGGCACAGGTAGGGGCAGCCCCAGGCGGAAGGACGCAGCAGTGGAGAACTGAGAGGGTCCGAGGCGGAGGGCAGGGATCAGGGGGATGGCCAGCAGCCAATCCCCCGCCCCCGGTCCTAAGAGGGACTGTAGCCTCTGTGTGTGGCCGAACAATGGGTTCGGCTCCATGTTCCGTGAGCCGTCAAGCAGTCGGATGTAGCGGGCGGTGTGTACTGCGAGGGAGAGGGCCTGCTGTAGTTTCGGCCCGTTAGGCTTCTGTCTCCCTGTCTGCAGGGCGTCTACTCCCTCAGGTGGCAGTTCGGCTTCCAGGGCGGCGAGGCGTCGAGGGAGGAGGGATGTGGACTCTCCGTCCGCCTCCATCAGCGGCAGCAGGCCTGATAGGCTCGGGTTTGCCGAGTCTCCGAAGGAGCGTAGCAGGTGGGCGGCCGAAACAACTGAAGCCAGGTAGGCGAATCCCCCCTCCACTGCAGGGTTGGTGATGCCGAGACCCCCTAGGGACGCGGGCAGAGCGGCTTGGTGCCAGATTCTGTCCCTCTCAGCCCGGTCCCTGGGGATACTTGTGTGTGCCGCGGCTAGGTAGGTGTGGAGTAGTGACTCCCCCCAAGCCGACCACTCCTCCAACGGTAGGGCTTCAGGGGGCGTGGCTCTGACCAGGAACGAGGCGCGGCAACTCACGCAGCGGGTGAGTAGTAGCAGACAGAGTTGGGGGTCCATCTGGGCGAGGAGCGTGAGAGGTTCCGACGCTGCTGCGAGGCGCTCCCAAACACGTGCTTCACAGCCGATGGGGGGGCCTATGGGGCTGCCGAGAACGCGGACTCCGTCCGGTGAGATTGTGACGCCCGCGGGTAAGGAGGCGGGGTCAAGCGCAGCTGCGGACCACGCCTCACATTTTGCTGGGTTGTGGGTGAGCCCGAGGAGGCGGAGGGCATCTGTGAGGTGTGTGAATGCCGCCGTGCAGCTCGCTGCCTCCCCGAGCAGAGTGATGTCAACTGCATACGCCAGAAACACCACGTCCGGGTGAGCCGCTGCTACTTGGACGAGGCAAGGGTGTATGCCGGCTGCAAACAGCATGGGTCCCAGCGGGTCACCCTGGCGTACGCCCCGTGCGCTCTTGAGTGGCTCTGCTGCGAAGTCATGGTCGAGGTAGAGTGCCGATGAGTGGCCGTAAGAGAAGCGTACGAGGGGCACCAGGACTTCGAGTTCGGTGCCTCTCAGGCCCTCGAACACTGCTGCGCGTTCTACAGCATTGAAGGCATTGGCTAGATCTATTTGGAGCGCCGTCGCTCCGGGGAACTCCTCCAGGTAGGTGCGTGCGGTGTGAATTGCCGCCTCTATTCCTCCCGCGATTGCTACTCCAAACTGAAGCGGGGTGAAGTGCTCGCGCGCCGCTGGAGCGGCGAGAAAAAGGGCCGCCTTCGCCACGAGGCGGAGCAGGCATTCGCCTACGGCAATCGGCCGCGTACCACCCTGCGGCTTCGAGAAGGCAAGGAGGCGTGACGCTGTTAGGAGGTCCGCCACGTCCGCCTTTAGTTTTCCAGCGAGCGCCGTGTTGGTAAGAGCATGCAGCTGCACGAAGACGTCTCCGTTCCCCAGGGCCGCGTCTCTAAGGTGCTCAAAGGTGGTGCCAGATGGCCCCGCCCCCACTCCGTTGGGGCATTTCGCGAGCAGCCGTCTGAAATCCCTAGCAGCGATGGAAGGGACGCTCTCTGGGGCGAAGTCGTGCACCCAGGGAGGGATGGCCGTGGTGGCGTCTGGATGTCTGGCTGTGAGCGCGTTGAGAACTTCAGCGCTCGGCGTGCAGACCGGCGTGGCAGTCAAGGTCTGCAGAGATTTCGCCAAGTTCCCTCTCTTAGCCAAGCCTTCGGCACGCGAGAGCTTGCCAGTGTCATCAGGTACGTGGCGTGGTTGGGGGTCGCTGGTAACCGCGCCTGCTGCCTCGTCGTACAGGTTGCGCCACAGGCCTTGGCGGAATCGCGTCAGCCTCACGCCCATGGTTTTCCAGTCGGGGGAGCATGCTGACGAGGTGCGCAACAGAATGCGCGGGAGAAACATCAGCAGCTTCCAGCCCGCTGTGGAGTCTGGGTTTTTCGCCAGGTGCAGCAGTGGAGTCAGCAGGCATATTGCGAAGGATTCGCGAAGTGGGCGGGGTGGGTGACGGGCGAGGGGGGGTTGCCTGCTGTCGCGCAGCGGGCAGAGGTCCCAGTTGGCGACGTCGTCAAAAAGGTCCTGACGCGTCGCCAAATCGTCTGCGCTGATGATTGGGACAGGGGTGGCGGGCTATGGGGCTGGGTTATTGGCAGGCGATGTGGTAACCCTGGTGTTGGGAGCGGCTCGATTTCCCCTCGCGGTCCGATTTTGGGGTTGTCGAATTGTGGATGCGGTTCGACCCCCAGGTGGGTCAGTCTCTTCCACCATTTCCTCCTCTGTTGAGGGATTCGAACTTCCCTCTCTTTCAAGGATAAAGTCAGGGTCACCCCCAGATTCATTTTCAGATTCGACACCAAGTGCTTCTCCTCCCTCCCTAGCTCTCTGCCGCAGGACCCGCTGTGCTGCTCGCGGGAAGCCACTCGCGCCCCTTCTCCGCGTCGGGGCGCCGCGTCCGCGGCGGTTGCTGCCTTGTCCCACCCGAAAACCGCGCGTTTCTCTTTCTCTTGCTGCTCCCGAACGCCTCGCGGTTGGTGCAGCGTCAGCGCCTCCCCTCCTTTGACGGTGCGCTGGCGTCGGCGGCGGTGGCGTCGGCCGTGATGGACCCATCCCGGGGTCAAGATCCTGCGCTGGAAGGTACAGCGGAGAGCGCTCAGCAGGGGCAGGTGCTGGAGCCGCCCGCGTCTCGTCCGCGACCCTCCGCGCGCCCCTCCGCAAGTGAGCCCGTTCGCCGCCTCGAGCGCGGCCTGTCTCTTCCACTTCGTGGCGTCCCTCAGCCCCCCTCACCGGAGTATTCGTGGGCCCTTGCCCGTGTGGGGTCCAACCGCCCTGCTGGTGCGCCTCGTCAGGAGCAAGGGCGCTCTCCACCGCGTCAGCCACCGCGGCAGCATTCTCCCCATCGGCGCTCCCCTGAGCCCCTGGAATCGCGGCCGCAGTCTCCCCGCTGCCGATCTCCTGAGCGTCGTGGTCGGGCAGGCCAGCGCTCACCCCGAGCGCGATCCCCCGCGCAACGGTCTCCGCGGCGATCTCCGGCGACGCGGGGGAGGGGGTCGCCCGGGCGTCGCTGGGATTCGGGTCGCCGCGAGCAGTCCCCTCCGCGTCCGCGCTCGGCTGGTTCTGGCGGTCGACGTGGTCGGCGGAATGGCGGTGGGCGCGGTGGTAGTGGGCGCGGGCTGGATCCAGCCCTTGATCAAGCCGCGAATGCGTTCGCGCAAGTGGTGCGGCAGGCGCGGGCAAGTGGGGAGGACACGCACGTACACATCGCGGTGACCAACGGCCCTCCCCTCGACCCGAGTTGTGCCCAGGCGGCTCCTCTACGCGCGCCGACGCTGCGCGAGTATCTGCCTGCGCGGGAGGGGCGGGTTCCGTTTCGCGCCCCCCGTCCAGTCCAGGGCTTCTCCGTGCCGCGCTTCTCTGTTGGCCGGACTCCTGGCTGGCCGGCGGCGTTTCCGCGCGAAGCACCGACTGCACCTCCCCCCATTCCCGCGGGGAGAGACCCCATGCTGACCATGTGTCGTCTTCTGAATTTGGTGGAGGCGTGCGAGGTGGTGGCGAATCTGCAGCTGGCGGTGTGTGGGGCCACGCGGAGCTTTCCGAGCAGTTACGGTCCAGGATCCCGAGGATCCTGCGTGTCTTTGGCAGAATCGCTCGAGTCGCCGTTGGCACCCGTGTCGGAAGCGCCCGCCGGGGTAGCGCCCTTAGCCCGTACTTTCCCCCGCCACGTGGGGGATCTTGTAGGGGTTGCTCGAGTCGGGACTCCGGCGGACACGCTTCGGTCGTCGGCGCACCTCCTTCTGTCACTTTCGGCGTGCATGCGCTCCATGCTCGAGGTAGAGGGGGCGGAGCCGTACACGATGTAGGCCTCCGCCTCTTGTAGAATTGCATCTCTGTCGCTCTTTGCCGTAGGGCTTCTCCCTTGCGTGTACCCCTGCGTATGCTCCCCCTTATAAGTTGTCCCGTTGCTCTCTCTCTCTCTCTCTCTCTCTCTCTCTCTCTCTCTCTCTCTCTCTCTCTCTCTCTCTCTCTCTCTCTCTCTCTCTCTCTCTCTCTCTCTCTCTCTCTCTCTCTCTCGAATGGTCCTTCGTATTAATCAGCAAGGCAGAACACACAGAGGTACTAAGCGTAAGCTAATCTAAACAAACAAACAAGACTCAACAAGCAACAAACAGGTAAGTACTACAACTTCTCCATCGCCTGCCCCTTCTCCCCACGACCCTATTGGCCGGTAGGGTCTTCCAGCAGTTGGTACAGCTGCTCCTCCCCTAGGCAGCCAAACGGTCCCTGCAGGCCGAGCTCGTCCGCGGCGAAGGCCTCGTGGGTCTTGTCGCGGAGGGCATTGGCCTGGGCGCGCTGGAGTGTGACGCTCCAGCGCTGCCGGTATTCCGTGAGCAGCCTGGCCACCTCCCTCGATTTTGGCGCTGCGTTGAACCGCCGCTTGCCCGCGAGCTCGGCACAGCTGCGGAGGAAGTCGTGTACTCCCGGGGAGGGGTAGCCGTATGTCTCGACCGCCATGGCGTGGAAGCCTACCCACGCGTTCCGTCGAGCGTACTTGTCCTCCTTCTTCGCGGCTTGCATCCTAGCCCCCCACCCCGGTGCCTTACGTGCGTATTCGTCCTGGTGAGAGACAGGGTCCGTCACGGTGATGTCGCACATGTGGACCTCGCCGGTGTCGGGATGGCGGATGCAAACATCCGCTTTCAGGTTTTCGACCGGTGAGTAAATTGTGGATTCCTTGTGCACCGTGTAGCCCGCCTCCGCCGCAATCCTTGCGCACTCATCACGAAGAGCATGGTGAGTGGCAATTCTCCCGCCGCCTTTCTCGCAACGCATTAGGTGGTTGGGGAGGCGGTGGTCCGGGAAGGTTGTGCGGTGACGGCAGTCGCAACGACGAGGGACCGGTAGGGGGAGGCCTAGCCGGAAGGAGGATGCGGTGGCGTGCTGTGGGGGCCGAGGCGAAGAGCTGGGGTCAGGGGGATGGCCAGCAGCCAATCTCCTGCCCCGGGGCCGAGGAGTGATTGCAGGCGTTGGGTGTGGCCGAAGAGCGGGTTCAGAGGCATCTCCCGCGAGGCATCGAGCACCTCGATGTAGCGAGCGGTGTGAACGGCCAGCGACAAGGCCTGCTGTAGCTACAGGCCATCTGTACCACGCTGGCCGGCCTGTAGAGCCTCCAGCCCATCCGGGGGCAGCGTGGCCTCTGCCGCTGCAAGGCGCCGAGGCAGGACCGAGGGTGAGTCGGCGTTTGCATCCAGTAGCGGCAGCAGCTGGTCTATTGCGGGGTGCAAAATGTCACCGAACGAGCGCAGCAGGTGGGCGGAGGAGATGACCGAGGCTAGGTAAGCGAACACCCCTTCCGTTGCTGGATTGGTGATGCCGAGGCCGCCCAGTGTCACGGGTAACGCGGCCTGCCGCCAGATTCTCCCCCGCTCCGCCTCATCCCGCGGTATCGCCGTGTGCGCCGCGGTCAGGTACGTGTGCAGCAGCTGCTCCCCCCACGCCGACCAAGTGTCTGCTGGCAGCACCTCCAGGGGCGTTGTCCTAACCAGGTACGAGGCGCGGCGGCTCACGCAGCGTGTCAGGAGGAGCAGGCTCAGCTGCGGATCCATTTGTGAGAGGAGCGGAAGTGGCTCTGCTGCTGCCGACAGGCGCTCCTGCACCAAGGCCGCGCATCCTGCCTGCGGCCCGATTGGGCTCCCCAAGACGCGGATCCCATCCGCCGAGAAAGGTACGTGCGCAGGGAGGGAGGCGGGTCAGTGTGCGCGGCTGACCACGCCGCGCACTTCTCGGGGTTGTGTTCCAGGCCGAGGGATAGCAGGGCGGTGGTGAGGTGAGTGAAAGCCTCCGTGCACGCCTCAGCTTCCCCCAGGAGAGTAATGTCGTCAGCGTACGCGAGAAAGACGACTCCCGGATGTGCTTCCGCCGCAGCTACCAGGCAAGGGTGTATGCTAGCGGCGAAGAGAAGCGGGCCCAGCGGGTCCCCTTGACGTACGCCGCGCGCGGACTGCAGGGGGGGAGCGTGAAACTCGTGGTCGAGGTGCAGCGCCGAGGGGACGCCGTAGGTAAGCCGGACCAGGGGCACTAAGAATTCCAGGCTGGTCCCTTTCAGGCCATCGAACACCGCCGCTCGCTCGACCGCGTTAAAGGCGTTCGCTAGGTCAATCTGCAGCGCCACAGCCCCTGTATTCTCCTCCAGGTACGTTCTGGCGGTATGCACTGCTGCTTCAATGCCGCCAGCTATCGCCACGCCGAATTGGAGCGGAGCGAAGTGTTCACGTGCCTTCTCGGCCGCCAGGAATAATGCCGCTTTGGCGACAAGCCGTAGCAGGCACTCGCCCACCGCAATCGGCCGTGTACCCCCATGTGGCTTGGCGAATGCGAGCAGCCGTGATGCTGTGAGAAGTTCTGCCGCTTCAGAGCTAAGTTTACCGGCCAGCGCAGTGTTCGTAAGTGCGTGCAACTGTAGGAAAATGTCTGTGTTTCCTAAGGCAGCGTCCCTCAGGTGTTCAAAGGTGGTGCCTGAGGGGCCAGCGCCCACTCCATTCGGGCACTTGGCGAGGATGCGCCTGAAGTCGCGTGGATGGATTGTAGGGGTTGAGTCAGTGGTGAACTCCGGTACCCAGTCAGGGACGGCTTGGCGCGCATGAGGGTGTCTAGCTGAGAGGGCTTGGAGCACGTCCGTGGATGGGGGGGAGACTGGCGTGGCTGTTAGGGATTGGAGCGATTTCGCCAGGTTTCCTCGTTTGGCCAAACCCTCAGCCCTTGCCAGGATGCCTGTGGTGTCCGGCGCGTGGCGGGGCTGTGGGGGTTGGGATACTGCGTCAGCCGCCTCGTCATACAGGTTCCGCCAGAGGCCCTGGCGGAACTGAATTAACCTGGCGCCAACCTTCGACCAATCTGGGCGTTTGGCTGACGAAGTGCGCAATAGGATGCGCGGGAGGAACATTAACAGCCTCCACCCCGCAGGTGAGTCAGGGTCTTAGGCGAGGTGTAACAGTGGGGTGAGGAGGCAGGCAGCGAAAGAGTCGCGAAGTGTGCGAGGTGGGTGACGGGCGAGTGGAGGTTGCCTGCTGTCGCGAAGGGGGTTGAGGTCCCATGTTGCGACGTCGGCGAAAAGGTCCTGGCGTTTTGCCAGGTCGCCAGCACTGAACATTGGCTGGCGGGTGGGTAAGTCTGCGCCCTGCTGATTGGTTCGGGAAGGGGTGCCATCTGCAATTTGTGCGGCTCGGTTCCCCCCCCCGACTCGAATCTGTCTCCCAATTCGAACTGCAGATGCGCCTCGGCTATGTGTTGGGTTTTGAGCCAACTCCTCGTGCTGCTCTGCCTCTTCCACCTGAGGAGAGGGACTAGAACTCCCCTCTCTTTCAGGGTTAAAAAGTGGGTCACCCACAGAATTTTCATCACTCGATTCTTCTCCATCTCCAGCTCTCTCCCGCAGGATCCGGTGAGCGGCCCTCGCGAAGCTACTAGCCCCGCGTCGTTGAACTGAGACGCCTCCTCTGCGTCCGCCTCGTCTCCCACCTCTAGCCACGCGGATACCTCGCGGCGTCGTGCCTGCCTCTGCGTCGCGGCGTGCTGGCTGAGGCGCGGAGGTAGAACCACGGCCTCGTCTTTGGCGGCCTGCTGGCGTCCGTGGCTCCGTGCTCCGGCGTAATGAACCCAACCGCGGGTCGCGACTGCGCGCAGGAGAGTACTGCAGAGAGCGCACGGCTCGATCCGCCCCGTGCGCAGGGGCCTGCTGCTCCTCGTCCTCTTGCTGCAGCGCGCCCCTCCGCGTCTGAGCCTGTCCCCTGCCTGGAGCGCGGGCTGTCTCTTCCTCTGCGACATGTTCGGCAGCCTCATACGCCGGAGTACTCGTGGGTCCCCGCTCAGATTGCCTCAAACCGGTCTGCTGCTCAGCCGCGTCAGGAGCGCGGGCGTTCGCCGCCCCGGCAGCAGCCGCGGCAGCAATCTCCTCGCCGCCGGTCCCCAGAGCGTTGCGAAGATCAGCGGGACGGCGTTGACGATCAGCTGTCCCCTGCCGGCCATCGCTCTCCTCGCCGCCCATCTCCTCGTGGTCGGGCAGGCCAGCGCTCACCCCGAGCGCGATCCCCCGAGCCACGTACTCCGCGGGGACCTCCGGCGACGCGGGGGAGGGGGTCGCCTGGGCGTCGCTGGGAATCGGGTCGCCGCGAGCAGACCCCCCCGCGTCCGCGCTCGGCAGGTTCCGCGGGCCGGCGGGGCCGGCGCAATGGCGGAGGGCGTGGCGGTAGTGGTCGCCAGCAGGATCCTGCCCTCGATCGCGCCGCGAACACGTTTGTGGAGGTGGTGCGGCAGGCCCAGGCAAGCGGGGGGCCGACTCACGTCCACATTGAGGTGACCAACGGTCCCCCCATCGCAGCGGACCCTGGCCAGGTTGCTCCCCTGCGTGCGCCGACCCTGCGTGATTATCTGCCAGCGCGTGAGCAGAGGGCTCAGTTCCGCACCCCTCGTCAGCTCCCCGGCTTCTCCGTGCCGCGCTTCTCTGTTGGCCGGACTCCTGGCTGGCCGACGGCGTTTCCGCGCGAAGCACCGACTGCACCTTCCCCCATTCCCGCGGGGAGAGACCCCATGCTGACCATGTGTCGTCTTCTGAATTTGGTGGAGGCGTGCGAGGTGGTGGCGAATCTGCAGCTGGCGGTGTGTGGGGCCACGCGGAGCTTTCCGAGCAGTTACGGTCCAGGATCCCGAGGATCCTGCGTGTCTTTGGCAGAATCGCTCGAGTCGTCATTGGCACCCGTGTCGGAAGCGCCCGCCGGGGTAGCGCCCTTAGCCCGTACTTTCCCCCGCCACGTGGGGGATCTTGTAGGGGTTGCTCGAGGCGGGACTCCGGTGGACACGCTTCAGTCGTCGGCGCACCTCCTGCTGTCAATGTCGGCGTGCATGCGCTCCATGCTTGAGGTAGAGGGGGCGGAGCCGTACACGATGTAGGCCTCCGTCTCTTGTAGTATTGTATCTCTGTTGCCCTTTGTTGTAGGTCTTCTCCCTTGCGTGTAGCTTTGTGTATGCCCCCCCCTATAAGCTCTCCCGTTGTGTGTTGACTTGGCGCCCCAAACGCGCGGCCGAAGGCCGCCGGCGCGAGCGCCGAAAATGAACCCACGACAAAATAATGAGGAGAAGAAGGCTAGAGCAGACCTTAAATAGGCCGGGAGGGCAGAGGGCAGAGGGAGAAGGCCGAGGGCAGAGGGCTAAGGTTCCTCTCTCTCTCTCTCTCTCTCTCTCTCTCTCTCTCTCTCTCTCTCTCTCTCTCTCTCTCTCTCTCTCTCTCTCTCTCTCTCTCTCTCTCTCTCTCTCTCTCTCTCTCTCTCTCTCAAGCGGTCCGTGTATTAGATCCGAGCAAGTACAGACATGCACCAAGGATATAGGGTCTAGAAGCAACAAGGGGCCTTTAACACTCCTATATCCTACTCACACCCTTGCCCCCTCTAAGGGAGCTCCAGAACCGGCTCCAGGATGGCCAGGCAGTCCCCATCGCCCGGCAACTCCACAGGTGGGTTCTCCACCTGAGCTGCGAAGTTACACTTCGTCATGAAGGCCACGGACTGAGCCCGCTGCAACGCCACGGACCACCGCTGGCGGAACTGGTGTAGCAGCTTCGTTGCCTGGTAAGATGATGGGGCCGCATTGAAGTGCCTACGGGCGGCAGTGTCGGCTAGCAGTTTGAGAAATTGGGGGACTTCCGCACAAGGGCAGCCGTAAGTGTCGACGGCCAGTGGGAAGAACCCGACCCACGAGGCCGTTGAGCCCTCGTAATCGGAGATCTTCTTCTCTGCCGCCTCACGGGCTGCCCACCCCCTGCCCTTGACCGCGTTGGGGTCACGTGTGCTAATGGGGTCCGTGATGGTAACGTCCCCAATCCACACGGCCCCTGAGGTCTTGTCTCTGATTGCTATGTCGGCCTTCTTTCTCGTGACGGGACAGAACGCCATCGTCTCGCTGTGAGTCATGAAATCCGCGTCGCTGGCCATCTGTAAGCATTCGTCGCGCAGCTCGTTGTGAGTGTTTGTCCTCCCCTTCCCCGTGTCACAGCGCAGGAGATGGTTGGGCAGCCGCCTATCTGGGATTAACGTTTCGTTGCGGCAGTCACAGGCACCAGGGGCCCCATCCGAAACTCCAGCGCGTGAGCAAAATGGGCCGGGGCAAGGCGCAGCGAACTGTTGAAGGGTACCGCGTTGAGCCAGTCTCCCGCCCCGTACCCCGAGAGCGAGAGCATGCGCTGCGTGTGCCCACTAAGTGGGTTCAGCGGCATGATGCGTGTGGCCTGCACCTGCTCGGCGTAGCGCTGGCCATGCACCGCGATAGCCAGCCCCTGCTGCAACTTGACACCCTTGGGATCCGCCCGGTCGCTCTGCAGCAGCTCCTTTCCCTCGTCCGGCAGCGACTCCTCGCACCGCTCCAGCCAATCAAATAGAGGGGTCGTGTTGATAAAGGGCCCCTTCATCCGCATCCGTACTTCCGCCAGCGCGCCTATTGCTGCCTCGTCAATAGAGGTGAGTAGGTGCTGGGCTTGGGTGTAGCTTGCAAGGAAACCCACGCGTCCTTCCACCGAGGGGTCCGTTATCCCCAAGCCTCCAAGCGAGATCGGGAGCGAGGCTTGCGCCCAGGTACGTGAAATCTCATCCTCCCCCCGGGGGTGGCGGATGCCACAAGCCGTCAGCAACGTCTCGAAGAGGCGCTTGCCCCAGTCGGACCATTCCTCAACAGGTAAGGCAGAGAGGGGTGTGGTGCGGGCAACATAAGAGACCCGTCGTGAGATGCACCGCGTGAGCAGAAGTGAAGCCAACTGTGGCTCCATCCGCTCGATTAAGGGGAGGGGCCCGCCCATGTTGTCAAGGCTATCGCGCAGGAATGCCGCCGTTGCTTCGGTACCACCAATGAAACTACCGAGCACCTTCACTCCATCATCCACGAAAGGTACGCCCTCTGGAAGCACCGCACCTCGCCGACCTGTCTGTGACCACGCCGCGCATTTGTCTGGATTGTGGCGCAGCCCAATCTCCCCAAGGTTCCCCGTGAAATCGTCAAACGCCGCTGCACACGAGGCTGGCTCTCCAAGAAAGGTGACGTCGTCCGCGTAGGAAAGGCACACCACGGACGGGAAGGTAAGAGCCGTCTTCGCCAGAGCAGGGTGAATGGCAGCAGCGAAAAGCAGTGGACCGAGGGGGTCTCCCTGCCGCACTCCGGTCTCGCTCAGAAGGGGTGGGTGTGAGAAGCCGGCGTCTAGGCAGAGGGCCGAGGGAAGGCCGTACAACAGTTTTACCAACGGCAAAAGGGAAGCGAGAGGGGATCCGCGGAGCGACGTGACGATGGCTGCCCTATTCACGCTGTTGAACGCGTTCGCCAGATCCGCTTGGAGGACCAAGGCCCCCGTGTGCAATGTAAGATAGGTGCGTGTGATGTGGATAATTGCTTCTGCCCCCCCAGGAACCGCCACGCCAAACTGGTGCGGAAGGAAGAATTCTCTAGCGGCTCCTGCGGTCAAGGTAAGCGCTGTTTTTGCAGCTAGGCGTGTGATGCTTTCGCCAATAGCAATTGGCCGCGTTCCTCCATCGGGCTTGGTGAGGGCAATCAGCCGCGAGGCAGTGAGAAGCTCGGCTACTGCAGGTGGTAGCTTTCCTGTGAGTATCGTGTTGACGAGTGCGTGCAGGTGTTTCCCGACGGAGTGGTTGATCAGCGCCGCATCACGTAAGTGTTCGAATGTTGTTCCAGAGGGGCCCGCTCCCACTCCCATCTCACAGCTTCCCAGCACCTTGGAAAACACTGCGAAGGGTGCAGATAGGCCTGGGTCAGGTGCAGGGAAGGTCCAGTCCGGTACGGAGGTAGGTGCCGGTGGATGCTTGGCGCGCAAGGCCTCCAGCACACTTGGGGAAGGAGTGCTGACTGGCGTGGCTTCTAGCGCCAGCACGGCACGCCGTAAGCTGCCACGTCGCGCGAGACCTTCCGCCCTTGCGATGACGCCAATGTCATCGGGCTGGTGTCTGGGTGGCTGGGGCCACGAAAGGGATGCCACTGTTTCAGTGTACAGTTTGTCCCATTCTCCAGACAGAAACTGGCGAAGGCGGGTCTCAACAGCCTTCAAGTCAGGCCGACGTGGTGACATCTGGCGGAGAGTCAAACGTGCGACGAACAGCAACAACGTCCAAGCAGAATCCGAATCTGGGTTTTCAGCCAATCGCAGGAGAGGTACAAGCAGTGCTGTGGCGAAGAGTTTGCGTGGGTCTGATGGGAGGTGGCGGGAGAGAGGGGCGTGGCGAGAGTCGCGCAATTTCGCTAAATCCCAAGTGGTCACGCTGGCGAAAAGGGCGTCATCCTTGGCAAGAGATTCTGGGGATCTTTCCTCAGGGGGTTGGGGTTGAGTGTGGTTTCCACCCGTGGCAAAGTGTGGGGCGGTTTGTGATGGGGTTGGAAAGTTGGAAATTGAGGTTGGAGTTGGTGGTGTAGCAATAATGCCCGTCGCGGCGCGGGTTGGAGTTGGAGGCCCCCTCCGCCCTATGGACTGCGGAGCCGTGCCACCTCCCCCAGTATGGGATGGTGTGGCTCTTCCTGCTCTAACTGGGGTCTGGTGGTGTGTCTCATCCACGGACTCAGAACTCGAAGTTGAATCCGTCGATTCAGCAGGTACAAAGCTGCTGTCCGAAGTACTGCTTTCAGTATCCCCATTCATTAAAGCCCGCCTTCCCGCCTGCTGGTAGGCGTTCTCTGGCCCGCCTCCGCGCGCTCGCCCTCCGCTGCCCGCTGTTCTTCCCCCGCGTCCAGCAGGAATCGCCCCCGTTCGCTCCCCGTCCGTGTTTGGCGCGGATTCCTCCCCTCGCCTTGATGGAGACGACTGCTGCCCCCAGCCGCGACTGTACCGCGGAGAGCGAGTCTGCTCCCCGCCCGCATCCTCCTACGCGACCTGCCGCGAGCGTCCCTGTCGCTCCGATGGGGGTGGATGAACAGATCCGCCGCCGATTCGAGGAGCAGCGGCGCGATCTGCAGCGGACCCAGTCGCTCAAAGATCAGGCGCCCGCGGAACCCGTCGTACGCTCCGGCGCGGAGGCAGTGGCGCACCGGGGGCGGTCGCCTCGGCGCCGCTCGTCGGTGACGCGCGAGGAGGGGCGGGCGAACCGCCGCGGCGATCGCCGCGAGAGATCTCCGTCGCCCGTTCCGCCGCGTTCGCCTCGGCCCGCGGTATCGCGGAGCCGGTCCCGAGATCGTTGGACGCGCCGCCACCAGTCCCCTGCTCGCCGTTCGACGCGGCAGCGATCACCTCATCGTCCCACCTCTCGTCACCGATCCCCCGCTGCGCATTCGTCGCGGCCGTCAAAACGCCAGCGGCTTCACTCTCCTCGTCGCGGGGGCCGATCCCCTGGGCGACAGCGCCAACGCGTGCAATCTCACCCGCAATCTCCCGCACGGTCGAATGTGAGTGGGCGCCATGGGCGCCGTGGAGGCTATGGCCGTGGCGGGGCGGCGCCACGGGCGCCGTCCGCGATGGAGCGCGTGCTCCAGAGGCTGGACGGCATGGAAGAAGCCATTCATCGTACAAGGGCGGAATCGTCGTCTCGTCCCGCGCGTCCACCTGCTCCCGTTGTTCCACTCGCTGCCCTCCTGCCGCATGATCCCGAGGGCTCCCTCGTGCGTCCTGGTCGACCGTTGCCTGCTGGGGCCGGCTTCGTGGGTGCGGGGGGTGGTGATCCGTGGGCCCCGTTTGTTCCGCCGCGCCCTGCTCCACCTCCACGCGATTATGCAGTGTCGTCTCGTCGAGCTCGAGCTTCTGCGGGGCTGCCGGCGATGAAGGAAGTGCCCACGGCGACCCTGGCGCACTTATGGTCGCTTGCGGAGTGCCTGCAGGGTCTTGAGGTGGTCCTAGTGGAGTCCCATGGCTCCATGTCGGTGACCCCACCGAGCATGTTCTCTCAGATGCCGCGAGCAAGGTGTCACGCGGCGGCGTCAGCAATATTCTCGTATGTATCGCCACTGCAGGCTGCGCCCTTGCCGGGAGTAGTCTCGGCCACCCAGCTGGCTGAGAAGGCCCTGGATCTGAAGACGCTTGTAGGAGATCGTGGAACTCCTGTTGACGTTGTCGGCGCCACCGCGTCAGTGGTCCGCTTGATGTGGCTGACCACGCGCGAAATGCTAGGTGAGCTTGAGGCGGACCGCATGTAGGCGCAGCCCTCGTGCGCGTGTAGACCCGCTCCATGTGATTGTGCCTAGATGTACTTGCTCGCCATTGTTGTTGTCAATGTCTTGCTAGTTGGCCTCGGTTGTGGTGTTCTTGTCACCTCTCACGCGCGGCCGAAGGCCGCGCACGCGAGCGCCGGCGCGAGCGCCGGAAAAATTGCTTTTGACGAACCAAGCGAATAATGAGTTAGATCAGAGGCCGAGAGGCCATTATATAGGGGTGGGAAGGATGAGAGGCTAAGTGCTAGAGGCTGGGTAAGATGCTCTCTCTCTCTCTCGCTCTCTCGAGCGAGCGCCGGAAAAATTGCTTTGAAGAACCAAGCGAATAATGAGTTAGATCAGAGGCCATTATATAGGGGTGGGAAGGATGAAGAGGCTAAGTGCTAGAGACTGGGTAAGATGCTCTCTCTCTCTCTCTCTCGCTCTCTCGAGCGAGCGCCGGAAAAATTGCTTTGAAGAACCAAGCGAATAATGAGTTAGATCAGAGGCCGAGAGGCCATTATATAGGGGTGGGAAGGATGAAGAGGCTAAGTGCTAGAGGCTGGGTAAGATCTCTCTCTCTTCTCTCTCTCTCTCTCTCTCTCTCTCTCTCTCTCTCTCTCTCTCTCTCTCTCTCTCTCTCTCTCTCTCTCTCTCTCTCTCTCTCTCTCTCTCTCTCTCTCTCTCTCTCTCTCTCTCTTTCTCTCTTACCTCTATTCGCTGGCCGAGAAGCTCTTGCACTGCAGCCATCCAGCTGCAGGAAATGCAAACATAGAAGATGGTGATGAGGAAGAGGGGAAGGGAGGAGCATGTGCCAGTGTTGGTCAATTTAATTTGAGGCACCTGAAAGCATCTTAAAGCCACACCACGAGCAAGAGCCTCAAACATGCTCTACAAAGCTGATTACAGTTCAATATTACCCATCACGTAACACATAATACTCACTCTGGCATATCGGCTTCCTGAGAAGACTCCTCCTGCACGCATCCCCCTTGTTGCGATTCCGTAGCAAGAGCTCTTTTCCCACTTGATGACTCCTCATTCTGAGGCTCTAAGAAACTGATTGCAGTTCCACAAACCCCCCACCACATAGTACTCACTCTGGCATATCGTCTTCCTGAGAGGACTCCTCCTGCATGCGTCCCCCTTGTTGCGATTCCGTAGCAAGAGCTCTTTTTCCACTTGGTGACTCTTCATTCTGAGGCTCTAAGAAACTGATTGCAGTTCCCGACGCCCCTGCCCGACCTGTTCGGCCAATGCGATGCAAGTACTCCTGCGGGCTGCCCGGAGGGTCGAAATTCACCTGCAAGGGACGACAGACGGCAAGGCAGCATGAGGACGAATGAGAAGGCCACATCCAGTTTGGGAAGTTTTGTGAATTCTAAAGATTGACTCAAAGGCCGCCAAGTTGTTTTCTGCAAAGACGGCGGTGTCTGAGAAGGAAACTGATAAGGTTGGACCGAGTTTGAAATGACACGTCATGGCCGGAAAAACCGACGAACAGACTCACCACAAAGGGAAGGTTGGGAATGTCAACACCACGTGCTGCCACGTTGGTGGATACTAGGACCTGATGGGTGGGGAGGGGGGAGAGAAAAGGGAGACCAGGGAGATGAGAAAGATGAGATGGAGGGGAGATGAAAGAGGGATGAAAGGAGTGACTAAAAAATCACATGCAATATGTGGCGCTTGAGCTGAATCAGAGAGTGGGATTTTGACCACTGCGTGCTGCCACATTGGTGGTTACTAGGACCTGACGGGGGGTGGGGAGAGAGGGGGAGATGTGAGAAGACATGGGAGGGAAGAGCAGAGAGAAGGGTGTCAACACTGCGAGCTGTCAAGTTGGCAGATGCGAGGAGCTGATGGGTGATGGGTGATGGGTGATGGGTGATGGGTGATGGGCGATGGGTAATGGGTGATGGGTAATGGGTGATGGGTGATGGGTAATGGGTAATGGGTGATGGGTGATGGGTGATGGGTGATGGGTGATGGGTGATGGGTGATGGGTGATGGGTGATGGGTAATGGGTGATGGGTGATGGGTGAATTCCTGTCACTTTCCAGCTCACCTGTGCAGCACCCTGTTTGAAAGCCTCCAGAGCTTCTCTCCTTGCTGGACCTGTCATGTCACCGTGCAGACGCACTGCTGAGATGCCACCTTCAGTTAAACTGGATTGTGTGTTGGGGGGCGGTGAGGGAGTGGGCAGTGAAAAGGGAAGACGACTTGCCACTCAGCTTCTCTCCTTGCTGGACCTGTCATGTCACCGTGCAGACGCACTGCTGTGATGCCGCCTTCAGTTAAACTGCGGAGAAAAAAGCTGGGGGTGTTGCGACGGGGAATGGCATTGGCATTGAGCCAGGGTGACGAGGATGCACTTTCTTTTTTATTAACTTTTGAGAATTCTCAAGGGTGTTGTGTGAGGGTGAGATGAAAGGGCGTGAAAGATCGATTGTTGACGTAGCGGTGAGAAATGAGGCAAATGAGGCATGGGTGCAAGGTGGCATAGGGATGCCATGCCATGAGGCTTGCCTAGATTGGGGAGAGCTTTTGAGTCGACTCAAAACAAAAGCACGAGCAGCAACACACAGCTAACGGTGAGAGAACGGGTGCAATTTGGAATAGGGATGCCATGAGGCTTGTGAAAATAGGGGAGAGATTAGAGGATAGAGGTGACAGAGAGTTAGCCTAGGAGAGAGAGACTCACGTTTGGTGGATCCTTTCAGTTTGTTATCCTTTCATGTTTTACACTCTCTGAAAAATCAGGGTGTTCCTGAAGATTCTTAAAGAGTTTTTACGAACGCGCTGCAACTAAGAGGTGACAAAGGGGTGGCGTAGGAGTCTTCAGACATAGTCCCAGCGAGCTGCAGACTTAACTAAGCTTAAGCAAAAGAAAGACAGTCGAAAATCCGCTTGTGCAACTAAGAGGTGACAAAGGGGTGGCGTAGGAGAGGCACTCACGCTTGGTGCAGCCTTTCTGCTCGAGGCACCGTGCGAACGAAAACAAGCGCCTGGTGGTTCTGGTTGATTGAGAGCACAGAGAGCAAGAAAACGGGAGGGCGAAAATGCTTGGTGGTAATAGTGGGACAAGGTTTGCTCAGTGGTGGGTGAGGGGTAGAAAGAGCAAGAGAGGAAGAGCGGAGGCGAGCGGAGCAATGTAAGGAAGCAGACTACTGGAGAACTAGTGAAATGCTCTTTCTACCCGCAGGAAAAAAAAAGGAGAATCAAGTGCTCTCACCCGCAGGGATGCTCGTCTTCTAAGGAGGTAGAGCAGGAGTGCAGTCTTTCTGCGAGGGGTCACACGATATGCCAGCTGCTTCACTGGTGGCAATGGGTGGCAATGGGTGGCAATGGGTGGCAATGGGTGGCAATGGGTGGCAATGGGTGGCAATGGGTGGCAATGGGTGGCAGTGTGTAGCATGGGTGCCACGAGTGGGAGGAAAATACTTAAGAAGCATGAGTTGGTGACACGACATGAATTCAAAGAATGTTCTAAATTAAATATGCCACACCACAGGGAGCATACGCGGGTGACACATGAGGCGGCAACCAACCCACTTCCCTGTAGCAACGGGGCACCACTTTCCAGTTTCTGAGGCGCCTAAAGAAAAACCACCCAACGCAATGAGGCACGACGGAAGGACGGGACTCCCTCCCTGGGAAGATAATGCATGTGCAGGACTATAGGGAGAAGAGGGTAGTTACCCAGCGGTTTGTCAGATGATGAGGGTTGAATGATGAGCATGTCGCCTCTGGGAGCACTCAGGGTCGACACATCATACACCGGGGAATTCCGGGCGAGCAGGGTTACTACCTAAGGGTTTATCGGACGAGGAGGTTTGAACGATGAGCATGTCGCCTCTGGGAGCAAAGCGGCGCAGCAGGAGCTCTGATTCGGGGAGAATGGTGGCAGATACGAGGATGACCTGTGAGGAGTGCAGAGGGGTGCAGACGGGTGCAGAGGGTTGCAGGACCAGGGGTTTGAAATGGAGGAACGGCGAGGAGAGAAGCAGCTTTTATTCATGACAGAAAGACCCGAGGAGTCTTCAGCTTTTATTCAGAAGCACGGGCAAGAGGACGACCTGAGAGGGGCGGCTGAAGGAAAAGGCCTATCGAGCCCCATTTTGAGGCCATGGTTCAATACGGAGCAGCAAGTTACTTGTGTATGACACCAAAGTGGGCGAAATGTGTGAAATGTGTACACATTACAGGCATGGACAAGAGGATGACCTGAGAGGAAAGCTCAAGGAAATGGCCTACCTGCATATGCGGTCGGGGATCCTTCCGTTTGCCCGCCTTGGCCTTCTGCGGTCTGGGCAGAAGCAAAAAAACTTTTCTCAGGTCTTCCAGCAACCCCATCTCGGCCATTTTGTCACACTCTTCCACCACCCAGTGCCGAACCTGCCCGAGAAATTCTTTTGGCAGGCAGCTTGGAACAACAACCTGAGCTTTCCTTTTCCCATCGTCAATCCCAAGATTCAGCTTCGGCGCTCCTCCTGGCAACTCCGGTGCTGCCGGTTTTCCCACTGCCGATTCCGATTCTGCCAGATGCTCAGATGAACCAAGTGCATCTCCAGATGAAACGGGTTCATCTCCAGTTGTAACGCCTTCGGGTACGACTGCGGTTTTGGTCGGTATCAGTGGTCCGAGAGGAGGATGTTTCTCGGAAGCTGCCTGCAACAGATGAATGGGTTTAGGTAAGGAAGGAGGACAGGAGCGGGGGCGAGGGTAGCAAGGGAAGGAGGAAATCGCTTTCAGTTTGGATAGAAGGGTGTGGGATTCTTCACAGGAAAGAATGAGGGAAAAGGTTAAAATTGGTGACACCATCAGCAGCCACTCCCTCGCCCAATGCAGCACAGGCCATCCTCGGCAGAGCCTCAGCAGCCGGCTCAGCGTGGCAAGGCAACCAGCACAGGCCATCCTGAGCAGAGCCTTAGCTGCCGGCTCAGCGTGGCAAGGCAACCAGCACAGGCCATCCTGAGCAGAGCCTTAGCTGCCGGCTCAGCGTGGCAAGGCAACCAGCACAGGCCATCCTGAGCAGAGCCTTAGCTGCCGGCTCAGCGTGGCAAGGCAACCAGCACAGGCCATCCTGAGCAGAGCCTTAGCTGCCGGCTCAGCGTGGCAAGGCAACCAGCACAGGCCATCCTGTGCAGAGCCTTAGCTGCCGGCTCAGCGTGGCAAGGCAACCAGCACAGGCCATCCTGAGCAGAGCCTTAGCTGCCGGCTCAGCGTGGCAAGGCAACCAGCACAGGCCATCCTGAGCAGAGCCTTAGCTGCCGGCTCAGCGTGGCAAGGCAACCAGCACAGGCCATCCTGAGCAGAGCCTTAGCTGCCGGCTCAGCGTGGCAAGGCAACCAGCACAGGCCATCCTGAGCAGAGCCTTAGCTGCCGGCTCAGCATGGCAATCAATACAAGCAAGGCGACCAGAACTTGGAGAAATACAAGCAGGCCACTCCATTCCAGATTCCACCCACACCAACCACTCTCAACCAATGCAACAGCTCAGACTGACCATACTCACCGCTTGGAAGAGTCTCAGCAGCCGGCCAGGCGTTGCGACCAGCACATGGGGCGGGCGGCTGTGGAGAGAGCGCACCTGAAGGGCTATGGGGGTGGTGTTGAGAAGGAAGAAGGAAATGTACGGGAGGACAAGAGGGGAATGTAGGAATGAGGGAGGGGCAAGGGGCGTGGCGACCAACACGTGGGGCGGGCGGCTGTGGAGAGATCGCACCTGAAGGGCTGTGGGGTTGGGGGGAGACATGAGGAGCATGAAGAGCAGGAGGGGAATGAGGGAGGGGCAAGATGCGTGGTGATAGACTCAAGGGGCGAGCGGACCTGAGCGCACCTGAGACAAGCAAATCAATAGAGAGAAAGAAAGTAAGATGTGATGCTGCAGCTGTCACCATATCAATGGTCAGCTCTCGCACGAAGCGTCATGCAGATACAGCAGTGACCATTAGGGCCAATGCACGACTTGCCTGAGACACAGCTTGCTGCGATGCAGCAGCAGTCAAGTCACCACATCAACTGTCAGCTCTGGGGCAAAGCGAGTGAAGCAGACCCAAGCCAGTTTAGTGGTCAATCATCAAACAGTGCCCGCTACTTGCCTGAGACACAGCTTGCTGCGATGCAGCAGCAGTCAAGTCACCACATCAACTGTCAGCTCTGGGGCAAAGCGAGTGAAGCAGACCCAAGCCAGTTTAGTGGTCAATCATCAAACAGTGCCCGCTACTTGCCTGAGACACAGCTTGCTGCGATGCAGCAGCAGTCAAGTCACCACATCAACTGTCAGCTCTGGGGCAAAGCGAGTGAAGCAGACCCAAGCCAGTTTAGTGGTCAATCATCAAACAGTGCCCGCTACTTGCCTGAGACACAGCTTGCTGCGATGCAGCAGCAGTCAAGTCACCACATCAACTGTCAGCTCTGGGGCAAAGCGAGTGAAGCAGACCCAAGCCAGTTTAGTGGTCAATCATCAAACAGTGCCCGCTACTTGCCTGAGACACAGCTTGCTGCGATGCAGCAGCAGTCAAGTCACCACATCAACTGTCAGCTCTGGGGCAAAGCGAGTGAAGCAGACCCAAGCCAGTTTAGTGGTCAATCATCAAACAGTGCCCGCTACTTGCCTGAGACACAGCTTGCTGCGATGCAGCAGCAGTCAAGTCACCACATCAACTGTCAGCTCTGGGGCAAAGCGAGTGAAGCAGACCCAAGCCAGTTTAGTGGTCAATCATCAAACAGTGCCCGCTACTTGCCTGAGACACAGCTTGCTGCGATGCAGCAGCAGTCAAGTCACCACATCAACTGTCAGCTCTGGGGCAAAGCGAGTGAAGCAGACCCAAGCCAGTTTAGTGGTCAATCATCAAACAGTGCCCGCTACTTGCCTGAGACACAGCTTGCTGCGATGCAGCAGCAATCAAGTCACCACATCAACTGTCAGCTCTGGGGCAAAGCGAGTGAAGCAGACCCAAGCCAGTTTAGTGGTCAATCATCAAACAGTGCCCGCTACTTGCCTGAGACACAGCTTGCTGCGATGCAGCAGCAGTCAAGTCACCACATCAACTGTCAGCTCTGGGGCAAAGCGAGTGAAGCAGACCCAAGCCAGTTTAGTGGTCAATCATCAAACAGTGCCCGCTACTTGCCTGAGACACAGCTTGCTGCGATGCAGCAGCAGTCAAGTCACCACATCAACTGTCAGCTCTGGGGCAAAGCGAGTGAAGCAGACCCAAGCCAGTTTAGTGGTCAATCATCAAACAGTGCCCGCTACTTGCCTGAGACACAGCTTGCTGCGATGCAGCAGCAGTCAAGTCACCACATCAACTGTCAGCTCTGGGGCAAAGCGAGTGAAGCAGACCCAAGCCAGTTTAGTGGTCAATCATCAAACAGTGCCCGCTACTTGCCTGAGACACAGCTTGCTGCGATGCAGCAGCAGTCAAGTCACCACATCAACTGTCAGCTCTGGGGCAAAGCGAGTGAAGCAGACCCAAGCCAGTTTAGTGGTCAATCATCAAACAGTGCCCGCTACTTGCCTGAGACACAGCTTGCTGCGATGCAGCAGCAGTCAAGTCACCACATCAACTGTCAGCTCTGGGGCAAAGCGAGTGAAGCAGACCCAAGCCAGTTTAGTGGTCAATCATCAAACAGTGCCCGCTACTTGCCTGAGACACAGCTTGCTGCGATGCAGCAGCAGTCAAGTCACCACATCAACTGTCAGCTCTGGGGCAAAGCGAGTGAAGCAGACCCAAGCCAGTTTAGTGGTCAATCATCAAACAGTGCCCGCTACTTGCCTGAGACACAGCTTGCTGCGATGCAGCAGCAGTCAAGTCACCACATCAACTGTCAGCTCTGGGGCAAAGCGAGTGAAGCAGACCCAAGCCAGTTTAGTGGTCAATCATCAAACAGTGCCCGCTACTTGCCTGAGACACAGCTTGCTGCGATGCAGCAGCAGTCAAGTCACCACATCAACTGTCAGCTCTGGGGCAAAGCGAGTGAAGCAGACCCAAGCCAGTTTAGTGGTCAATCATCAAACAGTGCCCGCTACTTGCCTGAGACACAGCTTGCTGCGATGCAGCAGCAGTCAAGTCACCACATCAACTGTCAGCTCTGGGGCAAAGCGAGTGAAGCAGACCCAAGCCAGTTTAGTGGTCAATCATCAAACAGTGCCCGCTACTTGCCTGAGACACAGCTTGCTGCGATGCAGCAGCAGTCAAGTCACCACATCAACTGTCAGCTCTGGGGCAAAGCGAGTGAAGCAGACCCAAGCCAGTTTAGTGGTCAATCATCAAACAGTGCCCGCTACTTGCCTGAGACACAGCTTGCTGCGATGCAGCAGCAGTCAAGTCACCACATCAACTGTCAGCTCTGGGGCAAAGCGAGTGAAGCAGACCCAAGCCAGTTTAGTGGTCAATCATCAAACAGTGCCCGCTACTTGCCTGAGACACAGCTTGCTGCGATGCAGCAGCAGTCAAGTCACCACATCAACTGTCAGCTCTGGGGCAAAGCGAGTGAAGCAGACCCAAGCCAGTTTAGTGGTCAATCATCAAACAGTGCCCGCTACTTGCCTGAGACACAGCTTGCTGCGATGCAGCAGCAGTCAAGTCACCACATCAACTGTCAGCTCTGGGGCAAAGCGAGTGAAGCAGACCCAAGCCAGTTTAGTGGTCAATCATCAAACAGTGCCCGCTACTTGCCTGAGACACAGCTTGCTGCGATGCAGCAGCAGTCAAGTCACCACATCAACTGTCAGCTCTGGGGCAAAGCGAGTGAAGCAGACCCAAGCCAGTTTAGTGGTCAATCATCAAACAGTGCCCGCTACTTGCCTGAGACACAGCTTGCTGCGATGCAGCAGCAGTCAAGTCACCACATCAACTGTCAGCTCTGGGGCAAAGCGAGTGAAGCAGACCCAAGCCAGTTTAGTGGTCAATCATCAAACAGTGCCCGCTACTTGCCTGAGACACAGCTTGCTGCGATGCAGCAGCAGTCAAGTCACCACATCAACTGTCAGCTCTGGGGCAAAGCGAGTGAAGCAGACCCAAGCCAGTTTAGTGGTCAATCATCAAACAGTGCCCGCTACTTGCCTGAGACACAGCTTGCTGCGATGCAGCAGCAGTCAAGTCACCACATCAACTGTCAGCTCTGGGGCAAAGCGAGTGAAGCAGACCCAAGCCAGTTTAGTGGTCAATCATCAAACAGTGCCCGCTACTTGCCTGAGACACAGCTTGCTGCGATGCAGCAGCAGTCAAGTCACCACATCAACTGTCAGCTCTGGGGCAAAGCGAGTGAAGCAGACCCAAGCCAGTTTAGTGGTCAATCATCAAACAGTGCCCGCTACTTGCCTGAGACACAGCTTGCTGCGATGCAGCAGCAGTCAAGTCACCACATCAACTGTCAGCTCTGGGGCAAAGCGAGTGAAGCAGACCCAAGCCAGTTTAGTGGTCAATCATCAAACAGTGCCCGCTACTTGCCTGAGACACAGCTTGCTGCGATGCAGCAGCAGTCAAGTCACCACATCAACTGTCAGCTCTGGGGCAAAGCGAGTGAAGCAGACCCAAGCCAGTTTAGTGGTCAATCATCAAACAGTGCCCGCTACTTGCCTGAGACACAGCTTGCTGCGATGCAGCAGCAGTCAAGTCACCACATCAACTGTCAGCTCTGGGGCAAAGCGAGTGAAGCAGACCCAAGCCAGTTTAGTGGTCAATCATCAAACAGTGCCCGCTACTTGCCTGAGACACAGCTTGCTGCGATGCAGCAGCAGTCAAGTCACCACATCAACTGTCAGCTCTGGGGCAAAGCGAGTGAAGCAGACCCAAGCCAGTTTAGTGGTCAATCATCAAACAGTGCCCGCTACTTGCCTGAGACACAGCTTGCTGCGATGCAGCAGCAGTCAAGTCACCACATCAACTGTCAGCTCTGGGGCAAAGCGAGTGAAGCGAACCAGAGCCATGCGAATTCACGGACCAATAAATGTCCGTTACTTGCCTGAGATGCAGCTTGCTGTGATGCAGCAGCAGTCACCACACCAACCGTCAGCTCTGGGGCGAAGCGAGTGAATCGCCGAACCTCCTCCGCCACCTGATTGGCCAGCTCCAATGTGGGCGTCAGAACAAGACAAAACGGGCCACTGGCGGCAGGAGCCCCATCGGCAGCACCACTGCCAGCTGTCGCGCTGCTATTGGCTGCTGGGCGCTTGCGGAGTTGGCGCAGTCGAGAGGAGGGGATATGAGGGGGAGAGAAGAGGGAGGAGGAGAGGGAGGGGAGGTGGAGGAGGTGGAGGATGGGGAGGAGGTAGGCGAGGGTCTTGCCTGTGCCTGAAGGGGAGGATAGGAAGAGCTGGGAGGGAAGGAGCGAGGGGAACAGGGGGAGGGCAAAAGGTAATGGGAACGGGGGAAGTGCAAGGGCGAAGGGGAGGTGGAGGATGGGGAGGAGATAGGCGTGGGTTCCCAGTAATGGTGTTGCCAGTTCGTGTTTTGAGTCGACTCAAAACAAGGTAGACGAGGGTGTTGCCTGTTTCCGAAGGGAGGGATATGAAGAGCTGGGAAGGGGAGGAGGGAGGGAAGGGGCATGTAAAGGACAACGGAAAACAGGGAGAGTGAAAAGACAATGACAATGACCAATGCGGTGCTGCAGACAATGAGCAGATGATGCAGAGTGGGACACTTGTGAGGATTCTCATGGCTTTTAAAAGTTCTCATGACTTCTGAGCAAAGTGAGACCTTTGCCTCACAGCGCATTGCACAAGGCCCCACTCAGCACTTTGCATCACCTCACATCACAGCGGCTCGTTGCTTTCACAATTGACTTCCTACACTCAGACTTCGTAAATAGCTCGCTATACTCACACACTTCGTAAATAGCTCGCTATACTCACACTCTCCCCCTTCAGCACACGCGGAATGGCCTCCTCCTGAACGCGCGTCGGGACAAAAAATGCCGCCCCACGAAGCGCCCACTGTAGCGGCTCCGCCAGCTGGCGGAAGGCGCCTCGAACCGCCACCATGTGAATATCTCCCTCCCCCTTCCGCTGCTCCCTCTCCCCCTGCCGCCGATGCGGTTCCCCCTGCGGCTGCTGCATCAGCTGCTGTTGCTGCACCTTCTCCCCCTGCCGCTGCTGCTGCTGCTGCCGCTGCTCCTGGCGGAGGCGCTTCCCTTTGCCGCCACTCGCGACGCCCGTTGCGGCGCCATTAAAGGTCGAGAAGAATCGGTTTTCTCGGACGGGTAGGGAAGAAAAACATCTAGTAAGGATCGGTACAATGTGCAGGGACCCAGCAATGAGATGTAGCGAAGGAGATGAATTTGAACTCAGTGGGACGAGAGGACTTGAAGGATCGAGATTAGGGTTTGCTCTTGCTTGGGAAACTGACGGACTGGGTGGCGTTGACGGGATGGATCCGACGGCGGAGAACGACCCAGAGGGGATCGGACGGAGGAGATGGATAGAATGCGTGGGATGGATGGCAAGAAGAGGATCAAGTTCGCGAGAGGCATGCGACGATGCTATAAGAATGGCCTTCGGCGACATCCGGGTTACCAGTCGCGAGTATATCCAGGTAAAGGTTCGCGATCGGAGCTGCCTCGGAATTGCAGCCATGGCTGCGGCTTCTAAGAATTAGGCTGCAAGTCTGGGCAGGTTGAATGCCGGATAGACACTCTCTGTAATTCTTAAAGCCGCGTGATTGAGATGCGTCTTCCGTCGGTGAGTGCGTCCGCCGAGTCGCTCGCTAGTCGACTGTCGTCCAGGCGTCAGCGTGACGAGTCCTCAGCTGATACCGAAGCTAACAAACAGGAAATAGGTAATCTCGGTTCCGCAAGCAAAAAGCAGATCGCTATTCGCGAGTACCGACCTCGAATGGGGCGAAAATCGAGAGAAATACGGCAGGATACTCGCCGCATTTGACGGCGCAGCAAGCGGCAGCCATGCTATGCCATCCTGCAATCTCACACGTATTCCCGTTTCTAGCTTATCCAAAAACGTGTCAAAAGGATTCAGTTCACAAACAATAACAGGTCAAGCATTCTGTGTCAATTGTTAATTTCTGTAACATATTTTCAGTAACACGAATAGATGATGCACTTTCGGAGACACCCGTCATGTTTCGCCGACCAACATCCACTCGCGACGCGAGATCGCCTATCACAGCCGCCCGCGAACATAGCCAAGCGAAGATCCTCCGCACCATCGCCAGACTTTCGTCACCGCCACCTCTACATCACCGTTTTGTCTGTTTCCAATGTTCCGTGAACACTCGCGCTGTTACCCTCCTCGCGGTGGTCTCCCTCCGCCGAACTCTCCCTTTCACAACGGCGCCGCTCTCGCAAGCGCGTCTCGTCGCATCGCGGCTTCGCGAATTCCAGTTTCCCATTCACCGTACCAGGTAACCGTGTACATAAAATCCCCCCCACCAAACCAGTTTTCATCACGGCCTTCCTCTCGAACCAGAATTCCTCGAGTAGCAGATTCGCACCTCAGAATTGACCCTGCGATCCACTGCTGGTAATTATAGCGCAGCGGCACCTGCAATCTCCATCCGTAGACCTTATTCCTCTTCGAAGAGCTCTGCTAATTCCAACAGCGAAGTCATTTCTATAATCGTAATGGCTACTTCTCGCGTCCTCGCCGTTCTCGGGCTCATCTGCGTCGCCCTCTGCGTGGCTGGCGCGAGCGCACAAGCAACGCCACCGCCGAAGCCCACCAAGGCGCAAATCAAAGCGGAGCTGAACAACATGGCGACGAACATCACGAAGCGTTACCCGCAATACGCGAAATACGCGAAGGACATCAACAAGTACATCGGCCTCGCGCTCAACTCCAAATACGACTTCTCAGCCCTCGCGGATGCCACCATCCTCCTCCCCAGCGACACCGAAGCCCAAGCCCTCGCTAAGAAGGTCCCCGTTAACAGCAAAAACATCCCCACCATCTACAACATCACTGCGTACCACATCCTCCCGCGGAAGCAAACCGTTCCTCAGCTGAGCGCGCTCAAGAAGTCGCAGCCGCTGGCGACGCAGCTGAAGCAGGCGATTTACAAGGTTTCGCCGCAGAATGGTAACAACGTGTCGTTCGCCCAGGGGCCGAACGCGCCTGCTACCGCGTGGACGACCATCCAGATCGCGCGGCTGTACGCTGGGCCTTACTTCATCGCGCATGGAGTGAACAAGATTCTCATCCCCGCTGGCACCACCGTGCCCAAGTAAGATTCAGATAAAGTGCGACTACAGTGCACTGCATTAAATGATTGATTAGGGGTAGGATGGAGAAACAGGTTTTTCTGCTAGGAGTTATTTATCCCCAGCTGACGCTCAGCAGCGTTTTGTTCAGCCTCAGAACACATGCTACTGACCGTCAACTGGACGATATTTGGGTATGATTCTGTCCAGATTATCTACTGCACTCTTCTGTACACCCTATTGGAAAAGTTGTGTCACATCTTCTTCATGACCTCTCTTAGATGCTATCCCAGTTTTGAGCATGATGGTTCAGCAGGTGCCTACTGAGCATGTCGGGCATGAAGGAATACTATGGAGAGCGTTACGACGGCGAGAGAGTTTCTGCTTGTGAGAATGGTGTTGCGCGAGGAATTCGGTAGCGTTTCGGTAGAGCTTGTCTCAAATGGCTAAGTGAGAACTTGAGTAGAGATTGTAATATTATTATGAATACAAAAGCAAACACACAAGATAGATATAGGCTACGGGGAAGTTGCACAAAGTTGCCGTGGCGCTGCGCAGTAACCCAACCCCACGAAACTGTCGTGTGGATGGGTGAACCGCGCCTCGGCCAATCCCAACCTGACTCAGCAGCGGGATGTTCCTTCTTACACGCCACCCCAACCAACCAACTCCAACTCGGCAACACCACCAATGACTCCCACAGACTTGTACTGCCCTGCACAAACTCCAACGACAAGTTCAGCAGTCACGCTTTGTCAATACGCGACCATCACCAATATTCCCATGTCGGTGGCGAAGGGCGTCAGTCTAGGTCGTCAATCTAGCAATCTGCCAAGTCGTCGAGGGCCCTTGCTGTCGTAGGGCCCTCTAACAGGGCAGATGTGATGGATAGCTTGATGGGGCATGAGTTCTAACTTGGTCCCTCCTCTTCATCCGTCTGCTGTGTTTTTATTCTTTTCAGAGAGATCTTTGAAAGGTTATGGGCAGTGGTAGATTGGGGAGGAGAAAAAATTACACTTTTCACCAACAGATGCCAAACAATAGAAACACATACCATGGCACAAACGGAAGCATTTCCTAGAGATAACGAGTCAAAACTCTTAAAATCAGTCGAAGGGGCGATACAGGCGATTCTTCTGCTTCTGCAGCTCCCCCCTTAGGAAGAAATAATGAGCCTTCACCGCCTGGAGCATCTGAGCGCGCGTGTCCGGAATAGTGAGGTGGTTTCTCCGAAAGTACAGCAGCACCTCGTGCATCGATAGCTTATCGAGCATATCCTCCACCACCACCCGCTCCCAGTCAATGCTATCATACTCATCCTCACTCTCACCAGGTAGACTCCCCCCTCTCGCCCCCCCTCCTCCACTCCCTCCCCCCACTCCCCTCTCTCCAACCCCTCCTCCCGCTCCTCGTCTCCCTCCCGCCCCTACTGCGTCCAACCCCCCTCTCCCTCTGCCACTCCTACCTTCTCCGCCTGAACCGTCCATGCGGGACCCTCCTCCTCCTGTTCCTCCTGAGGAGGAGCGCATGCGGCGCTGCTCTGCCTGCATCTGGAACTGCAGCCGCACGCTCTTCTTCAATTCCTCCCGCACCACCAGCTGCCACTTCAGGAACTCCCGCCACCGCTGCTCCCTGCGGGAGTTGAGGGCCAGCTGTTGGCTTGTCCACTCTGAATGGGACGGGTGGGGAAAGGGGGAGGAGAGGAGGGGGGGGGAGGAGATGAGCAGGGGAAGGTGGGGGATGAGCGGGAGAAGATGAGGAGGTGAGGTATAGGAGGGCAAATACTCTTCTTCAGCTCCTCCCGCCACCGCTGCTCCCTGCGGGCGTTTAGGGCCAGCTGCTGGCTCGTCCACTCTGGATGGCATGGTGGGGGAGAGTTAAGATGAAGGAAAAGGTGAACAATCCAAAGTAAAACATGCATGTACCCTACGCCACAACCACGTCAACCACAACCAGAAGCACCCATCTGCACCACACCCACCTGCACCGCATCGCACCCACCTGTGCTGCACCTATGTGCACTGCACCCACCTGCACCAAACCCATCTGCACCGCACCCACGTGTTTTCTGGCTGAACTCGTCCACTGAGATTCGCATGCACATGCTGCACCGCTGCACGAACCACCTGCACCGCAATCACACGCACCGCAACCAACTGCACCGTACATAACTTTACCCGCACCCACCTGCACCGCACCCCAATGCACCACACCAATCTGCACCGCACGCACCTGTTCTCTGGCTTAGTTCGTCCACTGAAATTCGCATGCACATGCTGCATCGCTGGATGGACCTCCGACAGTCTGAGAAAGGGGACGAGTGATGAGGAGAGAGGGAATGGGAGATTGAGCAGAGGATGTAAACACGCGCACAGCATGCCTCATAGCCATCATGCGTCATACACAAACACATGCTGCAGCAGCAATAGACAGTCCTCCAGCAGCAGCCCGAGAGACAGAGAGAGAAGGCACTCTCCCCCGCGAAACATCCCCGACTCTCCCTTCTCCCCCTCTTCTCCCCACTCACCGTAGAGGCACGGGTCAGCGATCCACATGAGCTCCGCATCGGCAATCTCAATGCTGAGCAGCTGAACGAACTCCCGGTCCAGCTGCTCGCTCGTCACGTGCTCTGCTCGGGCCCCCAACACCCCCCTTACATTTACGCACCGTATAAACAAGGGTCGGCAATCCACATGAGCTCCGCATCGGCGATTTCGATGCTCTGCACGAACTCCCGGTCCAGCTGCTCGCTCGTCACGTGCGCCGGCATGTACTCGTCGCGGTTGTAGTAGTGGTGCCTCACTCCGTGCCTCTCAGTGAGGAATAGACCATACAGGTCGATGTGGTGACACTTCTGGGGGATTGACCGTGGTGTGGAAAGGCAAGACACAAGGAAGAAGAGGATGTGAGAGCCGAATGGGACGGCATGTACTCGTCGCGGTTGTAGCAGTGGTGCCTCACACCATGCCTCTCGGTGAGGAAGAGGCTGTAAAGATCAATGTGGTGGCACTTCTGCGGGAGGGAAAGGCGAGGGAAACACGGGAATCGAGCCAAAAAAGAAGAAGGAATAAAAAGTATGAGATGAAAAGGGAGGCATGTACTCGTCGCGGTTGTAGCAGTGGTGCCTCACACCATGCCTCTCGGTGAGAAAGAGGCCGTACAAGTCAATGTGGTGGCACTTCTGCGGGAGGGACAGGGACAAAACAAAGGGAGAAGAGTATGTGTGAGAGATGTTAGGAAAGGCACCTGATTGGCACGGCTGTAGTAGTGGTGCCTCACGCTGTGCCTCTCACTTAGGAACAGACCATACAGGTCAATGTGGTGGCACTTCTGGGGGAGGGAGAGAAGAAAAGGAGAAGCAGATGTGAGACAAGAAACAAGAAATGCCAGTCCCAACCCATCGCAATGCCAGTCGCGGAAGGGTAAGGGGATGTGTAAGGGGGAAGGAGCTTGCTTCCATACACCAATTCACGTCATCCATTGGTGTGCCGATGCCAATACCAATGCCCAAGGTTAAAAAAAACGTCTTTTTCTTTCTTTCTTTCTTTCTTCTTTCTTTCTTTTCTTTTCTTCTTTTAATTTACCGTAAAAAACGGTACCGTAAAAAAACGGACCGTAAAAAACGGTAACAAACGGTTCCAGAAGGTGATTTTCGTTTGAAGAAAAAAACGGCCATTTTATGCGACCAAATTGATGGCGAAAATCACCAGGATGAAGAGGAGGAACCCCTCCGTTTGCCTTTTTTTTTTCTTGGTGAAATGAGTTCTCTAACAAAAAATCGCTGTATTTTTGAAAATTTACCGTAAAAAACGAACCGTAGTTTACGCAAACCGTATTTTTGCACCTTGCCAATGCCAGTCTGCCTCTGGCCCCTCCACTTCAGACCACAAAGAACCAGAAAATACCACTTAAAGCTCGTGGCCCAAATTGCGGGCCGCGCTGGGCAACCTTAGTAAAGTTGATCGACAGTTGTTTTGCAGGTGTTGGTTTTGCGAATAGAGGTTACGAGTTGTACGAAGGTAGGTGATTGGCTAGTCAAATTGAACGAGTGAGGTGATTGGCCAGGAAAATTGACACTGTGTTGGTGGGGCGGGTTGGCTGGGAAACAAGCAAGGATAGTATTTGTGCAATATGGGACTCACGCGAAGTGGCCCCTGCAGCCCGCTGAGTCGGCGAAATAAAATGAGAGTGGCGAGAAGCTGGGCGAAACCAAAGCCCTCAACCCGCCCAACACCTCGACTTTCCAGCCTTGCTCCCTCACCACCCAACAAGCAACTTTAGTAAAGTTGTACAATTTGGGCCTTGAGCTTTAAGTCAGGCAAGTTGCATCCCCGCACAAACTTCTCACCTGCAGGGCGAATTGGATCCCCACGTATCCCACCGACGTGAATGCGCCAAAGGTGTTGAATACCTGCAGAGGAAGGAGAGAGGGAGAGGTGGTAGCGGCAGGAAGCAAGTTTTGAGGCGTATCCTAGGAATTTCACACATTCAAGGAGTACCCCCACATATCCCACCGACGTGAAGGCACCAAAGGTGTTGAACACCTGCAGAGAGGAGAGAGAGGGAGAGAGAGAGGGAGAGCGAGACGGAGGCGGCAGGGGTTTGATTTGAGGCGACTTGGAAAGAAAATCTTATGAATCAAATCTGGATACCCACATGTCCCACAGCACAGTGCATATAAGATCAACACTCACACACACACGCGTTCACCACGGACGCACGCACACACGAGCGCACAGACTCAGACTCACACACATGCCCTCACCTGCGATTTAAACCCCAGGTCCAGCACATAAAGCGGCCCCTTCCTAAACACCCGCTTGAAGTTGAGCAGAGCACAGCACCGCACAGCACCGCACAGCACAGCACAGCACGGTGCAAATAAGACCACAACACACCCACTCGCACGCACCCACCCACCTGCGACCACAGGTCCAGCACATAAAGCGGCCCCTTCCTAAATACCCGCTTGAATTTGAGCAGATGCTGCAACTCGCCCTTCACTCCCCTCAGGTACAGGTGGTATACCACCCAGTGTAGGGCACCGCACAGCACCGCACCGCTCAGTGACTGACGCACTCACCTGCGATTCAAACCTCAGGTCCAGCGCGTAGAGAGGCCCCTCCCGGAACACCCGCTTGAAGTTAAGCAGATGCTGCAACTCGTCCTTCACTCCCCTCAGGTTCATTATGTATGCAGTGCCGTATAGCACAGCACATTGAAGGTAATCCCAACGCTCACACACACTCACACCTGGGCTGGAACTACCACCCACCTGCTATATTCATGTGACTTTTAAGAATTCTTAATGGGCTGGAACTACCACCCACCTGCGATTCAATTCAAACCCAGGTCTAGCACATAGAGCGGCCCCTCCCTGTGTATGTAAGGTCAACGCACAAGCATGCACGCACGCACTCGTGCACGCACACACTCATGCACGCACCCACTCACGTGCACCCACTCACACGCACCCACTCACCTGGAATTCAATCTCAGGTCTAGCACATAGAGCGGCCCCTCCCTGTGTATGTAAAGGTCAACGCACAAGCATGCACGCACGCACTCATGCACGCATACACTCATGCACGCACCCACTCACGCACACCCACTCACCTGCGATTCAAACCCCAGGTCTAGCACATAGAGCGGCCCCTCTCCCTGTGTATGTAAGGTCAAACGCACAAGCACGCACGCACGCACTCATGCACGCACCCACTCACACGCACCCACCCACCTGCGATTCAAACCCCAGGTCTAGAACATAGAGCTCCCCCTCTCTGAAGACGCGCTTGAAGTTGAGCAGATGCTGCAACTCGTCCTTCACTCCCCTCAGGTACAGGTGGTATACCACCGTCTCGTTGCCCTCCCTGAACCCTGCCTTGTCCGGTATGCTCAGGCGCAGCGTGGTCTTCGTCCCCACCTGAGGAGAGGTAGATGAAGAGGGGGGAAGAGAACGGTGGGGAGTGGATACAAGGGATTTCAGGGTACAGGTGGTATACCACCGTCTCGTTTCCCTCCCTGAACCCTGCCTTGTCCGGTATGCTCAAGCGCAGCGTTGTCTTCCTCCCCACCTGAAGGAGGTAGTGAAGTGGGATGGGGGGTGGAGAGGAGGAGGAGAGGATTGGATAAGGGAATTCAGGTACAGGTGGTATACCACCGTCTCGTTGGCCTCTCTGAACCCTGCCTTGTCCTGTATGCTCAGGCGTAGCGTGGTCTTCGTCCCCACCTGAGGAGAGGTAGATGAAGAGGGGGGAAGAGAACGGTGGGGAGTGGATACAAGGGATTTCAGGGTACAGGTGGTATACCACCGTCTCGTTTCCCTCCCTGAACCCTGCCTTGTCCGGTATGCTCAAGCGCAGCGTTGTCTTCCTCCCCACCTGAAGGAGGTAGTGAAGTGGGATGGGGGGTGGAGAGGAGGAGGAGAGGATTGGATAAGGGAATTCAGGTACAGGTGGTATACCACCGTCTCGTTGGCCTCTCTGAACCCTGCCTTGTCCTGTATGCTCAGGCGTAGCGTGGTCTTCGTCCCCACCTGAGGAGAGGTAGATGAAGAGGGGGGAAGAGAACGGTGGGGAGTGGATACAAGGGATTTCAGGGTACAGGTGGTATACCACCGTCTCGTTGGCCTCCCTGAACCCTGCCTTGTCCGGTATGCTCAGGCGAGGAGTGGTCTTCCTCCCCACCTGAAATGGGATGTCGGGTAGACAACAATGAAAGGGGAAGGACTTTCAGGTACAGGTGGTATACCACCGTCTTGTTGCCCTCTCTGAACCCTGCCTTGTCCGGTATGCTCAGGCGAAGTGTGGTCTTCCTCCCCACCTGAGGGTCGGGAGACGATGAAGGAGGGGTAGCAAGAAGTCTGGTGGGGAGTATGGTCAATTCATGCCGGAAATCCATTGCGCAGGAATTGGGAACGAAGGAAAAGGAGAAATAATGGAAACAGCATAAGAACTATTGCACTCTAACACTTGCTAGCGGAGATTGAACAAATTTCCAACCCTCTTTTGTGGCCTCTACTCCACGTGGAAATAGGCCCTCTTTCTCTGCTCCTCTCGCTACCTACTGTTCCCACTGCTCACACATGTCACACATGCTTGTCAATCTCTCTCGAAGTGGTATCACATCACCCACCTGCTTCTCGTACCCCTTAGTGGGTGCTGTGTCAAAGCGCATCACCATGTCGTGTTTGTCAATCTCCTCTCCATCCTCCCTCAGCAACAGCGCACCCGAGTTACCCACCACTGCACACGTCTCCCACACCTGGAACAGGTGAGGAAATCACAAATTATGAGAAAAAAGGAGGGGAGGAGGGTGGGGGCAGGGGGGGGAGGAGCGGGGGAAGAGGAGAAAAACAAAGCAATGGATTCAGACGAGCGGGTAGAGACGATGTTGGAGGAACAATAGAGCAATTGACACACCTTTCAATGAGGTGAATTTTGAGTCGACTCAAAAGACAAGCGGGTAGAGACGATGTTGGAGGAACAATAGAGCAACCCTTTCAATGTTGACACACCTTCCAATGGCAACCCTTCGTCTCTTCAATCGACACACTCCTCCTGCCCCTTTTTGTTAAGTTATCTAGAATGTTTAATCACTCACCGTTGTCTAGTACATGTCGGTCAAAGGCAGAACAGCCCTCAGCTGCCTCTTCTCTTCAATCGACAGCCCTTCCAACAGCATGGCAGATTGTGCCGCTGATCTTCCTCGCCCTTTCCTTCTTGTGAGTCAACTCAACTTGAATAATCCACTCACCGTCGTCTGGTACATGTCGGTCAAAGGCAGAACCGCCCTCAGCTGCCTTCTCTCTTCTATCGACAACCCCTCCAGCAGCATGGCAGATCGCGTCGCTGACCCCCCTCCGCCGCCCCCCTCCTCTCCTGCTACTGGCGGCGGCGGCGGCATGACGGCTTGTGCAGTGAGCAGGTAGCTTCCCACGTACGGGTCGACTGTCAGCTTGTCCGTGTTACGGGTTTCCTGTTGCGGAGAAACACAGGTGAACGGGAGGGTTGGGAAGGAAGGGTGAAGCAAGCTGCAGGGCATGACGGCTTGTGCTGTGAGCAGGTAGCTTCCCACATACGGGTCTACTGTGAGCTTGTCCGTGTTGCGAGTTTCCTGTTAGCAGGCAAGCACAGGAGCAGGAAAGAAAGGGCCGTGCATGAGGGCCTGTGCTGTGAGCAGGTAGCAGCAATGCCAAGCGGTCCAAAGCCATACCGCGCGGCGCTCCAGTCAGAAATGGTTAACAATGCACTCGTCCTAACAAGCAAATTACCCTCGACATCGAACGCCAAGGTAAGTCACGCAAGTTTACCATTACCACATAAGGGTCTACTGTGAGCTTGTCCGTGTTGCGGGTTTCCTGTGCAAGGCAAGGCAAACAGGCACATGAGGGCATGTGCTGTGAGCAGGTAGCTTCCCACGTACGGGTCGACAGTCAACTTGTCCGTGTTACGGGTTTCCTGTTGACACGTTACCGGGCAACAGACAGAAGCAGGAGGGATGGGAAGGTTGGGAAGGAAGGGTAAGGCAGGCTCCAGGCCACCACCCATGAGTGCATGTGCTGTGCTGTGAGCAGGTAGCTTCCCACATAGGGGTCGATTGTGAGCTTGTCTGTGTTGTGCATTTCCTGTCACGGAGAAACACGCAGGAACAGGGGGGCTGGGAAGGAAATGAAGGGCAGGCCCCAGGGCATGACGGCCTGTGCAGTGAGCAGATAGCTCCCAACATAAGGGTCGTCTGTCAGCTTGTCTGTGTTGCGCGTTTCCTGTCACGGAGAAACACGCAGGAACAGGGGGGCTGGGAAGGAAATGAAGGGCAGGCCTCAGGGCATGACGGCCTGTGCAGTGAGCAGATAGCTCCCAACATAAGGGTCGACTGTCAGCTTGTCTGTGTTGCGCGTTTCCTGTCACGGAGAAACACGCAGGAACAGGGGGGCTGGGAAGGAAATGAAGGGCAGGCCTCAGGGCATGACGGCCTGTGCAGTGAGCAGATAGCTCCCAACATAAGGGTCGACTGTCAGCTTGTCTGTGTTGCGCGTTTCCTGTCACGGAGAAACACGCAGGAACAGGGGGGCTGGGAAGGAAATGAAGGGCAGGCCTCAGGGCATGACGGCCTGCGCAGTGAGCAGATAGCTCCCAACATAAGGGTCGACTGTCAGCTTGTCTGTGTTGCGCGTTTCCTGTCACGGAGAAACACGCAGGAACAGGGGGGCTGGGAAGGAAATGAAGGGCAGGCCTCAGGGCATGACGGCCTGTGCAGTGAGCAGATAGCTCCCAACATAAGGGTCGACTGTCAGCTTGTCTGTGTTGCGCGTTTCCTGTCACGGAGAAACACGCAGGAACAGGGGGGCTGGGAAGGAAAGGAAGGGCGGGATGCAGGGCATGAGTGCCTGTGCTGTGAGCAGGTAGCTTCCCACATACGGGTCGACTGTCAGCTTGTCCGTGTTGCGCGTTTCCTGTTACCACGATACCGGGCAACAGACAAAAGCAGGAGGGATGGGAAGGTTGGGAAGGAACGGTTAGGCAGGCTCCAGCACCCATGAGGACATGTGTTGTGAGCAGGTAGCGGCCCACGTACGGGTCGATTGTCGACTCAAGAACCAGTTACCCTACCTCGCACCTAAAAAAAGCCACCCACCTCACAGTTATTCCACTTATAAAGCACAATGCATATGCACATGTTGTCTGCCTGCGGAATGCCGATTATCGGTCGACTCAAGTACCAGTTACCACCTACCTCACACGTACAACCCACCTCACAGGTGCAACCCACCTCACAGGTACAACCCACCTCACAGGTACAACCCACCTCACAGGTACAACCCACCTCACAGGTACAACCCACCTCGCAGTTATCGCCCCCATAGAGCACAGCACAGATGCACTTGTTGTCTGCCTGCATTATGCGACTACTGAGTCTACTCAAAGACCAGTTACCCTACCTCCCTCACAGATACCACCTCACTCACAGAACCCACCTCACAGTTATCCCCGCCATAGAGCACAGCACAGATGCACTTGTTGTCTACCTGCATTATGCCCACTGCTTAGTCGACTCAAGAACCAGTTACCCTACCCCCCGCACCTGAGAAATACAACCCACCTCACAGTTATCGCCCCCATAGAGCACAGCACAGATGCACTTGTTGTCTGCCTGCAGTATTCCCCGACCCAGACATGGGAGCTTGGTGGGATCCACAGGTGGTGGCACCTCGATTACAGCTGGGGAGGAGAAGCGACAAAAGGAAGAGAGGAAAAGGAAGAAGGAGTGAGACACAAGTTGCTGCTGCCTGCCCCCGGCCCAAACAAGGGAGTTTGGTGGGTGGGATCCAGGGGATCTCCTTGGCTAGATCGGAAGGAACTGAAATCAGTTGAGTATCTAAAGGTCCAAGGAGGGAGAACGCTATATGCTATAAGCTACAGAACGGAGAGAAAACCAGGCCTAAAGTCCATCAAAACAAACAGTTTTGGGCTTAAAAGGGGGGACCTCCTTTACAGCCCAGCACAACTCACATCCACCCTAGTGTCCTCCTTTTAACAGCCCCAAACCGCTTTGCACCACTCCACACCTGCTCGTGCTAATCTCCCGCCACTCACATGCTCCCTTGTGTTCTCCCCTTCACAGCTGCTCGTGTTCACCATTCACACCCTTGTGTGCTTCCCCTCACAGCCCAGCACCACTCAGCACCACTCCACACCTGCTCGTGCCTATCTTGCACCACTCACATGCTCCCTTGTGTTCTCCCCTAAAGTCCACTTCCACTCCCGGCTTTGCCTTCTCCTCCTCGCGCACCTGATGGGCGGGAAAGGGGAAGGAGTACCTTACGAGTCAACTCAGTGACCGATGTAAGTCTGAACCACAAATCTCCCTAAAGTCCACTTCCACTCCCGGCTTTGCCTTCTCCTCCTCGCGCACCTGATGGGCGGGGAGTCATCACAGCACAAGCACGGAATAAGTTCTGAGTCGACTCAGGGACCGATTCACAGAGTCCTATGTGTGTGTATAGAGTGTTTAGAGACAACTTGAACCAACCCCGCCGGTTACCAGTACCCATACGAAACCCCACCTGACACACTGCGTCACCCACACACTTACACGAGCGTAGAACAAGAAACCCCACCGCACTGCTCCCCACACACTTACACGAGCGTAGAACAAAGAAACCCCACCGCACCTGCTCCCCACACACTTACACGAGCGTAGAACCAAGAAACCCCACCGCACCTGCTCCCCACACACTTACACGAGCGTAGAACCAAGAAACCCCACCGCACCTGCTCCCCACACACTTACACGAGCGTAGAACCAAGAAACCCCACCGCACCTGCTCCCCACACACTTACACGAGCGTAGAACCAAGAAACCCCACCGCACCTGCTCCCCACACACTTACACGAGCGTAGAACCAAGAAACCCCACCGCACCTGCTCCCCACACACTTACACGAGCGTAGAACCAAGAAACCCCACCGCACCTGCTCCCCACACACTTACACGAGCGTAGAACCAAGAAACCCCACCGCACCTGCTCCCCACACACTTACACGAGCGTAGAACCAAGAAACCCCACCGCACCTGCTCCCCACACACTTACACGAGCGTAGAACCAAGAAACCCCACCGCACCTGCTCCCCACACACTTACACGAGCGTAGAACCAAGAAACCCCACCGCACCTGCTCCCCACACACTTACACGAGCGTAGAACCAAGAAACCCCACCGCACCTGCTCCCCACACACTTACACGAGCGTAGAACCAAGAAACCCCACCGCACCTGCTCCCCACACACTTACACGAGCGTAGAACCAAGAAACCCCACCGCACCTGCTCCCCACACACTTACACGAGCGTAGAACCAAGAAACCCCACCGCACCTGCTCCCCACACACTTACACGAGCGTAGAACCAAGAAACCCCACCGCACCTGCTCCCCACACACTTACACGAGCGTAGAACCAAGAAACCCCACCGCACCTGCTCCCCACACACTTACACGAGCGTAGAACCAAGAAACCCCACCGCACCTGCTCCCCACACACTTACACGAGCGTAGAACCAAGAAACCCCACCGCACCTGCTCCCCACACACTTACACGAGCGTAGAACCAAGAAACCCCACCGCACCTGCTCCCCACACACTTACACGAGCGTAGAACCAAGAAACCCCACCGCACCTGCTCCCCACACACTTACACGAGCGTAGAACCAAGAAACCCCACCGCACCTGCTCCCCACACACTTACACGAGCGTAGAACCAAGAAACCCCACCGCACCTGCTCCCCACACACTTACACGAGCGTAGAACCAAGAAACCCCACCGCACCTGCTCCCCACACACTTACACGAGCGTAGAACCAAGAAACCCCACCGCACCTGCTCCCCACACACTTACACGAGCGTAGAACCAAGAAACCCCACCGCACCTGCTCCCCACACACTTACACGAGCGTAGAACCAAGAAACCCCACCGCACCTGCTCCCCACACACTTACACGAGCGTAGAACCAAGAAACCCCACCGCACCTGCTCCCCACACACTTACACGAGCGTAGAACCAAGAAACCCCACCGCACCTGCTCCCCACACACTTACACGAGCGTAGAACCAAGAAACCCCACCGCACCTGCTCCCCACACACTTACACGAGCGTAGAACCAAGAAACCCCACCGCACCTGCTCCCCACACACTTACACGAGCGTAGAACCAAGAAACCCCACCGCACCTGCTCCCCACACACTTACACGAGCGTAGAACCAAGAAACCCCACCGCACCTGCTCCCCACACACTTACACGAGCGTAGAACCAAGAAACCCCACCGCACCTGCTCCCCACACACTTACACGAGCGTAGAACCAAGAAACCCCACCGCACCTGCTCCCCACACACTTACACGAGCGTAGAACCAAGAAACCCCACCGCACCTGCTCCCCACACACTTACACGAGCGTAGAACCAAGAAACCCCACCGCACCTGCTCCCCACACACTTACACGAGCGTAGAACCAAGAAACCCCACCGCACCTGCTCCCCACACACTTACACGAGCGTAGAACCAAGAAACCCCACCGCACCTGCTCCCCACACACTTACACGAGCGTAGAACCAAGAAACCCCACCGCACCTGCTCCCCACACACTTACACGAGCGTAGAACCAAGAAACCCCACCGCACCTGCTCCCCACACACTTACACGAGCGTAGAACCAAGAAACCCCACCGCACCTGCTCCCCACACACTTACACGAGCGTAGAACCAAGAAACCCCACCGCACCTGCTCCCCACACACTTACACGAGCGTAGAACCAAGAAACCCCACCGCACCTGCTCCCCACACACTTACACGAGCGTAGAACCAAGAAACCCCACCGCACCTGCTCCCCACACACTTACACGAGCGTAGAACCAAGAAACCCCACCGCACCTGCTCCCCACACACTTACACGAGCGTAGAACCAAGAAACCCCACCGCACCTGCTCCCCACACACTTACACGAGCGTAGAACCAAGAAACCCCACCGCACCTGCTCCCCACACACTTACACGAGCGTAGAACCAAGAAACCCCACCGCACCTGCTCCCCACACACTTACACGAGCGTAGAACCAAGAAACCCCACCGCACCTGCTCCCCACACACTTACACGAGCGTAGAACCAAGAAACCCCACCGCACCTGCTCCCCACACACTTACACGAGCGTAGAACCAAGAAACCCCACCGCACCTGCTCCCCACACACTTACACGAGCGTAGAACCAAGAAACCCCACCGCACCTGCTCCCCACACACTTACACGAGCGTAGAACCAAGAAACCCCACCGCACCTGCTCCCCACACACTTACACGAGCGTAGAACCAAGAAACCCCACCGCACCTGCTCCCCACACACTTACACGAGCGTAGAACCAAGAAACCCCACCGCACCTGCTCCCCACACACTTACACGAGCGTAGAACCAAGAAACCCCACCGCACCTGCTCCCCACACACTTACACGAGCGTAGAACCAAGAAACCCCACCGCACCTGCTCCCCACACACTTACACGAGCGTAGAACCAAGAAACCCCACCGCACCTGCTCCCCACACACTTACACGAGCGTAGAACCAAGAAACCCCACCGCACCTGCTCCCCACACACTTACACGAGCGTAGAACCAAGAAACCCCACCGCACCTGCTCCCCACACACTTACACGAGCGTAGAACCAAGAAACCCCACCGCACCTGCTCCCCACACACTTACACGAGCGTAGAACCAAGAAACCCCACCGCACCTGCTCCCCACACACTTACACGAGCGTAGAACCAAGAAACCCCACCGCACCTGCTCCCCACACACTTACACGAGCGTAGAACCAAGAAACCCCACCGCACCTGCTCCCCACACACTTACACGAGCGTAGAACCAAGAAACCCCACCGCACCTGCTCCCCACACACTTACACGAGCGTAGAACCAAGAAACCCCACCGCACCTGCTCCCCACACACTTACACGAGCGTAGAACCAAGAAACCCCACCGCACCTGCTCCCCACACACTTACACGAGCGTAGAACCAAGAAACCCCACCGCACCTGCTCCCCACACACTTACACGAGCGTAGAACCAAGAAACCCCACCGCACCTGCTCCCCACACACTTACACGAGCGTAGAACCAAGAAACCCCACCGCACCTGCTCCCCACACACTTACACGAGCGTAGAACCAAGAAACCCCACCGCACCTGCTCCCCACACACTTACACGAGCGTAGAACCAAGAAACCCCACCGCACCTGCTCCCCACACACTTACACGAGCGTAGAACCAAGAAACCCCACCGCACCTGCTCCCCACACACTTACACGAGCGTAGAACCAAGAAACCCCACCGCACCTGCTCCCCACACACTTACACGAGCGTAGAACCAAGAAACCCCACCGCACCTGCTCCCCACACACTTACACGAGCGTAGAACCAAGAAACCCCACCGCACCTGCTCCCCACACACTTACACGAGCGTAGAACCAAGAAACCCCACCGCACCTGCTCCCCACACACTTACACGAGCGTAGAACCAAGAAACCCCACCGCACCTGCTCCCCACACACTTACACGAGCGTAGAACCAAGAAACCCCACCGCACCTGCTCCCCACACACTTACACGAGCGTAGAACCAAGAAACCCCACCGCACCTGCTCCCCACACACTTACACGAGCGTAGAACCAAGAAACCCCACCGCACCTGCTCCCCACACACTTACACGAGCGTAGAACCAAGAAACCCCACCGCACCTGCTCCCCACACACTTACACGAGCGTAGAACCAAGAAACCCCACCGCACCTGCTCCCCACACACTTACACGAGCGTAGAACCAAGAAACCCCACCGCACCTGCTCCCCACACACTTACACGAGCGTAGAACCAAGAAACCCCACCGCACCTGCTCCCCACACACTTACACGAGCGTAGAACCAAGAAACCCCACCGCACCTGCTCCCCACACACTTACACGAGCGTAGAACCAAGAAACCCCACCGCACCTGCTCCCCACACACTTACACGAGCGTAGAACCAAGAAACCCCACCGCACCTGCTCCCCACACACTTACACGAGCGTAGAACCAAGAAACCCCACCGCACCTGCTCCCCACACACTTACACGAGCGTAGAACCAAGAAACCCCACCGCACCTGCTCCCCACACACTTACACGAGCGTAGAACCAAGAAACCCCACCGCACCTGCTCCCCACACACTTACACGAGCGTAGAACCAAGAAACCCCACCGCACCTGCTCCCCACACACTTACACGAGCGTAGAACCAAGAAACCCCACCGCACCTGCTCCCCACACACTTACACGAGCGTAGAACCAAGAAACCCCACCGCACCTGCTCCCCACACACTTACACGAGCGTAGAACCAAGAAACCCCACCGCACCTGCTCCCCACACACTTACACGAGCGTAGAACCAAGAAACCCCACCGCACCTGCTCCCCACACACTTACACGAGCGTAGAACCAAGAAACCCCACCGCACCTGCTCCCCACACACTTACACGAGCGTAGAACCAAGAAACCCCACCGCACCTGCTCCCCACACACTTACACGAGCGTAGAACCAAGAAACCCCACCGCACCTGCTCCCCACACACTTACACGAGCGTAGAACCAAGAAACCCCACCGCACCTGCTCCCCACACACTTACACGAGCGTAGAACCAAGAAACCCCACCGCACCTGCTCCCCACACACTTACACGAGCGTAGAACCAAGAAACCCCACCGCACCTGCTCCCCACACACTTACACGAGCGTAGAACCAAGAAACCCCACCGCACCTGCTCCCCACACACTTACACGAGCGTAGAACCAAGAAACCCCACCGCACCTGCTCCCCACACACTTACACGAGCGTAGAACCAAGAAACCCCACCGCACCTGCTCCCCACACACTTACACGAGCGTAGAACCAAGAAACCCCACCGCACCTGCTCCCCACACACTTACACGAGCGTAGAACCAAGAAACCCCACCGCACCTGCTCCCCACACACTTACACGAGCGTAGAACCAAGAAACCCCACCGCACCTGCTCCCCACACACTTACACGAGCGTAGAACCAAGAAACCCCACCGCACCTGCTCCCCACACACTTACACGAGCGTAGAACCAAGAAACCCCACCGCACCTGCTCCCCACACACTTACACGAGCGTAGAACCAAGAAACCCCACCGCACCTGCTCCCCACACACTTACACGAGCGTAGAACCAAGAAACCCCACCGCACCTGCTCCCCACACACTTACACGAGCGTAGAACCAAGAAACCCCACCGCACCTGCTCCCCACACACTTACACGAGCGTAGAACCAAGAAACCCCACCGCACCTGCTCCCCACACACTTACACGAGCGTAGAACCAAGAAACCCCACCGCACCTGCTCCCCACACACTTACACGAGCGTAGAACCAAGAAACCCCACCGCACCTGCTCCCCACACACTTACACGAGCGTAGAACCAAGAAACCCCACCGCACCTGCTCCCCACACACTTACACGAGCGTAGAACCAAGAAACCCCACCGCACCTGCTCCCCACACACTTACACGAGCGTAGAACCAAGAAACCCCACCGCACCTGCTCCCCACACACTTACACGAGCGTAGAACCAAGAAACCCCACCGCACCTGCTCCCCACACACTTACACGAGCGTAGAACCAAGAAACCCCACCGCACCTGCTCCCCACACACTTACACGAGCGTAGAACCAAGAAACCCCACCGCACCTGCTCCCCACACACTTACACGAGCGTAGAACCAAGAAACCCCACCGCACCTGCTCCCCACACACTTACACGAGCGTAGAACCAAGAAACCCCACCGCACCTGCTCCCCACACACTTACACGAGCGTAGAACCAAGAAACCCCACCGCACCTGCTCCCCACACACTTACACGAGCGTAGAACCAAGAAACCCCACCGCACCTGCTCCCCACACACTTACACGAGCGTAGAACCAAGAAACCCCACCGCACCTGCTCCCCACACACTTACACGAGCGTAGAACCAAGAAACCCCACCGCACCTGCTCCCCACACACTTACACGAGCGTAGAACCAAGAAACCCCACCGCACCTGCTCCCCACACACTTACACGAGCGTAGAACCAAGAAACCCCACCGCACCTGCTCCCCACACACTTACACGAGCGTAGAACCAAGAAACCCCACCGCACCTGCTCCCCACACACTTACACGAGCGTAGAACCAAGAAACCCCACCGCACCTGCTCCCCACACACTTACACGAGCGTAGAACCAAGAAACCCCACCGCACCTGCTCCCCACACACTTACACGAGCGTAGAACCAAGAAACCCCACCGCACCTGCTCCCCACACACTTACACGAGCGTAGAACCAAGAAACCCCACCGCACCTGCTCCCCACACACTTACACGAGCGTAGAACCAAGAAACCCCACCGCACCTGCTCCCCACACACTTACACGAGCGTAGAACCAAGAAACCCCACCGCACCTGCTCCCCACACACTTACACGAGCGTAGAACCAAGAAACCCCACCGCACCTGCTCCCCACACACTTACACGAGCGTAGAACCAAGAAACCCCACCGCACCTGCTCCCCACACACTTACACGAGCGTAGAACCAAGAAACCCCACCGCACCTGCTCCCCACACACTTACACGAGCGTAGAACCAAGAAACCCCACCGCACCTGCTCCCCACACACTTACACGAGCGTAGAACCAAGAAACCCCACCGCACCTGCTCCCCACACACTTACACGAGCGTAGAACCAAGAAACCCCACCGCACCTGCTCCCCACACACTTACACGAGCGTAGAACCAAGAAACCCCACCGCACCTGCTCCCCACACACTTACACGAGCGTAGAACCAAGAAACCCCACCGCACCTGCTCCCCACACACTTACACGAGCGTAGAACCAAGAAACCCCACCGCACCTGCTCCCCACACACTTACACGAGCGTAGAACCAAGAAACCCCACCGCACCTGCTCCCCACACACTTACACGAGCGTAGAACCAAGAAACCCCACCGCACCTGCTCCCCACACACTTACACGAGCGTAGAACCAAGAAACCCCACCGCACCTGCTCCCCACACACTTACACGAGCGTAGAACCAAGAAACCCCACCGCACCTGCTCCCCACACACTTACACGAGCGTAGAACCAAGAAACCCCACCGCACCTGCTCCCCACACACTTACACGAGCGTAGAACCAAGAAACCCCACCGCACCTGCTCCCCACACACTTACACGAGCGTAGAACCAAGAAACCCCACCGCACCTGCTCCCCACACACTTACACGAGCGTAGAACCAAGAAACCCCACCGCACCTGCTCCCCACACACTTACACGAGCGTAGAACCAAGAAACCCCACCGCACCTGCTCCCCACACACTTACACGAGCGTAGAACCAAGAAACCCCACCGCACCTGCTCCCCACACACTTACACGAGCGTAGAACCAAGAAACCCCACCGCACCTGCTCCCCACACACTTACACGAGCGTAGAACCAAGAAACCCCACCGCACCTGCTCCCCACACACTTACACGAGCGTAGAACCAAGAAACCCCACCGCACCTGCTCCCCACACACTTACACGAGCGTAGAACCAAGAAACCCCACCGCACCTGCTCCCCACACACTTACACGAGCGTAGAACCAAGAAACCCCACCGCACCTGCTCCCCACACACTTACACGAGCGTAGAACCAAGAAACCCCACCGCACCTGCTCCCCACACACTTACACGAGCGTAGAACCAAGAAACCCCACCGCACCTGCTCCCCACACACTTACACGAGCGTAGAACCAAGAAACCCCACCGCACCTGCTCCCCACACACTTACACGAGCGTAGAACCAAGAAACCCCACCGCACCTGCTCCCCACACACTTACACGAGCGTAGAACCAAGAAACCCCACCGCACCTGCTCCCCACACACTTACACGAGCGTAGAACCAAGAAACCCCACCGCACCTGCTCCCCACACACTTACACGAGCGTAGAACCAAGAAACCCCACCGCACCTGCTCCCCACACACTTACACGAGCGTAGAACCAAGAAACCCCACCGCACCTGCTCCCCACACACTTACACGAGCGTAGAACCAAGAAACCCCACCGCACCTGCTCCCCACACACTTACACGAGCGTAGAACCAAGAAACCCCACCGCACCTGCTCCCCACACACTTACACGAGCGTAGAACCAAGAAACCCCACCGCACCTGCTCCCCACACACTTACACGAGCGTAGAACCAAGAAACCCCACCGCACCTGCTCCCCACACACTTACACGAGCGTAGAACCAAGAAACCCCACCGCACCTGCTCCCCACACACTTACACGAGCGTAGAACCAAGAAACCCCACCGCACCTGCTCCCCACACACTTACACGAGCGTAGAACCAAGAAACCCCACCGCACCTGCTCCCCACACACTTACACGAGCGTAGAACCAAGAAACCCCACCGCACCTGCTCCCCACACACTTACACGAGCGTAGAACCAAGAAACCCCACCGCACCTGCTCCCCACACACTTACACGAGCGTAGAACCAAGAAACCCCACCGCACCTGCTCCCCACACACTTACACGAGCGTAGAACCAAGAAACCCCACCGCACCTGCTCCCCACACACTTACACGAGCGTAGAACCAAGAAACCCCACCGCACCTGCTCCCCACACACTTACACGAGCGTAGAACCAAGAAACCCCACCGCACCTGCTCCCCACACACTTACACGAGCGTAGAACCAAGAAACCCCACCGCACCTGCTCCCCACACACTTACACGAGCGTAGAACCAAGAAACCCCACCGCACCTGCTCCCCACACACTTACACGAGCGTAGAACCAAGAAACCCCACCGCACCTGCTCCCCACACACACACACCTGCTGACTCAGAAGCCCCACCACACCTGCTGCTACCCACACACACACTTACCCGTGCCTAGAACCCAGCAACCCCACCCAACACACCTGCTCCTGAGCGATCACTTCCGGCTTCAATACAGGCAGATTATCCACAGGCTCCTCCTCCGGCTCCTTCTTGGAAGCTGCGCCTCCCTTCCCAAACCCAAACCACTGAAAACCGCCACCCCCAGCCCCAGCGTTCCCTGCAGCACCCCCACCATCCCCATTTCCCCCGCTTCCGCCCCCACTCCCCCCTCCTCCGCCTCCCTCCGCCCCTGTTGTGTTCTGTTTTTGCCATAGCATCACCCCTGGCAGACCCGCATATAGTCTCTTCCATCCAAACCCAGCCGGTTGGGCTTTAATCCCTGCGCCGTCCCCCCCTTGCACTGCTCCTGCTGTGCCCCCGCCTGCCCCCCCACCCCCTCCCTCAGCCCCCCCTCCCCCAGGCCCCTCCTCCCCGGGTTCATCCTCGATACTGTCCACCTCGTTTGCCTCTAGAAGCTCGTTTCCTTCATGCACGAATTCGTCTCTGTTGCGAGCGTCGCTATCCAGACCAGTGTTTGCAGCCCCAGATTTGCCAGTACTGGCAGTACTGCCACTGCTTCCGCTACTGCTACCGCCACTGCCGCTGCTACTGCTACCGCCATTGCCGCCCGTGCCGTCGCTCTTGCCATCTCCTTGCTTTCTCTGTGTCCCATCTGCACCAGCTGCTGCCACCGCTGCTTCCCCACCGCCCTCTCCTGCTCCTGCGTTCCCAGCATCAATCTGCTTCACTCTCTGTCCTTCTATAGAGTGACCCGCTTCCCCTTCTGCTCCTCCCCCCCCTCCTCCACCATCCCCAGCACCAAGACCAAGACCAGCCGCAGTGGCAGTGGCGGCAACAGCAGCACCCAAATCCGTTTGTTCCTCTGGCAAGAAAACTTTTTCTGCTTGGCCATTTCCCCCCTGCTGCTGCTCCTCCTTTTGCCCACTCTCTGCCTGCCTACCTGCTTCTTCTTCCCCACCCTTCCCGCTCCCTCCTCCTCCAGCCTCTCCCCCTCCCCCTCCCTCTCCCCCTCCGCCTCCCCCTCCGCCTCCCCCTCCGCCTCCCCCTCCGCCTCCCCTCCGCCTCCCCCTCCACCTCCGCCTCCTCCTCCGCCTCCCCCGCTGCTCTCACTCCCCCGCACAAACGCCCCCGAGTTGAACTCCTGCTCGAGAGCCGCCTCCATGCTGACGTCATCAGGGTCCATGCTTCTCACCGACTCCACGAAGTCTAGCGGCCCCAGCATGCCGTCTATGAGGTGCACCACCAATTGACCTTCCATTATATCCACCTGGGGGACGGGGAGATGTGAGTGGGAGAGAAGGGGCATGCTTCTCACCGACTCCACGAAGTCTTGCGGCCCCAGCATGCCGTCTATGAGGTGCACCACCAATTGACCTTCCATTATATCCACCTGTGAGATGGAGAGGTGGAGGGTGCGTGGGGAGAAAGAACAACGAGAGGTGCTTCAGCAGCACGCATGATCATGCGGCCCTGTCTGCGCAGCACACGCACATTATATACCCACCCACCCACACTTCTCACCTGCTTGCTCGGCACCCCATTGGCGAACATCCTTCCAGAGCGCGGGTCCCTCCCCACATTGATTATAAACCCTGTTATCGACTCCAACCGCTCAAACGCCCCCAGACCAGAGGCACCTCGGCTGCTGCACACACATCACACGCGTTACTCGTCGTCAACCCATACACCATTCAGCTCACCTGTTTGCTCGGCACTCCGTTAGCGAATATCCGCCCACTGCGCGGGTCCCTCCCCACATTGATGATAAACCCTGTTATCGACTCCAACCGCTCAAACGCCCCCAGCGGGATGTCCGCTGCTGGGATGCGGCGAGGCACGGCTGAATAGCCCACTAACCGACTCAACATGGGGTCGATCTGGGGGAGGAGGAGGGGGAGACGTGAGATAAGGGGAGGGGTCACAGTGAACAAAGCAAGCAGGGATTGGCGAGGCACGGCAGAGTGCCCCACTAACCAACTCAACATGGGGTCGATCTGGCAGAAGGGGAGGAGAGGGGAGGAGAAAGTTGGCGGGAGGGGAGTAAGGGGTCACGCGAGGGGCCGTATAGAGAAGGGGAAGGGGGAGAGAGGCGGCTCTCAGAGGGCTGACAGCGGCAGGGATGCAGCAAGGCACGGAGGAGTAGCCCACTAACCGACTCAAAATAGGGTCGATCTGAGGGAGAGAGGGGAGGGGGTAAGGGGGAGAAAGATGGGTAATCGGGTGACCAAGGGGTTACGCTAAAATGCAAGGATGCGGCGAGGCACGGCAGAGTAGCCCACTAACCGACTCAACATGGGGTCGATCTGGCGGAGAGGGGGGAATGGGGGGGCCGACGGCAAGTGAGTGGTAAGGGGATAGAGAGCAACACGTCGGCTGCTGGGATGCGGCGAGGCACGGCGAAGTAGCCCACTAATCGACTCAACATGGGGTCGATCTGGGGGAGAGAGGGGAATGGGGGGTGCGAAAGCAAGTGAGTGGTAAGAAGATAGACAGCAACACGTTGGCTGTAGGGATGCGGCGAGGCACAGCAGAGTAGCCCACTAAGCGACCCAACATGGGGTCGATCTGGCGGAGAGGAGAGGAGGAGGGGAGTAAGGGGACACGAGTGGGGCTGTAAAGAAAAGGGTTAAGCCACTGCTCGACTCAACATGGGGCCGAGATGGAGGAGGGGGGAAGTAGAAGGCAGAAAGTGAGGGGAGGGGTATGTGTACTTTTGATGAGACATCATCTCAAACGTATGTATGTGGGGAAGCGATAGAGGGGGCTTGCAGCAACAGGGTGCTTTTCAGAATCATAAAAAACAGAAGTATTCTTACATTGGAGAATTCTCACGAAAAACAGCCCTCACCAATTCCTTTGTTCTGGGATACTTGTGAAACGTGCTGCTGATATCCAGCAGAAAATCGTCCGAGGGGGCGAACAGCGTGAAGGGCTCGTCAGTGCTCAGCATGCCCGCCATGGCAGCTGCATGGGACAAGAGGGGGAGGGCATTCAGAAGGGTTGGAGGCCAAGGGCGACAGCAACACAGCAGCTTGTGAGGGCTCGTCCGTGCTCAGCATGCCCGCCATGGCAGCTGCATGGGACAAGAGGGGGAGGGCATTCAGAAGGGTTGGAGGCCAAGGGCGACAGCAACACAGCAGCTTGTGAGGGCTCGTCAGTGCTCAGCATGCCCGCCATGGCAGCTGCATGGGACAAGAGGGGGAGGGCATTCAGGAGGGTTGGAGGCCAAGGGCGACAGCAACACAGCAGCTTGTGAGGGCTCGTCAGTGCTCAGCATGCCCGCCATGGCACCTGCATGGGACAAGAGGGGGAGGGCATTCAGAAGGGTTGGAGGCCAAGGGCGACAGCATAACAGCAGCTTGTGAGGGCTCGTCAGTGCTCAGCATGCCCGCCATGGCAGCTGCATGGGACAAGAGGGGGAGGGCATTCAGAAGGGATGGAGGCCAAGGGCGACAGCAACACAGCAGCTTGTGAGGGCTCGTCAGTGCTCAGCATGCCCGCCATGGCAGCTGCATGGGACAAGAGGGGGAGGGCATTCAGAAGGGTTGGAGGCCAAGGGCGACAGCAACACAGCAGCTTGTGAGGGCTCGTCAGTGCTCAGCATGCCCGCCATGGCACCTGCATGGGACAAGAGGGGGAGGGCATTCAGAAGGGTTGGAGGCCAAGGGCGACAGCATAACAGCAGCTTGTGAGGGCTCGTCAGTGCTCAGCATGCCCGCCATGGCAGCTGCATGGGACAAGAGGGGGAGGGCATTCAGAAGGGATGGAGGCCAAGGGCGACAGCAACACAGCAGCTTGTGAGGGCTCGTCAGTGCTCAGCATGCCCGCCATGGCAGCTGCATGGGACAAGAGGGGGAGGGCATTCAGAAGGGTTGGAGGCCAAGGGCGACAGCAACACAGCAGCTTGTGAGGGCTCGTCAGTGCTCAGCATGCCCGCCATGGCAGCTGCATGGGACAAGAGGGGGAGGGCATTCAGAAGGGTTGGAGGCCAAGGGCGACAGCAACACAGAAGCTTGTGAGGGTTCGTCAGTGCTCAGCATGCCCGCCATGGCAGCTGCATGGGACAAGAGGGGGAGGGCATTCAGAAGGGTTGGAGGCCAAGGGCGACAGCAACACAGAAGCTTGTGAGGGCTCGTCAGTGCTCAGCATGCCCGCCATGGCAGCTGCATGGGACAAGAGGGGGAGGGCATTCAGAAGGGTTGGAGGCCAAGGGCGACAGCAACACAGCAGCTTGTGAGGGCTCGTCCGTGCTCAGCATGCCCGCCATGGCAGCTGCATGGGAGAGAGAGGAAGGGAGAAGGCAAATGGTGGCAATGGCAAAAGCGCAGCTTGTAAGGCGTTGGTGGGAGCAGAGCAGACAGAGTGAAGGGCTAGTCGGTGCTGCTCAGCATGCCCGCCATGGCGCCTGCGCGAGTGTGGAGGGAGAGGGGGTTGGATGAAGTAAGAGAGAGTGGATGGAGGCGTTGGTGGGAGCAGACAGAGTGAACGGCTTGCCTTCGCTGCTCAGCATGCCCGCCATGGCGCCTGCAGGAGAGAGAGGAGGAAAATAAAAGGTTGTCCCAGCCCAGCAGCATAAGAATTGCCATGCCGAGCACTCACCAACCTGGTCAAAAACGAGCCAGCGGTTGCCAGCACTTGCGCAGGGAAAAGCAGGGTAAATCGCTCTGAGAAAAGAAAACCAACCTGAAAAGGTCTGGAGCTTCCCGCCAGAAGCAGTAGCCTGCTCGTTGCCATTCTGGCCTCCACTGCTGCTACTCTGGGCGTCTGAATCGGCTATGTGTTGATGCACGCTGTCCGGTGCTGTCCCCACCTCCAGCACTGGTGCTGTTTGTTCGCTCTTAGGCGACGTGCCTGGTGACGGGGAAGGGGGAGGGGGAGGGGAAAGAATGTATAAGGTGGGGTGAATGGAAGGTGCGCTGGAAGTGAACGGCCAGGAGAGGAGGTATCGCAGATTTTGAGTCGAGTTCACACCCAAAATAGTGTTCCTAGTGTCTGAATTGGCTATGCGCTGACGCACACTGTCCGGTGCTGTCCCCACCTCCAGCACTGGTGCTGCTTGTTCGCTCTTAGGCAACGTTCCTGGGGGGAGGAGGAAGGGGACGGGTGGGAGGCAAGCGGGGTATGGAGAGGAAGCGTGGAGGAGGGAGAAGGAAAGGGAGGGAAGGGAGGAGGAGGAGGAGGAGGAGGAGGAGGAGGAGGAAGAGGAGGAGGAGGAGGAGGAGGAGGAGGAGGAGGGGGAGGAGGGGTTGGAGGAAAGGGAGGAGGAAGAGGAGCATGGGAGAAGAGAGCATCTGAGAGGATGAGGAGGAAGAGGACATGGGGAGGAAGAGAGCATCTGAGAGGAAGACGAAGACAAGCAGGGTCCCGCAGATGACCATCAAGGTCCATAACCGCTCCGTGGGAACACTTCTGAGGATTCTCAAATGTGATCTTTTGTGATCAAAAGAGAATTCTCAAAATTGATCCCAATTCACATGACCATCATGGTCCACAACAGCTCTCCATGGCTTGTAAGTCGATCAAACTCACCGGAGAGGATGAGGAGGAAAACAAAGAAGAGCATGGTCCCGCAAATGACCATCAGGGTCCATAAACGATCCATGGGACTCGCAGGCTTGCTCCGCCGCTTCACCCGCGGCAACGTTCCGTTCGCGATCTGCATCGCAATTCGCGACGTTCCTAGGTACGTTTTGAGACTGTCTTAGAAAACCATATGTATCGCGACTCTTCTTCGTAGCTTCTGAGGCCCCTCAAAAGGCGATCTGCATCGCGAATTTCCCCTACGGTTTCTCTGAACGCAAAACTCGCTACTGCCTTGCGTGCCTTACGCTAGCTCGCTAATGTTAAGGAGCAAATGTTCACGCGTAAATGCAGGGGGGCTCTTAGAGAGCATCTGCTACGTATAGGAACCTCCGAGTGCATTATGATAAAACGACCAATTGAGGTAAGAGAAGACGGTCTAGTACTGATAGGTTTTGCGTTCTCGTCAGCAGGAAATCAGAAATTGTCGAACGGCGACGAGCCCTTCGACCACATATCCTCGCGGCAGTCACGATACGGTAAGCAGATCCTCCGTCGTCGAGACTGAAGACTCTAATCTGCAAATCAGTGACAGAAGAAGTGGGTTGGTAGTTGTGTGACGATTGTATCAAGGGCAGATGATGATGGGATCAAGTGGTTGGTTTGGGTTGCAGCAATCTTGGTTGACTTTTTTGCGCGGTAATATCGAGGTTGGCGGGCTTCCGCCGCTCTGCGAATGCGAACCTGCCTTGTGCGCCGCAGACAGGCTCGCGCGACGAACGCCCAATACTTGCGCGGGGTGCAGCTGACTACCGAAGCCGAGAAGCCTGGCGGAACTTTTCAACAAAATGGAGGCCACACTGACTGAGGTCGTCGTCATCGTCGCTTTCGATTGGTCGGATGTGGCGACGAATCGATCAACACTTTCGGCTGGAAGTTTCGCGTTTGGCCCAGACCCACCGACAAAACCCACGTAAATATACACGTGAACGTGTTCATTCAGATTGCACCAACCAATTATAAATTGCAAGTTGACGTAAACCACATACAGTATTAGCTCAATTGGCAGCTGTCCTCCTCTAATAGGAAAACTGGTGCCAACTTCCAATACTAGCAAAACTGAGCACATTCTTTCAGGGGGGAATCAATTGACCAAGTGAATGGGAGAACAATTTGAGGAAGAATGGAGGCGGAATGCTCAATGCGCAAGGCAGGCGAGCCTGGGAGGACGGCAGGCGCACTCAAACTTGGGCATTGCGTTCCGCCACTAGAGCATGGATCCCCTCTGGGTGGTATGGTGCGAACAGGATGGACGAGTTGTGTCCACCAAAGCCAAACGAGTTGGAAAGCCCCACATTCACATCCAGCCGCTCCTTAGTGTCACGCACGAAGTAGCGCTCGTCCTGGTTCGATATCATAAGAGAAGAAAATCAGCAAGCGATTGATGAGCATTGTAAAATGCTTTCTACCAGCACCTATGCATATTTTCTGACGGCGACACCTCCCACTACCCCATATCACACTCACCAGGCCTACTTTTGGCCATTTGCAGCAAAATCACCCACTACCGCCCCATGCCCTCTGCTGTCCCTTATCAACCCATGCGAACACTCAACCTGCACCACCCCAACCTCTCACACCCATCCCTGCTACCATTCTACCTGTACCACCCTCATTTCCTCAGCCACGCTTACCAGGCCATCTTCGAGATTTTCCAGGTTGAGGTTGGGGTGCAGGTAGCCTGTGTGGATGGCCTGTAGGGAGGGTAACGAGGGCCGACGGAGAGGAGGGGGGAAGGCAATATGTATGTTGCGGCGGAGATAGCTTCTGAATGGCCTGTAGGAGGAGCAACGGAGGCAATGGTGGTAACGGGGGCGATGGGGGCAATGCAGGGCAACATGGGCAATGGGCGAAATGGGGGCAACGGGGGAAGTGAGGGGCGATGAAGGAGAAGGGGGTGATACGGAGGGCATAAAGAGGCAATGCGCCGGCCGAGAGGTGCATGAAACACTGGAATATTAGGCTGGGGTGGAGGTGCCCTGTGGGAATGGCCTGTTTGGGGCAACAGGAGTAGTAGAAGTCTTGGCTGCAGTAGAGTGCAATGGCAGGCAATATGAGGTGGCAATGGGGGGGGAATACCTGGTATAAAGGGGTCTGCACCATGTGGGCTAGGCTGCTGCAAGTTGCTTGGGTTGAGGAGAGGAGGCAAGCAGCACGGATGGAAATATGATGTGCAGATGCACGGCTTTGTGCTTACATCATTTTGAAAGAACCAAACCTCTTCACACTCCTTAACAGCATCCCAAAGGTTTACTAAGAAGCTTACCCAGCTCGAAGGACATAAAACTCACCCCAACGGTCGCAATGGCCTCCACTCCTCCTGCAGCGCCCAGCAGGTGGCCGATCATGGACTTAGTAGCGTTCATCTTCAGCTGCAATGTGTGGGAAAGGGGAGAGCGGGGGTAAAACGGACACGAAAAAAGGGAATGAATTGAGGGTAACCCACTGCAGCGCCCAGCAGGTGGCCGATCATGGACTTGGTGGCGTTCATCTTCAGCTGCGGTGAGAAGGAAAAGAAGGTGGAGGATGGGAAGGACGAGAATAAGAGGGCAGCCAAAGTTTCAAACTTAAGCAGCCACCCCAAGACAGCCATACATACTGAGACAATGAAGAATCCCTTCCTACTCACCATTGGGTTGTTGCCAAAAGCAACCACGAGTGCCTTGTACTCTCGCACGTCACGAGTCAGAGTGCATATGAGGCACCTCAAAAGTACGAAGGTTACGATCCAAGCCTCAACTCACCACGGGGTTGTTTCCAAACGCAGCGACGAGAGCCTTGTACTCTTGCACGTCGCCAGCCGGAGTGTACTGGCTGAATACCTGGCGAAGGCTACCGAGATACAGATATTGTTCAGCTCACCACAGGATTATTGCCGAAAGCAGCGACGAGAGCCTTGTACTCTTGCACGTCGCCTGCCAGCGTGCTGGTAGCGTGGGCATTCACATAGTTCACGTACTCACGAGGCACCCCTGATGATGCCAGCGCCTGCTCAATGCACATCAGCACGCCCTTGCCTGGGTAATGGGGACGTGGGCAATGAGATTGCAGAGGAAGGGAGGGAGAAAGTTAAGGAAAGTGAAGGGAAGGAGAGATAGGAGTGCTGGTGGCATGGGCCTTGACGTAGTTCACATATTCGCGAGGCACCCCTGATGACACCAACGCTTGCTCAATGCACATCAGCACGCCCTTGCCTGGGAGAGAGGGTGTGGGACGAGATAGCAGGCACAGGGAGGGAGAAGGGAAGGGAAGGAGAAATAGGAGTGCTGGTGGCATGGGCGTTCACGTAGTTCATGTATTCGCGAGGCACTCCTGATGATGCCAACGCTTGCTCAATGCACATCAGCACGCCCTCGCCTGGGGGAGGGGCGTGGAGGGGTTGAGATGGGGAAAGGAACGGAGAAGGGAGGGAAAGGGGGGATTGGCACGGGCATTATTGGCGTTTTGCATGATGTCTCCACGTGTGAGGTGAGGGAGGGGTGCACGTGAGAAGCGGTGGAGTGGGATTAGGAAATTAGACGGACAGGCTCACCTTCAGGGTGCGGGTCGGTCATGTGGTGTGCATCGCATGACACGCTGCCGCCCAGAAACTCGGCATAGATGGTGGCGCCTCGTGCCTTGGAAGGTGCAGAAGGGTGGAGAGGAGTGCAGTGGGAGACAGGGAAGGAGTGAGATACAGAGGGGTGAGGCGGGGTGAGCACCTCACTACTGCCTAAAGACTCCACACACACACAAACACACACACACACACACACACACACACGCACACGCACACGCACACGCGCGCGCACACACACACACACACACACACACACACACACACACACACACACACACACCCACCTTGGGGTGTTCAAGCTCCTCCAGCACCAGCACACCCGCTCCCTCGCCCATCGCCCACCTTGCCGTGCAAATCGATACAGCATGGCAGCACAGCCAAGTGCGGCATACACTGGACTCAGTCACACAGAGACATACCTTGGCGTGCTCAAGCTCCTCCAGCATCAGCACACCCGCTCCCTCGCCCATCACACACCTTGGTATGCAACCCATGATACAGCACAGCGCAGCGGCGTGCAGCACACACACATGCACACCGTGTTTCGGCTGGCATGCGGCGCAAACGCAGGCAAGCAGTGCAGTACGTGCGCACACGCACACGCCCACACCCCCTCGCCTCCCTCCCTCCCCCCCGACACACACACCTTGGCGTGTTCAAGCTCCTCCAGTACCAGCACACCTGCCCCCTCGCCCATCACAAAGCCATCGCGATCCTGAGTGGGAGAGAAGGGGAAAGGAGGTTAGAGGGGGAAAGCTCTGAATCTCCTTGTCCCAGGTGCGGGAGAGTGCCTGCATGGTGCAGTTTTTGAGGCGCCACAAGAAAGGAGGGGAGAGGGGAAATGCTCGGAATCCCCTTGTCCCTGGGGCAGGAGAGTGCCTGCATGCTGCAGTGAAGCAGTGCGGGGAGAGGAGGGGGGGATGCTTGCCAATTAATGCACTGACTGACTAATCTAGTCGATAAAAAATCACAGATTGACCTCCAAATCACAATGCGGCGTCTCATGACTTGGATAAGAAAACACTTACGATTTTCAGGGGCAGGAGGCCCTCTCACTTTGAGACGTCTCAAAACGCTTACCTTGTCCCAGGGGCGGGAGGCCCTCTCAGGCTCATCGTTGCGTTTAGAGAGTGCCTTGCAGGCCACGAATCCCCCCAGACCTGAAAAGGAGTGAGAGGAGGAAAGAGAGCGGGGGAAAAGGGGGTGAGAGGAGGGAAGAGAGCGGGGGAAAAGGAGAGAGGAAGGAAGAGAGGACAGCGGGAAGACGGGGAGGGTGGAGATGAGGAAGCGAGAGAAAGAGATGGAAACGAGCAGCTTGAAATTAACTTTTGGTACCCATAAGATTCTGGCTGAAGGGGATAGTAAGATGGAGAAAGGAGGGTGAGGGATGGAAGAGGGAGGAGGAAGATGGCAGAAGGGATGCATGGAAAGGCCTGGGCCTTACCGAGGGGCAAGACGGGGGAACTTGATTGTTTGGCACTTCAGGCGAAAAGGAAAGAGGGGTGAGGTAGAAGGCGAGAAGGGGAGAGAGTGAAAAAGAGGAGCGTTTAAACTTGAAAAGGACAAGGGATCTTACCAATAGGCAAGACGGGAGCGTCGGATCCTCCTGACAACATGACGTCCTGTGGTTCATGGGCGAGAGTAGATGGGAGAGAGTAGATGGGAGCCGATTCAGGTGCGAGAGTGGATGGGACCAGATGGGAGTCGAGTCAAACTGATATGATCTCAGCACTAGTTGTTGCAGGCGGTTCTAAATTTGGCATTTTAAAGATTGATTAAACCGCCTGTAACAGAGTGGCACACTGTCATACTGAGCCATCTCTTAGAGCATGCGGACAATGAAATGCGAGAAGCAGCAACGCAGTCATCAAGCAGAATTCCTCTCAGAACTAGGCCTATGCTCGAGTCCAAACTCGTCTCGAATTAATCACCTCAAATCTCAACTAAAAACCGCGGTGAAACTCACCGCATCGCCTCTCTGAATGTGCTGGGCGGCAGCAAGAATGCAGTAGTTGGCTGTGGCGCAGGCAGTGGAGATGCTGTAGTTGGGACCCATCCAGCCCTGAAGGGAGGGGGGGATGGGGAAGAGAGGCACAGATAGACAGGGAGTAATAGAGGGTGGTTCAGAAGAATGCAGTAGTTGGCTGTGGCGCAGGCAGTGGAGATGCTGTAGTTGGGACCCATCCAGCCCTGAAGGGAGGGGGGGATGGGGAAGAGAGGCACAGATAGACAGGGAGTAATAGAGGGTGGTTCAGAAGAATGCAGTAGTTGGCTGTGGCGCAGGCAGTGGAGATGCTGTAGTTGGGACCCATCCAGCCCTGAAGGGAGGGGGGGATGGGGAAGAGAGGCACAGATAGACAGGGAGTAATAGAGGGTGGTTCAGAAGAATGCAGTAGTTGGCTGTGGCGCAGGCAGTGGAGATGCTGTAGTTGGGACCCATCCAGCCCTGAAGGGAGGGGGGGATGGGGAAGAGAGGCACAGATAGACAGGGAGTAATAGAGGGTGGTTCAGAAGAATGCAGTAGTTGGCTGTGGCGCAGGCAGTGGAGATGCTGTAGTTGGGACCCATCCAGCCCTGAAGGGAGGGGGGGATGGGGAAGAGAGGCACAGATAGACAGGGAGTAATAGAGGGTGGTTCAGAAGAATGCAGTAGTTGGCTGTGGCGCAGGCAGTGGAGATGCTGTAGTTGGGACCCATCCAGCCCTGAAGGGAGGGGGGGATGGGGAAGAGAGGCACAGATAGACAGGGAGTAATAGAGGGTGGTTCAGAAGAATGCAGTAGTTGGCTGTGGCGCAGGCAGTGGAGATGCTGTAGTTGGGACCCATCCAGCCCTGAAGGGAGGGGGGGATGGGGAAGAGAGGCACAGATAGACAGGGAGTAATAGAGGGTGGTTCAGAAGAATGCAGTAGTTGGCTGTGGCGCAGGCAGTGGAGATGCTGTAGTTGGGACCCATCCAGCCCTGAAGGGAGGGGGGGATGGGGAAGAGAGGCACAGATAGACAGGGAGTAATAGAGGGTGGTTCAGAAGAATGCAGTAGTTGGCTGTGGCGCAGGCAGTGGAGATGCTGTAGTTGGGACCCATCCAGCCCTGAAGGGAGGGGGGGATGGGGAAGAGAGGCACAGATAGACAGGGAGTAATAGAGGGTGGTTCAGAAGAATGCAGTAGATGGCTGTGGCGCAGGCAGTGGAGATGCTGTAGTTGGGACCCATCCAGCCCTGACAGAGGAGCAGGGAGGGGGTGATGTGTTGGTAGGAGGCGATAGTTTGAGCTACCTTGCATCATCACACACTCCAGGACCATACCGCTTCCACTCGTTCAGGTCCATGGCGAGCATGGCAGAGCGGAGAGCCCATGCTGGTGCATGACGAAGGGTGTGCAAAAGGGGGCTCATGGCATTGCCAATATGACATGGTGCATGGTATGGCCCATACCACTGTGAGCACACATACCAGGTCCATGGCGAGCATGCCAGAGCCCATGTTGTGTTGGGTGGTGAGCAGGCTCCTGTGCCTGTCATCCCCACACCAGCACAGCGTACCAATTTCCTTCCCATCACAGCGTATGGCAGGTTCATGGCGTTGCTGAATGGCATGGCGTGTACATGCCCGGACCATCATGGCATGGCGCAGTGCACACATCAGGGCCATACCATACCCTAACACTGCAGGCAAGCGCGTACGAGGTCCATGGCGAGCATGGCGCCGCCCATGATGGTGGTGACGAATGGTATGCACATGCGAGAAGGCAGCATTGTGATGGTAAGCCTTATAACAGTTACGCCTATCAATCAGCCCTACCAGCACAGTGAGCACATACCAGGTCCATGGCGAGCATGGCGCCGCCCATGTTGGTGGTGACGAAGGGTATGCAGAAGGGGTTCATGCGGCGGTACGACACTTTGAGCGCCTCCACTGCATCGTTGAACACCTGAGGAAAGTGGGAGGAGGAGAGGAGGGGAAGAGATATGGAGGGGGGGGGAAGGGGCCACAAAGATAGGTTCATTCATTCATGCGGCGGTACGACACTTTGAGCGCCTCCACTGCATCATTGAACACCTGAGTGTAAGGGGAGGGGGATGGGGAAGGAGGGGACAGTTGGAGGGAAGGGGGGCACGAAGTGTGTGGCGGGGACAGGCCCTGCCGTGAGCAGATATTGCATTCACTTGTCTATTCAAGGTCTATTCTGCAGCATCATAGAGCAACTGCCACCCTGCCCCCCCCCCCCCCCCCCCCCCTTTGTCACCTTGATTTTCACAGCCCCTGACAGTCTGCCGCCCGGCCCACCTGCATGCCGCCCGGCCCACCTGCATGCCGCCCATAGCCGACCCAATGAGCACGCCGCACTTCTGCTTGTTGAACCCCTCCTGCACCTCGTGGGTCATGTGCGCGTCCTTTAAAGCCCGCTTGCCCGCCGTGAGCAGGTAGCGCATGTACTTGTCCATGCGCCGCGCCATCTTGGGGTGCACGTAGCCCTTGTCCTTGAACTCCTTGATCTCGCCTGCGATGCGCTGGGAGGAGGGAAGGAAAGAGGTGGGGAAGGAGGAGAATAAGGGTGGATGTGGGTGGGGGAGGAGGGTGGAGAAGGACCGTCTTGGGGTGCACGTAGCCCTTGTCCTTGAACTCCTTGATCTCGCCTGCGATGCGCTGGGAGAGGGGAGGGTTGGATGGATGGGAGGGGGGGGCCGGGTTGTGGGGTTGGAGGGAAGGGAGTCACAAGCCATCTCAGGGGCAAGAGGCCCGCCGTGAGCAGGTAGCGCATGTACTTGTCTATGCGCCGGGCCATCTTGGGGTGCACGTAGCCCTTGTCCTTGAACTCCTTGATCTCGCCTGCGATGCGCTGGGGGAGGTTAAACAGTTCAGGGTTGGATGGATGGGTGGGAGGGAAGGGGGATGAGGAGGATGTGTGGGCCATCTTGGGGTGCGCGTAGCCCTTGTCCTTGAACTCCTTGATCTCGCCCGCGATGCGCTGGGAGAGGGGAAAGAGGTGGGTAAGGAGGGTGAATGTGGGTGGGAGAAGGAGAGATCAGGGGCCATCTTGGGGTGCACGTAGCCCTTGTCCTTGAACTTCTTGATCTCGCCCGCGATGCGCTGGCATGGATGGATGGGAGGGAGGAAAGAGGAGGGGGGAAAGGAGGGCTTGCAAGCCATCTTTTGCTGGATGGATGGAAGGGGAAGGGGAAGTAGTGAAAGGCTCTTTTTTATGAGAGTATAAGCAGATTTCATCGGTTCCCTTTCCTCTTGGTTCTTCTGGTTCTTCCTGCTGCGTCTGTTCCATCTCATGCTGTCGACCAAATTGTTATCTATACCAATCAATCCAGCTCTTACCGTGGGGAACTCGGAGGCATCGAATCCCTCTATAGCGGAGATGCCACTGGTGCCGTCCAGAAGCTTCTGATAAAACTCGTGCGCGTTCATGCTCAGGCATGACACGATACCCATGCCCGTCACCACCACCCGCCGCTGCTGCTTCCCCTTCCCCTCGCCCTCCGCGTTCTCTTCCCCCGCCTGCGCCTCCGCCTCCGCTGCTGCTGCAGCCCGCGCCACGCGGGAGGCTGGCGGGGGCAGCGCGGAAGGACATGCGGAAAGAAAGGCGCGGAAGCAGGAGAGGGGGATACGGGGGATTGAAGGTGTGGGGATGAGGAAGGGGAGGGCGGAAATGGGGAATATGGTTCGAGCAGGTCGACGTGGAAGGTGAGGAAGTTAGAGGAAGGAATAGAGGGAGAAGGAAGGACGGGAAGAAGCTAAACAAGATTGACGGAAAGAGTGGCACCTATGCAAAAAGATTGGAGACCTCCTATCAGACCGAGATTGGCGTCGAGGCTATGAGAATCGTAAACAACAACGCCCTCCCGTCACTGTCATTGATCCTTCGGTTATTGGCCATGATTCCGTTACAGTGATATGTTCAGACAGTCAGTACCTTAAACCCGTTTCTGACTGTCCCCCAGCTGCTCCCAGATGCAGCCGGGCTGTTAACCAGCGGGTATATCACACCCAAAAAGCCCAGCACCTGTAACGTATCGCCAGTAGTAACACCACTTGAAACCAGCACATGTTTCGTATTAGCATATGTACCGTACCAGCAGATGGAGCGTACCAGCAGACACAACTTGCCAGCTTCTTCGATTAGTCATATTCTCTATCGGCTGGAATCTCAATACTTACCGTGATCCAATAGTCTCCAAGTCTTTAATCACCACAGCCAGAAGAAATGGTAGCAGGCGACAAAGTTGTCGGATTCAGCTGGCGGACGAAATGGTCAGCCTGAAGGTTTGAGGCTTCGTATCACGATTTTTCGCCATTCCCGAGGAACCAGATGTAACCGGATTTGCAAATGAGAAACTGCGGCGTGAAAACGCTGATACGCAATTGTCTATCGCACACGTACCTGCTGATCGCAGGCGACGGTTTCGCACGGCCGTCAACGGCACCCAGACGACGTCTAGACCTTCGCCGGAGAAAGCCGACGATCCGCTACTCAAGAAACCATGACCATTGCTCGAGCTGCGAGAACTGCTCTGAGAGCTGCTGGGACTGATCGCAAGCGATTGCGGCCTGGATGAGTATCGGAATCTACTGCTAGAAGAGCCAACCGAGTAGTCTGATGCTTCCGCCTGACCGGCTCGGCCAGTAAAGCCTACGGACGACGGGACGCAAGCTGTGGCGGCAAACGCCATGAGAGGCTAATCTAGAAAAAGTTTTTTTTAGTCGACTCAGAAATAAGCTTGAAAGAGTTGGGAATCTAGCTGATCTTGAGTCGATTTAAGGGTCACTTGTGGCTAGGGGCTCTAAGCATGCACTACGAGCCCTTAGGAGGCAGTCGCGACGCTTATCGCGGCCTATATTGGCTTTCACGATGAAATTCCTTACAAAAGCGACAATGAGAAGCCGTGCTTAGTCACAGGATTACCTCCAGCAAGGTTTCTTAGCTCGTGGATTTGGAATGGTTAGCTAAGCACGGGCTAATCAGCATTTGTAAAAACAGCTGAAAATGCTGGCCAGTGCAAGCTAGCGCACTGAGGTCCAGACGATTTTCAGGATTCAGTTGAAAGCCATGAGCTGAGCACAGAATGATCAGTGTTTTCTTGCGAAAATGCTGCTGATCAGTGAATTGTGGGATGGGTTGAGGTTGAGGACAATGGACACAATAACGAGGGGACGAAGAAACGGGAAGGGGTGGTTCGGAGATCCCTAGGCTTCAGATGACAATATCGAGGCTGTCGTCGGTTATTCCTAAGGGAAGTGGAAGTTGAGTGATGGGGTCGTCAGCCCTGAAGGGGAATCCTTGGAAAGGAGTGGGGACCAGAAATCTACGGATGTTATGAGCTCGAACCTAAAAAAACGGAAAAGAGACCGTCAGATGTAAGCATTACTGACACGCGGAAACGCGAAATTGAAGAATGGTAAAGTGTGAGGCTGTGGGGAGCGGGTCTGATGTCAGCGACACGTGTACGATACCTATCCTTGCCACAGCAGCAAAACAAAACCTCGCTGTACACTTCAAGCGTTATACTGTCAAGTACACTGCATTTGTTGGACCATTCCCATTACACTAATCATTTGGTAAGTACGATATTCTTAGGAAATGCTAAATTAAGAAACGTTACTAATCTCCGACATCTTCGATGTTGTGAACATATATCTCTCATATTTGTTATCAGCGACCATGGGAAGACTAAATAGCCACACTAAGGCCATCCAGATGACCTGCAATATTTTACTTCCGAGAAGCTATACACTAGGAGAATCATGGCCATCTCACTAGGATTTAGAGCTTTGTGTACACAAGAAGCACATTAACAACGTGAAACTATAAAGTATCTCTATCCAGTGAGTGACCTAATATGTGCAATGCATGGGCGGAAATATACTCATGGTCCAGTTGAAAGTCAGTCGCATCTGTTCAGAGGTTGAACACAAAGCTACTGACAGTCGACTGAAGACAAGAGCTAGAGTCTTGAAGACACAATTTGAGCACTCCGCTGATCTCTACTTAGGCACGGTCGTGCCAGCGGGGATGAGAATCTTATCCACGCCATGCGCGATGAAGTAAGGCCCAGCGTACAGCCGCGCGATCTGGATGGTCGTCCACACGGTCGCAGGCGCGTTCGGCCCCTGGGCGAACGAAACGTTGTTACCATTCTGCGGCGAAACCTTGTAAATCGCTTGCTTCAGCTGCGTCGCCAGCGGCTGCGACTTCTTGAGCGCGCTCAGCTGAGGAACGGTTTGCTTTCGGAGGAGGATGTGGTATGCGGTGATGTTGTAGATAATGGGGATGTTGCTGCTTGTAACGGGGATCTTCTTAGCGAGAGCCTGGGCTTCGGTGTCGCTGGGGAGGAGGATGGTGGCGTCCGCGAGGGCCGAGAAGTCGTATTTGGAGTTGAGCGCGAGGCCGATGTACTTGTTGATATCCTTGGCGTATTTCGCATATTGCGGGTAACGCGCCGTGATGTTCGTCGCCATGTTGTTCAGCTCCGCTTTGATTTGCGCCTTGGTGGGTTTGGCCTTGGGCTTCGCTTGTGCGTTCGCGCCAGCCACACAGAAGGCGACGCAGATGAGGATGGCGAGCACGCGAAAATTAGCCATCTTGGTGATGTGGCGAGAGGAAGGCTCCGCTGCAAAAGACAGAAATTCTCGTACCGATGAAGGGGGAATTAATGTTCGGATACACTTGAAGACTATTAGTCGGGTGGAAATGCGGATCGAGTTGGGTAAGGAGTAGCGGACGTGAACCGTGTGTTCGGTGGTGAAGGAAGAGGACTTGGCTGGATCGAGGAAGAAAATTGGTTGTGACGAGAAGTGGGTTGCTGGGGAGGAATTTGTACGAAATTGTGGGTGGAGTTTGGCCTGGGCTTGCGAGGAATGCGAGCGATTCGCGAACTCGGGTCCAAATCACGCGCTGAAATTTATCTCCGACGGTGAGCGCGGTGCGGCGAAAAACGAATACGAGAGCACCTGGACTGGGAGATTTCGGTGGACGGAGGTGAGAGGCGTAGGGTAACAGAACGGGCGAAGTGGGGATGGGTGGGAACCGACAAAAGGGCGGCGAGGAGGTGCGAGACCCTGACGAAGGTGCGGATGCGTGCTGATGAGAGAAGTTTCGCGAGCAGTTTCGTGAACGACCATCTCACATGGCAGGGCATCCTCGTTAAAGTCTAAAAGCTTTATCACCCGAAATCACATGGTACTGTAGTGGTTTGTAGAATTGTTCACGACCCCCTAGAGACATAACTCGGAAGCTGACACACAAGACCTCAATGCGACCCAGGAATCCGATTGCCTTTCCACGAGGCCGGTAGGTTCCATGTCTGCCGTTCGTGTCTACTATTTTAACAGTCGAGATTCTACAAGCGGTTTGGGACCGACGAACAGCAGTCGCAGCAATTTCAGCGATGTTCGCAGCACTTCCAGCGACCGTCGCGAAGACCGTACAGATTCCGACTTGCGAAACAGACTTTTCGGTTATGCGGGCAGCGAAACAAGCGGCGCGAGCAGCGGCTTCAAAACGCACAGCGAGAGCCCGTCCCTGCGAGTGTCGGTCATAGAGGTACAATATCACTAGTAATATTAACATGTTACGTTTCGAGTGTCATTTAGGGTACTTCTGTTACAAGATTTACAACAAAATGTCGGCTTAGGGTAGAGAGCGAGGACCATCTCGGTTTCAATAAGAAACGATTCCACTTGAGTGTAGGGCTGAAAAAGCATGGTCTTCTCTCGTCCTGTCACACTGCATTCCCGCCTTCCGCCATTCCCTGTTCTAACTGTTTTCCCTTCTAGCCCTGAAAGATTCTTTACCTTCCTTTTTGCCTCCTATCCTCTGTGCCTGCACGCGGGCCAGCACGTAGGGCTGTAAAATGCCCTTTTTTCTTTTTCATCCTCCCCTTTTCCATTTCCTCGTATTTCCCGCCCTCCCCTCAGCACTTGGGCCAGCACGTGGGGCTTTACACGTGGCCGTCAGCACTGGTGCTCGCAAAACCCCCTCATCCCTCTCACCTTTGCCCCGCCCTCGCTCTTTTCGCTCTCCCCTCCTTCCTTTTTCCCCCCAGCACCTGGGGCAGCACCTGGGGCAGCACATGGGGCTGCACACGTGGCTGTCAGCAGTGGTGTTGGCGGAGTACCTTCGTTCTCCTCCCCCATGCCCTCCTGCTCCCTTTCCCCTTCACCTTTCGCCTCCATCTCCCCTCACACCAGCACCTGGGGCAGCACGTGGGGCTGCACACGTGGCCGTCAGCGGTGGTGCTGGGCTGAATTCCCTTCCCCGTTCCCACCGTCCCCCGTCCTCCCCTCCCCCGGCAGCACCTGGGGCAGCATGTGGGGTTGCACACGTGGCCATCAGCAGTGGTGCTGGCGAAATACCCTCAAAGCTCTCCCCCATGCCCTCCTGCTCCCTCCTCCCTTCACCTTTTGCCTTTATCTCCCTCCCCCGGCAGCACCTGGGGCAGCATGTGGGGTTGCACACGTGGCCATCAGCAGTGGTGTTGGCAGAATACCTCTGGCAGCAGCGGGAGGTGATTAAGGGGAAGCGCGTTATCGAGGTCCGTATTTGATTCATTCTGTGGTTCATTCTGTCGTTCTTCTGCAGTTCATTCTGTGGTTCATTTTGCGGTTCATTCTGTGGTCCATTCTGTGGTTCCTTCTTGGTTCATATATGCTGGCACGGCAGCTAGGGGCGGGAACAGGCCTATGTGGGATTCTCTGTGCCAAGCTCGGCGCGCAAGTCACCCTCACAGACGCCCACTCGCAGGCCCAGGTCAGCTGCTTCTTCTTTATTCTCCTTCCTGCTTCTATTCCAGACAATGGCCATTTCACAAGTATGTATCTCACTTCCTTTCCCCAACGTGGCCCCTGTCTTCAGTCCTCGTCTTCCCTTGAAAGCTTGCACCCCAATCCGCCACCAATCCCCATCCCCACCATTGCATTCTCCCCTGCCGTCCCAAGTTCTCTCCAGCCTGCACGGAGCAGCAGCACAAAACGGCCTTTCCTGTGGGGGGAGTGGAGGGCTGTCTGGGAAAACAAAAACAGGGAAGTCTGGAAATCAGAAAGCTTTTCCTCGAATCCCACACCAATCCCCATCCCCACCCATTGCATTCTCCCCTGCTGTCCCAAGTTCTCTCCAGCCTGAACCGAGCAGCATCGCAGAGCGGCCTCTCCTGTGGGGGCAGTGGAGGGCTGTCCGGGGAAAACAAAAACAGGAAAGTCTGGAACATCAGAAAGTTTTCCCCCGTATCCCCGACCAACCCCCACTCCCACCCGTTGTATGTATGCTCCTCTTCCATCTCAGGTTCTCTACAGCCTCCACAAAGCGGCAGAGCTGACCGGCCTTTCTGTATGGGAGTGATTGCTTATGCCTGTCCTTCCATTACCCTCCCCATGCTCCTCTTCCATCTCAGGTTCTCTACAGCCTCCACAAAGCGGCAGAGCTGACCGGCCTTTCTGTATGGGAGTGATTGCTTATGCCTGTCCTTCCATTACCCTCCCCATGCTCCTCTTCCATCTCAGGTTCTCTACAGCCTCCACAAAGCGGCAGAGCTGAACGGCCTTTCCTGTACCGGAGTGGAGGGACGTCCAGTTCACGAAGGGGGGTCCGAGAAAATGGGAGAATCTGGAAAACGTGCGCTTATGCCTGTCCTCTCATTGCCCTCTCCCATGCCCCTCTTGCGTCTCAGGTTCTCTACAGCCTGCACCAAGCAGCAGAGCTGAACGGCCTTTCCTGTACCGGAGGAGTAAAAGACTGTCAGGCACCAAAAAGAGAACCGGGGGGCTCTGGGGAATCTGGGGAATGTGGAAAAGCTGTGAAGTGTGAAGATTTATCCTCGCCGCCTAGTGGGGGGGTGAGCGTGGTGCCACTCACTTGGGGCGACGTGTCTCAGCAGGTCTTTCAGCTGCCCCCTTCTGACGTCATCATAGGAGCAGACGTGCTGTATGATGCTTCAGGTGTGCTTCAGGTGTGCTTCAGGTGTGTTTCACGTGTGCTTGAGGCATGGTGCATCATGCTGGTCGTTGCTTCAGATGTTTCTTCAGGTTGTCCCTTGGTGAGTCGTCGAAGGGTGTTTTTGTGCAACTCAAGCCACTCTCTCCACACTCCCCGTGCGTCTCTTTCCCCCTCGTCCACTGCAACCTTTGACTTGCTCCTCTACATGCAGCTTCTCCTCGGCATATGGTTTAAATCAAGGTCCCTTCACGCCTCTCCATCCCCCCTCTCCCTCGTCCACCGCAGCCTTTGACCCGCTCCTCTCCACGGTGCATCTTCTCCTCGGGTTGAAACGAGGCTCAGTCTTCATAACAGCCTATCAAGCACGCAGGTAGGATGCACTCATGCTCCTATTGGCCTTCATGTACTGATGCACTCACGCTCTCATGCTCTCATCTCATGTTCTCCTGCCCCCCACCCCCTCCCCCCCTTCCCTCCCACCCCACCATCCTCCATGCAGCGCGCATACATCTCTGCATCTCCTCATGCAGTCATGGGGCCTTACATGCATCACGGAGTTTCTTCGTTCCAACACCTCCCCTCCCGTTTGATTGCTTCCCACCTACCATCCCCATGCAGCACGCATGCCTCCCTGCATCTCCTCATGCAGTCATGGGGCCTTACATGCATCACGGAGTTTCTTCGTTCCAACACCTCCCCTCCCGTTTGATTGCTTCCCACCTACCATCCCCATGCAGCACGCATGCCTCTCTGCAACCCCTCATGCAGTCGTGGGGCCTTACATGCGTTGGTAGGAACATGATCATTAAACATTCACATACCCTTCCCCATCCCTCCTGCTCCCTTTCCCACCCAAGGTTCAAAAAAACGTCGTTTTTTTGAAAATTTACCGTAAAAAACGGCCGTAAAAAACGGTAAAAAACGGTTCCAGAAGGTGGTTTCGTTCGAAGAAAAAATCAGCCATTTATGGGACAAAATTGATGGCGAAAATCACCAGCATGAAGAGGACAAACACCTCCTTGCATGAGTGCGCTTGTGGGCATGATTGAAAATGTATTTGACCTTGTTTTTCCCCCTTTTTCTTGGTGACAACAGTTTTCTAACAAAAAAACGCCGCTTTTTTGGAAAATAACCGTAAAAAACGGACCGTAAAAAACGGACCGTTTTTTACGAAAACCGTATTTTTCATCCTTGTTCCCACCTACCATCCCCCATGCAGCACACATGCCTCTCTGCACCTCCTCATGCAGTCATGGGGGCTCATATGCGTCCACATGGTATCAGCAGACGATTTCATGCCGGCCAATAAGATTGCGACACTTGGCGGGAGCGAGATCTACGTTGCTGTGATTGCGTCAGTGGCAGATTCGTTATTACCATCAAACATGGTTGCACTGTACAGTTGAGTTGGGACCGTATCAATGTGGCAGGATGGTTCCAGGAGTTGAATGTGGTGTGGATGGTTGTACATACACCGTATATGAGAGGAGAAGCATGTAAATGAATATTGGTACTGAAATCTGGTTTCAAAGTTTAACTGGTGGCGCACCTATGAGCCTCTATCCAGTCATGCTAACTAATTTGCTTGACAGTCCTTACGGCCCTGCCAAACTGCTACCTTATATAAAGCTTACAGAAAGTGCGCCATCCCTCACATTTGATGTCAAATAAACAGCTGCATGCATGCATCCTAACTGCAGTGACCGTGCGTTCAATGCCAAAAACTTCGCATGCATGCTGCGGACTCATGTGCACATCGTGTGCTTATTCCAAGCTAAGGCTCTAAAAGCAGTTGAACACTGGACATGGAGGCTTTGGGAATCGGGGGTGCTCCATGCTGTATTCATAGAACTAGGGCAAGCACGGCCGCTACAGTCAGCATCCATACAAGCTTCAGCGATGCACACAGCCTCTCTCCATCGTTGTACACGCAGTCGTTATATTGCGAGTAAAAGTTTTCGCAGGCAGGCTCCTTCGTTTTCAAGCAGTCTGCGAAGTCACTTTCGCATGTTACGCCGTTACTCGAAACGCAACTCTCCAATTTGTTGTCGCACGTCCCCGCTGTCACGCAGTTTGAGTAACTGTTGAAAAGACCATCGCATTCGTCATCGTCGTCGTTGTAGGTTCGCGTCCGGTAATAAGTCCTTCCCCAAGCTACTCTACTCACCCCGCCGCCCCTTTTACTGCTTCCACCGCTTCTGCCGCCTCCGCTTTTGCCGCCTCCGCTTTTGCCGCCACTTTTGCTGCTCCCGCTGCTCTTCCCACTGCTGCTGCTGCTGCTTCCTTTCAAGATCGCCTGTATGTCACGCGTAGGAAAAGGGGGAGACGGAAGGAAGATTCAATCATTGAAGAGAAGGAATGACAACAAATCGATCAGACTGAAAGGGTATGCGGAAGCAATGCAGCTAACCAGTGGGTTCGATCGTCGCTGCGTGTCACGATGTATTCACTGATAAAAACGTCTGTGTTTGAATCTCAGAGGACTTCTTATCGATTTAAAAGTAACATAAGGTGGACGACAAGTGGCTGAAACTCACCCGGCGAGCTTGTGTGCCGTTCCGAACATCCCAACCGTCCATTTTGTCTCCGCCTTCATCGTCTGTAGGTGGCCGCGCATCGCGGCGCCGAAAAATGCCAGCTCGAGACTTGCTCAGGACTTCATTGTGACTTGGTCCCTCTGGCTGTGTCGCGTCGTCGTTCGGACCTATGCTGTGGAGAAAACTGGCGTCTGACTCTACGGATTGCTCAGGTTGACCTGGTTGACTCGGTTGACTTGTTTTCGTGTAGAAGCCTGTGACGTCGTCCGATGCATCGACCCTTGATCTAGCTTGTACCGCGTACGTTTTGGTACCCGCTGCAACGAACGGAAGACCCGCGGAGGTAATCGAAAGGCAGATACCGACGGCGAACCAAGGCAGACGAGAATGTAGATTAAGGTGGACAGGTCTTAAAGCCATGTTTGGTGCAAACCTGCTGCGGCAACAAGATATTCTTTGCCACGTGAGCTGTCAGTGCACGATCTTTGAGGCGCCTCCAAGCTTCCAATGCGCGTACGTTGTTCGGATTGACGTGATGCCGTTCTACGGAGGACTTCCGCTAAGAGAATCGACAGGCGTGAATGCTGTGTTATGCACGAGTATGTTCTATAGCAGTTCAATCAATCGAGCTGCCTCGTTTCAAGGATAGCGCTGAGACGACGAGACACACTGAGTCGAGGGGTTGCGGCGTTGCTTGCTTCTGAATTGGCGTCGGCAGTTGTTGTGGGAGGCGAAAAGGCTTCGCCAGAGCTTCTGTTCGCGAGAATTCTGTTCGAAGTGAGCATATCAAGTGGCCGCTACGAGACTTCTATGTCCATTCATGCTGAGAATGCTCGCTCGCGACTGGGATTCCAAGCCAGGCACCATTATTGAAGGGTGGTTGAAGTGGTAGAACCAACCAGGGAAGGTGGTGAAGCAATAATCGACGAAGCGCCCCGACATCGAGCCGCACCAATAATTCCGTCGAGCTTCTCATCGTTTCCAGGGGCTGCGTAAAAAGCGGCGGACAAACTCCCACACATTCTGTACGAGTCGTAAGGGCGTGTAAAATCGGGAGACACAAATATTCGGCCACAAGCCGAATGGCCGAATTGGCGAAAGTAACACTGTTACGAAATTCACGACAACCCTTGCGACAGTCGCAAATTTCGCCCAGATTCAGCGAATTTGATGGCCGTCTAATTGGTCGACTCGCCTTCCAACGTCGAGTCGACTCGAAACCAGCCACGTTACCGCCCCGTCGTTGCGACATTGGCATCAGGTGTCGCAAATCAGAAACCCTAAACCGCTTTTGGCTAATTGTGCTATGCCGAAACGTATGTGAACGGAGCCGCGGTAGCAATGTTCAGGCTGTGGTTGAGATTGGGGTGCAAGGGCGTTCCAATATCGGGTGCACATGTGAGACTCCGTCGCACAATTCGGCCATTTGAAAGTTTACAACTTTCTGGAGTCGGCCAGCAATTCGCCCCTGAAAGCCTCATCGGAACTCGGTCGTCGGACCCGTTTTGCCAGTGTCGACGGGAGGGGTCGTCGGAGGAGGGCCTGACGAGGCGGGCGACTGACGCGCGTGCGGGCCCGCCAGCCTGGCCCAGGGCTGGGCCGAGCGCACGACCGCCGCCCCGCAGCCCCGCTCCGAAATTGAACAGCGACCCACGTTACCGGGTGGGGTCGGCGAACTGGCGACCCCTCGCGCGAGGGAAAGTTACCCTCGCGCGAAGGCAGCCCACACGTGCTGCCTGCCCGCGAGGTCCTAGTAACCCATCGCGGCCTGCCCGGACGGGCAGGCGAGGGCCGTGCGAAAATACGGGCCCCCCTCGGGACACTCGACAATTTCGCGATTCGCAGCGGTGGCGCCACGTGTTCGCCCGTGGCTTCGCATCGGGCGCATGCGAAATTTTTGACGAGGCGGAAATACGAAATCGACACGTGTCGATTGTAGCGTCGCTCCGCGCGCAGGAGGATTCGTGCGTCCCCTCGCCGATGGACGCGAAGTCGACGCTCTACCAAGGCGGAGACGGACCACCTGTGCCACTTGCGCATCCGCCCTCCGAGCACTGCCGAGCCAGGCCCTGCACCCTTGGGCGATGCTGAACGGGCCTGGGGGGGGGGGGGCACCACCTCCTTTTCTTTGTGGAAGGTGGCCTCGCTCCGCATTTTCGGCATCTCTTTTAGATTTTCAAACATTGACAGCTCTGCGCCTCCCCTCTCTCCTACCAGAGCCGTCCGCCTCTTTTCTTAGTCGACAGATATGGAGCCGATCTCCGCCGCCGATAAGTCGGCGCCGACATCGGCCGACTTTCCCCTTCGGGTGCAAATGGGTCGCGGTCTCAGCTTCACCTTAGAGTGGAACGACTACGCCGTCCTTCGCGACCAAAAGAAAGAGTTCACCGAGAGATGCTTTGGACTCGCCATCAGGTGGGACGCGGGTAGTCGCGGTAGTCGAATAGGGAAGATGTCGGTGCCGACCAACCCTAGTAGGGCGCACTGTCGCCGATTGTCTTCCGACGTACGTCGGCGGGCGCGTTTGACGAAGCACGTCGACATGGCAGCGTTTGCTTACCAGCCATGTTCTCATCCCTCGTGCTCACTCGTGCGCTCAGGTTCGCTTGGTTTGACATTGGGCGGGACGACCTGCGGTTGTGGGTGCTCGGGATCGGCCCGCTTCGATCGGCCATGAAAGCCGCCGACCATTCTTGCTTTGCTAAGGCTTTCGACGCCGACATCGCCGCTATCCCGCTGAAATCGACGTGAGCTGTTACCCCGTTGTCCAGTCATCGTGCTTCAGTGTCGGCCGCATCAACGCCTTATGCTGTGGTCGACGCCGTCGTTTATTGCGTGTGCAGCGGCGGCCCGCTTCCAGGGTCACACTGCAGCGTCATAGCCATCCTCTACCCAGGAGATGTGCTGAAGGCTGAGGGACAGGTCTGCAGGACATCGATCCGGCACATCGACCCGCACACCGGAAAAGGGAAGCACCGCGACGAGGCCGTCCGCGTCCTGAAGTAAGTTGTGAATAGTCGTCGCTGTCGAGTTTGTTAGTCGCCGACACAGGGAATCTCATGCTGACCTCCTCTCCACTACGTTGCTCCAGGCTATTCCGCACGGCTGCCCTGGCCGAGCTGGGGCGTCCCGGTAGGAAGTGGGACGGGGCGCCGCCATCACAAGCAGTGGTGGAGGAAAGGCTTGCCGACTGCGACGACCCTATCCGCGACGTGAGTTGCACGTTTAGGCTCCGCTACGGTCTGCGCGTATCTGTATGCACCGCTCATATTGTGCCGCGCTTGCCTGTGTTGTATGCAGAAAGTGCCGGGCACAGTGTCGGACGGGCATGTCGGCACCGGCATGCTTGCCGCGACGTCGTTCGGGTGGGTGGCCAAGCAGATCGGCCTGCTGACGGGCGACAAGGCTCGGAGCGCTGTGAGCATCGAGAACATCAAGGTCGCGGGTTTGAGGTCGCTCCGTGATAGCATGGTCGATTACATCTGCCATCGTGTCGCCGAAAACCGGATAGCGGCGCCGACTTCAGGCGCCGACGGACCCGCCGAGGGTGCGATTGATGACGACGGCGCGGAAAGTCAGACGGCGCCCCAAGCAGCAGCTGCCGCCCAGCGCCAGGAGGACTTGCCGGTGTCCGCGGAAGGAGGAACCGGTGGAGGACTAGGCGACGATGCGGCAGGCGCAGGGAGGAAGGAAGAGGAGTTGACGGACTCTGGCTCAGAGTCGGAGTCGGAGGGGGAGGAGGAGGACGAAGGGGAGAAGGAGAATGAGGACGAGGAGGATGACGAGGGCAAGGACGAGAACGATGAGGTGGTGGAGGTGGTGGCCGGGAAGGATGAGGCGGCGCACGAGGAAGGGGTGGAGGAGGAGGT